GTAGAATGCTACTCAGGTAATTATTGTAAAGGATTAACCTTATCAAAATTAATAAAGATGGAAAACTAAAAATGAAACATTTAACAGTCATGTACTTTCTGGAACCTTAGAGTGTTTGGGAGGGTGTGGAGGGGTGTTTGAGGGTGTTTAGAGGGTGGAGGGGTGTGAGGGTTTAGGGGTGTGAGGGAGTTTGGAGGGTGAAGGGGTGTTTGAGGGGTGGAGGGTATTTGGAGGGTGAGGGGTGTTTGGGGGTGGAGGGTGTTTGGGGGGTGTTTTGGGTTGGATTGAGTTTGGGGGGTGGAGGGTGTTTGGGGTTCGATTGTGTTTGGGGGGTGTTTGGGGGGGGGTTGGGGGGGGGGGGGGGGGGGGGGGGGGGGGGGGGGGGGGGGGGGGGGGGGGGGGGGGGGGGGGGGGGGGGGGGGGGGGGGGGGGGGGGGGGGGGGGGGGGGGGGGGGGGGGGGGGGGGGGGGGGGGGGGGGGGGGGGGGGGGGGGGGGGGGGGGGGGGGGGGGGGGGGGGGGGTGTTTGGGGTTGGATTGTGTTTGGTGGGTGTTTGGGGTTGGGGGAGGTGTTTGGGGGGGGGTTGGGGTTGGATTGTGTTTGTGGGTGTTTGGGGTTGGGGGAGGTGTTTGGGGGGGGGGGGGGGGGGGGGGTTGGGGGTATTTGGGGGGGGGTTGGGGTTGGATTGTGTTTGGGGGGTGTTTGGGGTTGGGGGAGGTGTTTGGGGGGGTGGGGGGTTGGGGGTATTTGGGGGGGGTGTTTGGGGTTGGATTGTGTTTGGGGGGTGTTTGGAAGGCCGATGACGTCACGCGTCGGGGCGTTCTCTTTCGGTCTCCTGACAACGGTTGGTAACAAACAGCGTCGCCTGGCAACCAGAGCCTCGGCAGAGCGCGGCCTGAGCCTGAGCCGAGGGAGCCGGGGCTGAGGGAGCCGGGGCCGGGGCTGAGGGAGCCGGGGCTGAGGGAGCCGGGGCTGAGGGGGCCGGGGCTGAGGGAGCCGGGGCCGGGGCTGAGGGGGCCGGGGCTGAGGGGGCCGGGGCTGAGGGGGCCGGGGCCGGGGCTGAGGGGGCGGGGCTGAGGGAGCCGGGGCTGAGGGGCCGGGGCTGAGGGGGCCGGGGCCGGGGCTGAGGGGGCCGGGGCCGGGCTGAGGGAGCCGGGGCTGAGGGAGCCGGGGCTGAGGGGGCCGGGGCCGGGGCTGAGGGGCCGGGGCCGGGGCTGAGCGAGCCGGGGCTGAGGGAGCCGGGGCTGAGGGAGCCGGGGCCGGGGCTGAGGGGGCCGGGGCCGGGGCTGAGGGAGCCGGGGCTGAGGGAGCCGGGACCGGGGCTGAGGGGGCCGGGGCCGGGCTGAGGGGGCCGGGGCTGAGGGGGCCGGGCCGGGGCCGGGGCTGAGGCCCGGGCGGTGTCGGGGCAGTTGTGGCGGGCCCTGTCACTATGGAGATGTCGGAGACGGCTGATAAGAAGGAGCCGGTTTACAACACTAACTCGGAGGATGCCGAGGTCAGGATCGCCGCCCGCCGCCGGCGGATACAGGACCGCTTCGAGGAGAAGAAAAGGTGAGCGACTCCCCCCCACACACACACCCACACACACCCCACACCACACACACCCACACCCCCCCCCACACACACACCCACACCCCCACACCCACACACCCACACACACCCCACACACCCACACCCCCACACACACACACCCCCCCCACACCCCCCCCCCCACACACACCCACACCCCCCCCACACACACCCACACACACCCCCCCCACACCCCCCCCCCACCCACCCCCCCCACACACACACCCACCCACACACACACCCCCCCCACACACACACACACACCCACACACACACACACAGGCTGCCATTGCACACAGTGAGGCCGGGGCCGCGGTGTCAGAGGCTTTAATCTGCGAGACACTGAGAGAGAAAATATATATTACAGGAGTCCTCCCAAAAGGAAACCTCCCACAGGAGTCCTCCCAGAAGGAATCCTCCCACAGGAGTCCTCCCAAAAGGAGTCCTCCCAGCTGAGTATAGATAAATAACAAGATTACATTTGTATAGCGCCTTTCACATCGGGAGGACGTCCCAAGGCGCTGGACAGTGTACAGCATTTCAGACCCGAGCTGGGGTCAAGGAGGGGAGGGTGTGACCGATCGCATGGTCGAAGAGGAGGGTTTTGAGGCAGGACTTGAAGGAGGCTAAGGAGGGGTGAGGCGGAGTGACTGGGGGATGGAATTCCAGAGGTTGAGGGCAGTGGCTGAAGGCTCTCCCACCAATGGTGGGCGGGTGGGTCGGGGGATGTGGAGCAGGCCGGAGCCGGCTGAGCGGAAGGAACGGGCGGGTTGGTAGGGGGTTAGGAGATCACAGAGGTAGGGTGGGGCGAGGCCATGGAGGGGTTTGTATGTGAGGACCAGGATCTTGAACTGGATCCTCTGAAGGATAGGGAGCCAATGGAGTCGGGTGAGAGTAGGGGAGATGGGGTTGTGGAGTTTGGTGCGGGAGAGGACACGGGCTGCAGCGTTCTGGATTATCAGCTGTGGAGGGAGGAGTTGGAAGGGCGACAAGCAGGACGTTTGCATAGTCGAGCCTGGAGGTGATGAAGGCACGAACAAGAGCTTCAGCGGCCTGAGGGGTGAGGTAGTAGTAGAGTCGGGCGATGTTACGGAGGTGAGGGAAGGCAGAGCGGGTCATGGCTTGGCTGTGGGGAAGAAAAGACAGTTGAGGGTCGAACAAGACACCGAGGTTGCTGACTGGCTTGGTGAGTTGTAGTGAGCAACCATGGAGGTTGATGCTGCCAGATCCTGAGATGCAGAGATAAAGACCGAATGGCTGTCTGTGAATCTACATGCCATATTGCATCCTTTGGTTGCAAGCGAAGCTGCAGCGGCAACAGTTATTAATCATCCCACTCAGCTCGCGTTAACCCTGCAAACCAAAGCCCAAATGGGTAGGGTGGTCCTAGCTGGACAAGCGGTGGGAATGCTTGCCAGACAGCGCCATTGTGGAGTCTTGCAGCTCAGCGGTTAGATCAATCGCCTCGCAAGCGAAAGGATCTGAGTTGGAATCCCGGACAGGGCGAAACACTGGGCAAGTTCCCTTACTCCAAATGCCTCTGTTCACTTAGCAGTAAGTAGAAACCGGGTTGTTAGTTGATTGGCAGATTGTTTTTCCGGGGGTAATAATCCGGAGTCCTGTAGCTCAGTGGTTAGAGCACTCACCTTGCAAGCGAGACACCTGGGTTCAATTCCAAAACCTTGGGCAGGTTTCCTTACTCCACACGCCTAATAATAATCCCTCCAAACCAAAATAATAATAAATTGGTCATTTTCAATCGACGACTGTTTGTGGGACAATGCTGTGTGCAATTGGCTGCCGCTTTTCACCCACAAATATACGGTCAATTCACTTTACAGTCTATTCTGTGAAGCACTTTGAGACGTCGAGAAGACATGATAAGGTGCTCTTATCGAATGCAAGGATTATTATTCTTGTTATCAATGGCAACCAATATGGGTTTAGCTGGTTAGATTCCAGCAGTACTCCAATGCACACTCTATGGCCCTCAAAGTTTGGCTCTTGCCAACCTGCGCCTAATACTTTCCGGAATTAGGTAAGCAGGATGTGTTCCTCCAGGGAGAGAGTGCGCATTTCATTCCAACAATCTATCGCTGGGATTTCCATGTGTAGGTGGGATGCAGGGAAATCTCAGGTTTGGAAACTCTTAACCACAGATTTCAGGCACTGGCTACCAAGAAAAAAATTTAAATTTCCTGTGCCCTACTCTCACCCTGCAGGGACGCAACCTGCTTAACCTGTTTCCAGAAGCTGTAAGGCACAGGGTGGTAGGAACCAAGCTTGGGGACCTCAGAGTGTGTGTTATAATAGCAACAAATTGCATTTATATAGTGCTTTTCACATTGGGAGTACGTCCGTAGGCTTCCTTGGGACGTACTCCCAATGTGAAAGGCACTATATAAATGCAATTTGTCCAAAAGTGCTTCACAGGAGGAAGTTGGGTAACTGCTGCAGTTTTACCAATTTAAACCGCATAGCTTGTCGTCATGCTTGCTATCCTGAAGTGCCCACTCTCTGTAAGAGGATCCACTGTGTCTCACTCCCCTTCTCTTTCACCTTATCTCATATATTTTTATTTTTTTCAAATATTTGTCCACTATATATAATAATAATCCTTGCATTTGATATAGTGACTTATCATGTCATTGAAATTCCTCAAAAGAGCTTCACAGAATATACTGTGACTATATACATACATATATTTATATATACAGTATATATTTTTTTTCTACAAAAACAGAAGTTGCTGGGAACACTCAGCAGGTCAGGTAGCATCTAAGGAGAAAGGAACGTGAGTCAACGTTTCAGACTGAAGAAAACTTCCTTTGTTTTACCAGGAGTTCGCTTATATTGTTTATAACCTACGAGGCTTCCCGACTCCCAGATTCAGTTAGATTGATTGATTAGTACTCAGCATCTTGTAATACCTCTTGATTAATGGCGAATTAAGTTTTATTCTCACCATCCCTGTTTAGGCGGCAAATTTAAGTTTCAGAGTTCCTCACAATATAATACAACAAGACTGACCAGCAGATATTCAAAATAATGTTAGTACTTTATTCAGTGAAAATGACATCAATAACCTGTTATACATACAACTGGGATGTGTAGTTTGGATACAAGGGTGATTAAATTCTTGCCCTGGGAGAGATGGTGTACATTACAATTACAGTACATCGATTAGTGTACGTCGATCATGTGTTGACAGTTGATCTTTCTGCTTCTGTGGTAGTGGTACCTTGCTTTCCTTGTCAATGTTATTGTGTTCATCATTTTTATACTGTAATCTCATGTCAGCCCCTGACCATGTCTTGTTTTTTCACAGACATTACCGATTCACCACTATACATTCTTTATCTCTGTGTTTGCCTTTTTACCCCTTATCAAGATCCTCTTGCATCCTGCTTCCAGGAGCCATCTGTGTCTGGTATCATAACATACTCCTCTCTCAAGGCTGAAAAACATGCAAGCTGCAAAAACAACTCCGGCAAAATCTCCTCTCCATCAGTTTTTTTTCACATGGAAAAACAGGCTGCTCGAGATCACCAGCTGCTCGTGATGAGCAGGAAGGTGGCTGCAGGTGTATCTTTCCGGTTGTATCAGGATGTGAGCACAAAGAGCATCCGGCAAAAACACTTCTTTACAAAGGTTTTGCCATTTAGTGTATATTTCCTCCATTTATTGTCCCCCACCCAAATATATCAACTCACAATGTTCTGAATTATATATCCTGTGACATTTATCTGCCTAATCCATTAACCTGTCTATTCCCATCTCATGTTGCTGAGTGTCTGTCCTCAATCCTTTGAAAAGGTGTCTGCCCCAATCTCTAGTAACTGGTTGTGAAGGTGTCTGCCATATTCTTAAATTAATGTATAAAATAGTATCGGCTAGATGGAACATTAGTTGATTGATGATACAAAATGAAACCACCATAAATTATTAAGTAAAAGCTTTATACAGTAAATGTGTAATTATATTAGGTCTGGATTTTCAACTGGCAAATTTTGTTTTCATGTTTAATAACAATAAGTTGGATGTTTGATAAATTGCATATGTATTTGCTATATAATTTATGAAAGTGAAATCAGAGCCCTACATTATAATAAATGTGAGCATGATTGTTGTTTTAGGGAGGCCCTGGAAGAAATGGACAGTGATGAACCAGAGGTGAAAGAAGAGGACATGAGTAAAAGCTGTAAGCAGGTTGAGGACTCCTATCAGGTCAGCTATTTCATGTTTATCCAGCCAGACTCATTTCAGTTAACCTTGCAGCCTTATCTTGGCAAGTCATTGCACAATTACATTGAGTTATATAGTGTTGCTATGCACTAAGTACAACCGAATAGGTGTAAATAGGTGGGGAGGGAGGAATTAGATATCAATAATGATCTTTGCATTTGATATAACAATATCAACAAATTACATTTGCATAGCACCTTTCATGTCGGGAAGATGTTCCAATGCGCTGGAGAGTCAGGGCTTTGGACCCCAGCAGGGAGTTGGGATCAGGAAGGGTAGAGGGCAGGGAGGGTAGGGGTAGGAGGGTGGATGAAGGCGCGGTCGAAGAGGAGAGTCTTGAGACATGCCTTGAAGTAGGCAAGTGCGGGTGCAAGGTGAAGGGACTGTGGAATGGAGTTCAAAGGGTGGGGGCAGAGATGCTGAAGGCCCGATCGCTGATGGTGGGGTAGGCCCTGTGGTGGACGTAGAGCAGGCTGTAGCGGTGGGAATGGGTAGGTCGATATGGGGTTAGCAGGCCACAGCAGTAGGCCAGATCAAGGCCTTGGAAGGCCTTGAAGGCAAGGACAAGGATTTTGAACTCTGTCCTCTGGGGGGTGGGGAGCCAGTGGAACCAGGTGAGGGTCAGGGTGATTTGGTCACGGAGCCTGGTGTGGGAAAGGACACGAACTGCAGAGTTCTGAATGATCTGCAGCTTGTGGAGGGAAGAGTTGGCAAGGCCGATAAGCAGGGAGTTGGCAAAGTCGAGTCTGGATGCAATAAATGCGTGGATGAGGCTTTTGGTGGCCTGAGGGGAGAGGCATTGGCGGAGCTGGGCGATGTTGTGGAGGTGACCAAGGCTGTTTCTGTGCTGTGGGAGAGGAAGGAGCAAAGCTGGGAAGGAACGACTCATATATAGCTCCTTTCATAGCAAGGAGATGCTGGTCTCTCCAGTTCCACCATCAAGGTCCAGCTTTTACAAAATTCTGTTGTACGTATCCTTACCCGCTCCAAACTGCATTCCTATCACCACAAACCTTGCCAGGCTTCGCCGTGCCACCTGGGAAGCTCACGGAGTTTCTGGTTCCAACCATACACCTGATGAGGACTAAAACCCGTGCTTGTCGGATGTCAAACGACCAAGTCGTGACTATCCTGCTTGAGAGGGAGGTATGTGGGGTCTACTTGGAACTGAACTAGCTTCCAGGTGACATACTTGGCAATGGAATGTCGGGATCGAGCCCTCTGTGGCAGTCTCGGTAGTCCAGTTCGTGAGCCAGGCAGATCTGCAGCATTCCAGGGAGGCACATGGCTCATCGGCAGGACTTGGAAAGGCAGACCAGTCACTGGGACGGGGAATCATCCCGCTCAGCTGCTGTTAACCCTGCAAGCCAAAGCCCTAATGAGTAAAGTGGTCCTAGCTGGACAAGCAGCAGGAAAGCTTACCAGACAGTGATATCAATGACAAGCTATGTGGTTTAGGCTGATTAGACTCCAGCAATACCCCAACTCACACCCTGGGGTTCCCAAGCCTTGGCTCTTGCCAACCTGTGCCTAATACTTTCTGGAATTAGGTAAGCAGGATGTGTTCCTCCAGGGAGAATGTGCACATACCATTCCAACAATTTATTTTTTTAGAGACTTATCAAGCTGAAAAGAGATGGGACAGCATTGGTCACGAATATACAGGTAGCAGAAGACTTGAGGGAGATGAAGAGGAGAGCTGCAGATAAAGAGGCACAAAGGCAAAGGTAAGCCAAGTTCAGAACATTTATGCTAACAGTATGCTCCACCAACTTAGCACAGAAAATAAGAGCATAGCTTTTGCATCTTGTTGTAAGATCTATTGGAACTGAACATTGATCAGCCTAAGCAGATACTGGAATCTTGTTTCAGCTCCAATGTGACAGTTTTCTTCAGAGCTTAAAAAATGTTAACAAGAAGTGTTGTACACTAAGGTAAATCTAGAAATAAGACATAGTTACTGATATAGGCTGATCCGGATAAAATACGCTACAGTATAGTACGGGTCTGCTTATAGTATGGCTGCACTATGGATAGGAAGTGTAGGCTTCTGACGCAGACAGGCTGGCTTCCTGGGTGCTGCGGGCATGCATGCTATGCACAAAAAACACTGACTTCCTGTGGGCTGCTCATATGCATTATGTGCAGGAATTGCCACTGAACTCAGTTACTGTATGATGTGCGCTCTATGTGCAGACAGCACCATTGATGATCCTGATGACAGCAATGACTTCATGACCTGGAAGCGCTGACCACTGGTCCTTTTTATAGTGTCTTGTTATTACACATGGTCCGTGTTAACCCAAACCACCACGTATAGCAGGGTTATTTGGGTACAATATTGCGTACTGGGGGGGAAGACTAGTAGCATGAAGCTGCTGCATCTTCATTCTATATGGAAAGGGATGGTGTGAAAGATACTTTATATGTGCAAGTTGTTGTTTAATACTGCTCTCCCTGAATAAAAGTCTTTATATTTACCTGTTGGAAGTCTTTTACAGTCAACATAATGCTGGCAGTGTTTTTGTTTTGGTGTCTAAAGGAGGACGAAGCTGGAGAGTGAAGCAGCCATTAGTCATGATAAGTTTGAATACATTACAAAGAAATGGCTATCAGCAAAAGCCCGTAAAATTCCACAGGATTTGTATGATCTTCTCATCAGTCAACAGAAGCAATGCACTGAGCTAATTCAGGATAAAAACAAATTGATAAATGAGCTGCAGCAGGTAATAATTGGATACCTTGAGAGAAAGCTGTAACATTTTCATGGTTTAGCTTTAAGTTATCACATTTTTATGTTTAATATTTGTAATAATAATAAAATAATTATAATCCTTGCATTCAATATAGTACCTCATCACGTCATTGAGACATCTCAAAGAGCTTCACAGGAAATACATAAATTGAATGGACTATGTATTTTATGGGTGAAATGTGGCAGCCAGTTGCGCACAGCAGTGTCCTATAAACAGCCATGGAGTAAATGGTCGATTTTATTTGGGAGATTGTTGGCCAGGACACTGGGTGAAACTCCCTGCTCTTTTCGAACAGTGACATGGGATCTTTAACATCCACCTGAACAGGCAGCTGGGACCTCGGTTTAAAGTGTCATCCGAAGGACGGTACCTCAAACGTGTCAGCTTAGATTATGTGATTCCAATTTCCTACGTGGGGTTTGAACCCACAACCTTCTGATTCAGAGGCGAGAGTGTAACCATTAAGGCAGACGTCACATTATTTGGCAATGAAATGTTCGTAGCTATCCAAGCTAGATGGGCATGGGTTTAATTTTGTTGTTTACTTGATGTTCAATTCTGATTGACCGAGAGAATAGGTAAAGCTGAGGATATAGTATTTATGGATTTAGAGAAGGCTTGTGATAAAATACACATAGGAGACTTGTTAAAAGTATTAGGGTGCATGTTATTAATTGGAAGGTAGCAGTGTGGATAAAAAGTTGGTTAAAGAATAGGAAACAGGGTGGGAGTACAGGGTTGTTATTTGGAAAGGAGAGATGTAAATAGTAGTGTTTTCAGGGTCAGTATTAAGACCACTGCTTTTCTGCATTTATATAAATGATCTGGATTGCGGTGTAGGGGGCATGATTTCTAAGTTTGGAGATGACACAATAATAGTGTAGGTAACAGTGCATAAGATTATAAGCCACTTCAGGGTGGCATAGACAGATTAGTTTCAAATGATAATGAAATTTATTGCAGGCAAATGTGAGGTTATACATTTAGGGAGGAAGAATAAGGAGAGCAAGAATATGTTAGGAGTTGAATTGGCAGGCTCAAGTGGGAAGTAAAAAGGCAAATGGGAATGTCATGTTTATTGATGTTTTATTTAAGTTCTCTGAGATCCTACAATGCTTTGAAGGGCGTTGTATAAATGCCGGCTATTGTTATTCATTCTACTTGATTTATATTTGCAGGAGCTAAAGTTAAAGGATGACCATTACGTGAAAGACCTGAGGAAAGCTTCAGAAGACATTGAACTGTTAGCAGAACGAATGGAAGAGCAAATGAAGACTATATCTAAAGCCTATCGGGAAGAAATTATACAAATTGAGGTGAGAATTGGACCNTTTTTTTCGAATGGACATGACCTTTTCTTGCTGGGAGGGTAAGTTAGTCAGAGCCAGAAACCTTTCCCTGTTATTACTGTCAATGTGTTTCTATGATTGGTTGGCAAGCTAAACAGAGCTCTCTGTTTAACTTACCAACCAATCATAGAAACACATTGACAGTAATAACAGGGAAATGTTAGCAAGGTCATCTCAGTTTTTATTTTCCTTCATTTATGGACTGAGTAATCCAAAAAGCACCATATTGAGGTTTATGTTGGAAGATTCGAAAAGAGATTTGTAAATCTTTTAGTAAATAATGATCACTCCTCTGGAACACTATTCAGATGCTGACTTCATCCAACAGTGACAACAAGAAGAGGACAACAACAAGATTCCATTTATAGAGCGCCTTTCACGTCGGGAGGACGTCCCAAGGCGCTGTACAGTTGGGTCAGGACCCGAGCAGGGGGGAAATGGTCAGGGTGAGGGGAGGGAAGGGAGGGAGCGAGGAGGGGATAGAGAGTCGAGAGGGGAGCTGAAGGCACGGTCAAAGAGAAAGGCCTTGAAGGAGGAAAGGGAGGAGGCGGCGAAGGCACTGGGGGATAGAGTTCCAGAGCCTCGGGGCTGAGAGGCTGAAGGCCCGGCCATCAATGGTAAGGCGGTTGGGGCGGGGGATGTGGAACAGACCGGAGCCAGAGGAACGGAGGGGATGGGCAGGTAAGTAGGGGGATAGTAGGTCGGAGACACATAGTTTACTGGTTACTAATCCTTTTGTAACTCTTGTTATTTATTCTTCATTGTGAAACAAGGGCCAGAGGCTTAGGCCTGAAACCCTCTGACCTGAAACTTTCTGCACTCTGATGACGGGGAATGGCAGATTGATAATCTGAAAATAGAGTAGCAGTTTAACTCAGAGGGCATCCTGTAAATACAGCTATTATTCTCTCTGGCAATCATTTCCATGTAATGTGACCTTTTCGTGTTTGCATTCACTTATTCCAGTATCAGTTCCAGTTCTGTCTTCTAGATTCTCCGAGTATACTGACCTAATAAACCAGATATGTTGTCCATAGATTTCCATAGAGTTGTGCTGCTCCCTAAGAATCAAGCAAGGAGTTCTTAGTACCTGCTGCCTACCTAGTGATGGCTGAAACCTGCACTTGTCTAATGATTAACTAGTGTCTTTCCTCCTTGGGGAGAGGTAAGCACATTCTGAGCTGGTTCCAAGGTGAGGAACCTGGCAACAGAATTTTGGAATCAAGTCCACTCTCTATGGTGATCTCAGTGGGCTTGTCCATAAGCCAGGAAGGTACTCCGTGGGATTTTTAGAATACAATAGAATATACAGCACAGAAACAGGTCATTCAGCCCATCTGGTCTAGGCTGGTGTTTAAGCTCCACATGGGCCTCCTCCTGCCCTTCCTCAACTAAACCTATCAGCATAACTTTCTAATCCTTTCTCTCCCATGTACCTGTCTAGCTTCCCCTTGAATAGATCTATGCTATTTGCCTCAACTACTCCTTGTGGTAGCAAGTTCCACGTACCCACCACTCTCTGTGTAAAGAAATTTCTTCTAACTTCCCTATTTGATCTATTGGTGACTATTTTATATTGATGGCCCCTGGTCTTGGTCTTCCCCACAAGTTGAAACATCTTCCCTATTTCTATCATATCAAAACCTTTCATAATTTTAAAGATCTCTATCAGGTCACCCCTTACTTACCCTTCTCTTTTCAAGAGAAAAGAGTCCAAGCATGTTCAGCCTTTCCTGATAGGTATAACCTCTCAGTTCCGGGATCATACTTGGGAATCTCCTTTGCACCTTCTCCAGTGTCTCTATATTCTTTTTATAATGTGGGGACCAGAACTGCACACAGTATTCCAAATGTGGTCTAACCAAGGTTCAATATAAGTTTACCATAACTTCTCTGCTTTTCATTTCTATCCTTCTAGAAATGAATTTTTAATGATAGATCAGACAACCTGGGTCATGTGCAGGATGTACAGGGCAGTCCAGTCACTGGAGGCACTTCTTTCCACTTGTCTTCAGTTAACCTTGTAAGCAAAGTCCTATTAGATATTGTTCCAAGCTGGCCAAGCAGTGTGAAGCTTGCCAGAAAAGTTTTCACAATTACAAGCTATGAGATTTTAGCTGGTGTATTCCAGCAGGAGCCTGGTGCATAATCTGGAGCCCCCCCAATCCTTGACTTTTTCCAGCATGTATTTAATACTTTCCAGAATTAGATAAGCAGGGTGCATCTCTCTGGGGATGCATTCCATTCATTCCATACCCGCACTGCAACGATTCACGCTATCACAGCGGCAGTTAGTCACCACTCTGAGGATTAACTCCAAGTATTAGCTTATTAAAAATAATAATGTGGTCACACAGCTGTGCGCAATTGGCCGCCGGTTTTGCCCACAAGATATACAGTCAGTTCACTTTACAGTATATTCTGTGAAGCGCTTTGAGGCATCTCGGAGACGTGATAAAGTGCTATATCAAATGCAAGGATTAGTATTATTATTTATTCCAGATCCAGGGAAATTTCCATGCTTTAGTCAGCTTGTACATGTTAGTCTCTTGTTTTGGTTTGCATACTCTTAAAAATGGCGTTGGGTTTTCAAGAGTATTAGACACACGGCTGACCAAATAAAACAATGCATCAGCTCACTAGCCAACTCCAGAAAACTCCAGTAATCATTGTGTGAGAACGGATCAGGCTATGCTACTAGATCATACACATTTGAATTCATATTTACTTATCTTTATTTTTATCTCTGACAGAAAGCCTTTCAGATGGAGCGTCATGGACTACAACGAAACAACTTTTGGGACTGGAAAGGTGCGATGCAGACACGCAGAGACAAAGAGGTAAACAAATAAATACAATGTGCACAAAATGTGCAAGTACAACAGCAACAAAGAGCCAGTGCAGTTTAGGATAAAGATAAGAGAGCCTATAATAGAGAGGCTGTTTGTTTTAAGCAATATATTGTCAACTTATTTTTATTCTTATATTTTATATTTAAATGTTTTGAGACCTCCTCCCAAAGTGAAAGGCGCTATATAAATGTAATTTGTATTGTGATTGTATTTTTTAGATCGACTATCTGATGACTCGATTGGAGAAAGTAGAGGAGTATGAAGAACAACTCCAGGAGTTCAGAGTGCAGGATGCAGAAGAATACAATATGATCAAGATTAAATTGGAGAATGATGTGGAGGTGTGATCGTAGAAGGGTCTCATTCTATTTATAAATAATAATATAATATTCCTTGTATTTGATTCGTTTTCAAATCCCTTCACTCCCTGGCACCTCCCTACCTCTCCGACTTCCTCACTCCCCAGTCCACCACCCGGCGCCTCCGCTCGACTAGCACCGGCCTCCTGCTCGTCCTTCACACCCTCCGCTCCATCATTGGAAGTCACGCATTCAGCCACTACGCCTCAAAACTCTGGAACACTCTCCCTCAATCCCTCCGGCTTGCCCCCTCTCTCTTTCAAATCCCGCTTGAAAGCCTTCCTTTTTGACTGTGCTTACGGGCACCTCTCCCCCCCCACTCCGGCTCGGAGTCAGGCTCCGCCACTGTTAAACGCTTTGAGACGGTGCCCTGGTTGGAGGGCACTATAGAAGCGTGACTATGTTGTTGCTGTTGTGCTCCAAAAGAACCCCCACCTATTCCCCCTTCTATACCCTTCAACCTTTGTTACAATAGCAATCTACAATATTATTTTGTGTGCTGGACTCAAAGCGGCAGCCTTTAAGAATCAGTATTTTTTAGATGCTGGAACAGCAGTTGCAGCAGATGAGAGCTACCTTCCAGCTAAACCAAGAGAAACTTGAATACAACTACCAGGTGCTGAAGAAACGTGATGAAGAGAATATGATCACAAAATCACAACAAAAGAGAAGAATCACAAGGTTAAAAAATACCCCGATCACCTTACTTTCAACAAGCATTTATTTAGGGAGTCTGTCTTCATCCTCCCCAATGACCTCAAATGTAATGTGGTGATTAAGGACTTTGTAAATGAATCTCTCTTACATTGAACCATAGAATTGCCCACATTAATATTCTGTACATTCTCCCTGTATGATTCACCACTCTGCCAATACCTCTAGACACATTTGCTTGCCTTTGGCTACATCCTAATCACCAGTTCATTCCAGAGTCAACCCTTGGCATTTTATTCAACCCTCAACTTTCTTTTAAACCATATATCCAGTCCTTGACCAACACTACTTTTTTCCACTTCCAGAGCATTACTCGCCTTGATTCTACCTTACCCCCTTCCTCTGCTGAAATCTCGTTCATATCTGTCACATCCAGACTTACTTTTTCCACTGTGGCCACCCTAGCCTCATAAACTCCACTTAATTCAGGACTCTACATCCTCTACATTATCCTTTTGAATGCTAACCTCTGCATGTCATCATTCCTATCGGCAAGTTGCACTGCCTCCCTGTCTCTTAGCAGTTCAATACCTAGATTCTTATGCTGACCTTCCATTTCTTCCATGTCTTTGCCCTACCTTCCCTCTGCAGTCTCCTCCAACCTCACTCTCCTGCTTACTCTCTTCATTCCGCAGATTCAAGCCTGTTGCACATCCCTCTCCTTCCCATCAGTAACCAAGTGTTTGGCCATTATGCCCCCAACGCTCTGGTATTTCCTTCAATATCTCTTCACCTCACGTCTGCACTCTATGCCTTTAAAACATTCCTAAAATTCTATTTGTTTGACTTTGCTTCGGATGCTTATACCCTAATCCCTCTCCATTCAACACAACAACAACAAGATTCCATTTATAGAGCACCTTTCACGTCGGGAGGGCGTCCCAAAGCGCTGAAACTTTGATTGATGTTTCACACCATCTGTGTAAAGCATTTCAAGATGGCCTTGTATTTGAAAGACATTGTATGAGTGAACACTCTTGTTGTTATTTAACCCTTACAATATGTATCAGTGTTCTTTGTTTTGATTGCTAGATGTAAAGTCAGCTAATCAACAAAAATCAAGCATAGAAAGATATTTATCAATTGATTAAGTATTGGTTAACTAACTTCACATCTAACACTCCCTGGAATTCAGATGGTTGATGGTCGACCTAATGGAGGTGTTTAAAGTTAAATAAAACTCGAAAGATTAGATACAGAGGAACTGTTTCCTCTGATGATGGAATCCAGAATTAGGGGATAGACTTAAAATTAGAGGTTTTAGGAGGGAAACCAAGAAAGAATGTTTGGAAAGCACTTCATGATGTTAGAAAGATCCCAAACTATTTTACAGTCACTACTTACAGTACTGCATTGATCAAAATATCTTTGTTGTGGATCATTTTACAGGCAGCAGGACACTCTAAACAGACTGAAGTCAAAACTGGCTAAACAAGAGAAGATGTACCAAGAGGAGAACCAGACCCTGACGGATGGATACAACCGAGTTGTAGAACAGTACAAGGACATACAGTCCAAAATTAGGTTCTAAAATTTCTATTTGAAACCTGATCCAGTGTATTGTTTCATTGCATGATATTGATGGACTGACATCAATCCTATAGCACTATAGCAAATCTGGGAAACAATTTATCACAATATTTCTGTGCTATTGATACTTACCAGGTTACTTGGTTCATTGCAATCACTGACACTCAGCTTACTGAATTGCTTGGATAGTTATATTCTTAGCACTTTAGCAATTTAGGGAGCACAATATTTTTTTCATTGATGTTACATTAACCCTCTCCAATTAATTTGCAAGTGACAGGTATTTCGTGTCTTATTATCAGTATATAAGTAATTTATTACCCAGTTTGTGATCAGTTGTTAAAGCTGGATAGTGGCTTGCAAGTTGTGATATTTGAAAAATCTATACTCTATAACATTCACCATTATGAAATATTCATATTGTACATTTTACCATAGTATCAGTTATCTCAATACGTGTACATTACTCATGACCTGAGTTTTTACACTTCTGTTTATGTTTATGGGCATGAAAATTTGCAAATATTTCTCAAACCAATTCTTTTTTCTAATCAGACATTTTGCTGCTGTTGATGCAAAGAACTTTGAAGATGTTTGGCTGATGAATGAGGGGGAAGTGAAGGAACTGGTTCAAAAGGCCTTGGAGGCTGATCGAATTATCCACGAACAACAGCTGGGTTTGTGTTGGAAAAAACCTAATCTGTGTTTCATGACTAATGTCGGACCTATTATACCATGCTCCAAGCAAGGAAAATTAGCTGTCCAACTGGCAGAAGAAATTATATTAGGAGGTAAGTGGATAAGTGTTAATGTGTTATGAAAACAAACTTAATTTGCTATTGGACCATAGCAAATCTTAAACTGTTGAACTACAAGTAGCCAAGCTGAGAAACTTTACTTTTATCCGGTTATTGGTTTTGCTCATCAAGATTCTGTTATCCACCAGCAGTGGGAAGCTTATACAATATAATACAAATTTAACATGTATATAATGCCTTTCACATCGGGAGGATGTCCCAAAATGCTTGACAGTACTGGCTTGCACCCCTGAGCTGGGGGTGAGAGCCTGGGGAGAGAAAAGATGGACAAAGGTGTGTTCAAAGTGGAAGGTCTGGAGACAGACATTGAAAGAGAGGAGGGAAGGTCCCAGTTGGCAGGATGTCCGGATGGAGTTTCAGAGAGTGGGAATGCAGTGTTTGTGTTTTTAGATTATTACATTCTAGCAGTACCCAAGTACATATTTTGAGTTCTCCAAGACTTGTCTCTCGCCTAATACTGAGCCTAATGTAAGCTGGATGCATTTTTACTGAGGGAGAGAGTGTGCATCAGAATCACAGAATCATAGCCTAGCTGTAACTGTGAAGAAGGGGGACATTTGTCTCATCGAGTCCGCACCAGTTCCTGAAGCATTCCATTTCAGACACTTGGAAATTCCCATGTGTAGATGCTATGTATATGTGAGACTTTCAGGCTGGTTTGTACACTCAAGCACCATAATGGGTTACTGCACATGGTTTGGTTGACTGAAACTAAATTAGTGAGGTCAAGAAATCAAGACTTACCACTCAGTGCTCCAAGATGCTGCCCAAAATGAATTTAAAATGAGCAAATGTGGGCTCTTTCTTTCTGTTATCACTCCTAGCTGCGAAGGGCGCTATATAAATGCAAGTTGTTGTTGTTTAGGTGACACTGAGACATTGACTGTGGATGAGGAAGTACAGGAAACACCAGTGCTGCCAGCTACAAATAAAACTTTTTTTAATGAATGTTTTACGACTGGTGAGGGAAAAAAACGATGCGAAGGAAAAGCCGAAGAGGTCTCATTGAAGACAGTCAAACAATTGCTGGATGTCTTGTGCGATGAATCTGTGCGTACTTATGTTTTTATAACTCATAGAATTTCATTCTTTTATTCATTCTGGAAAATAAAATTATTCTAAGGAATCTTTGTGTTCAATAGATGGTGTCAGCTTGGCTCATTTGGGAGCAATTTTCTCTCTTCTGTTCAAGAACACATTGAGACTTGAATTTTTGATCTATGCTGAATTAGGCACCCCTCGTATTTTATACATGATGCTTTGTAACTGCATATTGTATACATGCCACATGGGTCATGAACACATAATTAGAACATGGAACAAGAAATAGTAATTTGACTCAGCAAGTTCACTCCTCCCACAGTCACACTAAACCTACCCCATCAAAAACCACCCAACCAGCGTATCTGCTTGGTGAGCATTCTGTACAGAAACTCTGGACTTCGAAAGTAATACAGTCAAAATCGAGATTATTTATCCATCGTCAATTCTAGCCTCTTTACTCCACTATCTCCTGGGCCCATAAAGCACATAAAGAACGCAATCCAAAGTTTGCATCAATGTTTAGTCTTGAATCTGGTATTTGTTGTCTGGAGACCACAATGTGTAATGACAATTTTTTTTTAACAGGGTTTCCTGATTGAACGTAAACTTTCACAAATTATCACCCCACTCCAGAGGGATGAACGGTCCCTGATAAGACTGGATGCTATATTTGTGGTAAGAGCAAGTCTGATTTATAGATTTTCACTCACATACTCGAGATAAGAACCTTTTTCGGTGTTACCATTTCACTTCACTGAGATAATATTGTCTCGTCTAGATTCGACTTTTCCAATGCTCCCTGGCCTACTAGCTTTACCCTTCATAATTAGATATATTATATGCCATTCCATGTCAAGATATAGGAACCTAAGGTAGAAACTAGGAAGCCCGTAACCAGGGACGGAAATATAAGATAGTAACTAGGAGATCTAAAAGAGTATTAAGGAGGAACTTCTTCACGTAGAGGGTACTGAGATTGTGGATCTCACTGCCTGAAGCGATGATTGAATCAGATAATGTGGATGCATTCAGGAGGAAACTAGACCTTCATGGAGAGGGGAATAGAAGGGTATGGGAATGAGGAATGGGTGATGAATCGTGTGGAGTATAAATACTGGCACGGATGGAGCAAGTGGCATGTTTCTGGCAACAATCTTTGTAACCTTTGTGAAATATCAGTGTGCCTTGTCCCAGGTCTGATACGTGACCAATTAAAATTCATGTGAACTCTAAAGAAGGATGGAGCACCATTTTTGCTCTCGGCATGGCCCAAATATTCTTAGAGCTAAAAAAAATTGTCCAATATAGAGTTTGATATTTGACAGAGGGATCCTCTTTCATTTTAAGGGGGACAGAAATTTAAACTTTTCACTCTGGGTCTTTGTCCTTATAAACCCAGCAAGGGAATTAATCATTTGATAAGAATGGTTTGACTATGATGATTAAGGTGCTGTTATACATTTGACCAAGACCAAAGGAGACTGAGGAAAAGAAGAGATAAGCAATCGGTTTCTCCTAAAATTAAGACGTATTTTTGCCGTAAGATGTCTTCTTACCAATTGTGTTGGTCACTTTTATGTTCAGACAGCTTATTGTTATTGTATCATCAAGTTAATGGTTATTCAAAGCTTAGGAAATTCTGATTCATTTCTGATCTTAAACAGGCTTTAGGAATTGAGTCTGCAGACGATATCTTCAAGCTGACAGATTTCTTCATTGATTATAAACAGCATTCTACGTCTGAATTATACAAGGTAAGGTAACCACACCATCAGAACTAGAATTGTAAATACATTTTGAATTTGTAAATTTAATTTCTCCCTTAAGACATGTAGTCCTCTCTTATTCCCAGGAATATTTCAGAACAAATAATATTTTGCTTTATGAGCAAATACCACCTTTGAAATTACCTGAGATGCTTCCATGGTTTTGCTTAACTCTTTCACTGTATTCTAATTTGCAAGATTTGCAAAAGGATTTGAAAATAGCAGTTACTGTGTCATGCAATTCTAGGTGCAACAAATGAGTGGTGTAACCTAGATTAGAAGTTATCAATAGTTGTATAAATAAATACTCCTTACATTTGGTATGATGCCTTTCAAAGTGCTTCACAGAATATACTATAAAGTGTAGTCAATGTGTGTTTTGTGGGCAACAGCAGGTTTAACCTAAATGGATATAACATAGATTGTAAATTATCAATAATGGTATAACTTAAGTTAAAGGTTAGTCTCATTGAACCAACATTGGGATTTATAATACGATACAAATTACAATGCAAATTTACATTTATATAATGCCTTTCACGTCGGAAGTGATCTTGTTTGAACCGTTCGACTTGCTTGAATCAAATTTTGTCTTACTTTTCGATGTTAATGGTTAATTGTACTGTGTGAATTTTAAGTAGCCTCTCACCCACCAGAATGTCACAAGCAGTATACCACAGCACGTTCAATACTATCTAATCTAAATATTGTAAGCCTCTTCTCTGCTGCTTCCTGCTATGACCCGATTCAAAAACTTTACTTTCGCAGTAGTTTGATTTCAAATAGTCAGAGATCTTGGGATGTAAACTAACTGTAGTTGTGTGTTGAACCATTAAGAGGAATAAACAGCATTCCTCAAAGAGTAATATGGGAATGTATTAGACCACAGAAGACTATTGGGGCTAGCTTGCCAAACTCAAAATAAAAAGCAAAAGTATAGACAACTGCATGACAACAACTTGCATTTATACAGCAGCCTTTATGTGGGGTGGCACCTTTGGAACTTATTTTATATGGACTCAACAATGGTGTATTTTGTATCTCTCATATCCCCAAAATTAACAGTTATAATAATAATCCTTTCATCTGATATAGTTGCTTTCACTTCAGGCCGTGTCAAATGGTTTACAGGATATATTGTAAAGTGTATTGACTCTGTAATTTATAGAATTCATAACCCTTACAAATAGCTATCGAATTGCCTTTTGAAGTTGTTACCACAATCTGCCCCCAGTTTATTCTACATATGTAAACCATACAGCTTTTAAAAAGACTAATGATGCAAAAAGTATAACTGAGCATCCAACACTTCCAACACTGGAAACAACTTAAATACAAACAGACAATGGTGGAAATGGACAGTAGTCAATGAGTCACAAGAGAAGTTCAGATAAAGAAAGCTGTTCAGCCCATTTGATCTCATCTTACAGAATAACCACCCCACCATCTTCATATTGCAGTTTCTTGAACGAGGGTTGACCTTAATTACTCTTCCTGGTAAACTGTTCCAAGTGTTGATTATCCTGTGTGAATAAATACTTCCTGGTGTCCGTCTTAAGGTTGCACTTGAAACCACTGAACCTGTACCTTCTTTGGTTTTCTTTAGGAGACTGACGAACTTTTGGAGAAACTGGAAAAGGAAGAGGCAAAAAAAACGGAATCATCCACAAAATCAGATAAAGTAGCCACAGAAACCGAGGAACATTCTGAAGTTTGCAGACGTTCAGTCGATGAAGAGGCAGATATTTGCCTATCTATGAGATCCAAGAATTCTTATGATCTGTTTCACCCAAATGATATCCTCAGAGCTCTCAAGGATTTCCTCAGAGAACGTGAGACACCAATGTATGTTTTCATTTCAAGAACCCTCACAACTCAGATGAGCTTACAAAAAAAAACATTATTTGTCCTGGAAAACTGACTATATTTTTCCTATAAAACAGCTTAGAATATTATTAATGTGCAAACGATAAAAAAGTTCACTTCAACAACAACAACAAGATTGCATTTATAGAGCGTCTTTCACGTCGGGAGGACGTCCCAAGGCGCTGGACAGTTGGGTCGGGACCCGAGCAGGGGGGAAATGGTCAGGGTGAGGGGAGGGAAGGGAGGGAGCGAGGAGGGGGTAGAGAGTCGAGAGGGGAGCTGAAGGCACGGCAGAAGAGAAGGGTCTTGAGACCGGCCTTGAAGGAGGAAAGGGAGGAAGCAAGGCGAAGGCACTGGGGGCTGGAGTTCCAGAGCCTAGGGGCTGAAGACTCGGCCACCGATGGTAGGGCGGTTAGGGCGGGGGATGTGGAGCAGAACGGGCAGGGTAAGGGTAAGGGTACTTCAGATCCTTTAGCTGAGATTCTGGAATTTGCAATGTGATAATCATTGGTTGCTTTTTATTTTATACGAATGGCTGGTTTGGAGCTGAACACCTCTCCCTTCAAAACTATCAACCAACAATGTTTTAGTCCGTGGCAAGGTAGTGCAAAATCTGCATCCCAGGTGCAAGACTATTTGAAATCGGATGTATTGCCAGATATGTGACATGGCAATGAAGTAGAGAAAGTATTAGAGTATCATGTGGGAGTGAGTAAAATACGTGGAGGAATATAAAGGTACAATTTGCAGGGAGTTTGATGTAATAATTAACTCTGGTGAAAAAGATTACCAATGTTAATTTACACAACAACATGTTTTGGTCTTTTGGTGTTTACCATTAAACAACCATTAGGTGTAAACCAACCCTGACAGTGTGAGGTCTCCAGGCTGTGGCTCTCATAGGTCCAAGATCGTTGCCATCTTAGAAAATCTCAATCAAGTTGTTTTTGAAATTTAAAGCATAGCTTCTGAAATAGTTTTATTCGTCTGTTGAATTATTTGTTTCCAGTTATAATGTGTCAAGTAGTTGTGATATTTGCACTCTCCCTGGCCCCTTGACGTATGTTCTATCTCTTTAACTATTCAGATGTTCAAGCTGTCATGGAACTTATTCAGATCCAATCCCACAAACTAATTCTGGCCAGCAAATGATTACAGTAATAATAATAATAATAATCCTTGCATTTGGTATAGCGCCTTTCATGTTGTGTGACATCCCAAAGTGCTTCACAGGATTTTACTGTGAAGTAGAGTGACTATGTATTTGTGGGTGAATGTAAAGACCTTCAGAGAGGGTACAGGGAAGGGGAACTAGATTCAAATAGGCATCTGAGTGATGTGACCCTGAGGTATGGACAGGAAGACGATGCCAATCCTCTCACGTATTTCATGTTGAGATGTGCTGCCCACCAGGAAGCTCGCAGGGAGTTTGTACCTACCATCCACCTAGTCAGGGTGTAGACCCAGGCTTGTCGGATATCGATTGACCGACTAGTGAGTATCCTTCTTGGGAGGGCAGGAAGTAAACAGGGTCTCCTTGGAGCTGAATCCTGCAAGCCAAAGCCCTAATAGTAGGGTGATCCTAACTGGACAAGCAGCATGAAGCTTGCCAGACAGCAATATCAATAATAATAATAATAATAATAATCCTTGCATTTGATATAGCGCTTTTCACGTCAGGAGGACGTCCCAAAGCGCTTCACAGAACACACTGTAAAGTGAATTGACTGTATATTTGTGGGCGAACGCGGCAGCCAATTGCGCACAGCAATGTCCCACAAACAGTCATGGGTTGAAAATGACCAATTTATTATTGTTTTTGGTTTTGGAGGGATTATTATTAGGCGTGTGGAGTAAGGAAACTTGCCCAAGGTTTCGCCCTGCCTGGAAATGAACTCAGGTCTCTCGCTTGCAAAGCGAGTGCTCAACCACTGAGCTACAGGACTCCACAAAATGACAAGCTATGCACTTTGGGGGCCCCAAGCTGTGCCAAATACTTTCCAGAATTAGGTAAACAGGATGTGTCACTCCAGGGAAAGGGATGGAATTCCATTCCAATAATCTATCTCTGAAATTTCCATGTTTTATTATTTTATGTTTTATGTATTATTATTATGTGTAGGTGGGATGCATGGAATTCTCAGCTTGGTTTCGATACTCTTAGTGATTGGTTTCTACATGTGTCAGACACCCGTCTGAAAAACAAATTATGAGGAGAGGCTGCAGGAAGCGAGCAATGTTTGACTAACGAACAGCAGGGACAGGGGAGATTATACTGAAGTATTCATGACCCTAAATGGTACAGACAAAACTATAGGTCAAAAAAAATCTTCAAAAGGGACACACAAGCTGAGCTCTTGGTATGAGGCTTAGTTGCTGTGTGTTTTTGTATGTCTTCATTTGTAATGAATACAAATGAAACCATAAAGTAATTATTAATAAATTCACCAATAATAATAATAATAATAATAAATAATAATCCTTGCATTTGATATAGCGCTTTTCACGTCGGGAGGACGTCCCAAAGCGCTTCACAGAACACACTGTAAAGTGAATTGACCGTATATTTGTGGGCGAACGCGGCAGCCAATTGCGCACAGCAATGTCCCACAAACAGTCGTGGATTGAAAATGGCCAATTTATTATTGTTTTTGGTTTTGGAGGGATTATTATTAGGCTCTGCGTGGAGTAAGGAAACTTGCCCAAGGTTTCGCCCTGACCTGCCTGGAATGATTTTAGATGTTGTTGTTTATATAAAAAAAACTTAAAATGCAGAAAATCTGACCCTGATTCCTGTAGATGGAAGAGCAATATTGTGTTGTAATCTCCCAACAAAGCTTTCAATCATCAGGTTTATTTTTTTCCAGTGAAAAGCAGCCACCGAAGGTAATACATGTAAAGGAGAGGGATGATTCGGAGGATTCGGAATACTGGAATGTTATGGCAAATGTCATCTCTGAAAGCCACCTGAAGACCTGGGATGCTCTGGAACGAGCACTGGGAAAATACTAGTAAGTGCACCCCACAGCTAATAGTAAAGTTACATTATCAGTATTAATTCTAATTTTCCACAACACTTTCCATCAAACTGGACATTAAAACATAGCAGACAATGGGAGGGGCAGTGTAAAGCAATGATACATGTCTGGTATAATGCTTGGTGTCCCTAAATAACTAGGTTTTAGCAAATAAATTTGTGTTTGGAGGAACATCATTAGAACAACAGCAAGTGATTGATTTGTCATTTTCACTGGGGCTTGTAAGCATCATCAGACAATATTACACAAGCTGCAGACTATCCAGACTTCTACAAGTAGTGTTCTCTCCTGCATTAGGCTCCATGAGCCTATCACCCCCATCCTGCCTTGGCTCCATTGGCTCCCATCCCTAGTGGATCGAGTTTAAGATGCTTGTTCTCAACTTCAAATCCCTCCACGGTCTTGCCCCACTCTACCTTTGTGGACTCTTCAAACTGTACTAACCTGGCCACTACCTTCACTCAGCAGGCATTGGCCTGGTCATGTCCCCCGCTCTATACGCGCTACCATGGGCATTGGTCTTTCAGCTTATCTGTCTCACTCTGTGGAACTCCATCCTGGAGTCCCTCGAACTCGCTTCCTCATCTCTTTCAAGGTCTGTCTCCAGACCATTCTCTTTAATCACACCTTTAGTCATCTTTCCCTTCCCATCTCTTGACTCCTCCCACCCCCATCTCACCACTCGAGTGCCAAGCCAGGACTGTCAAGCAGCTTGAGACAGCTCCTGATGTGAAAGGCTCTGTCTAAATGTAAATTTGTAATGTACTTTATTATATTATCCATATGAGCAGTGAATATTCCTTCCAGTTTTAAAAATATCAATTTCTTTGCTTTCACATAACTCCTTATTTGAAAGCAAATCTAATTTTATGTACATTTCATGTGCTAATGCTTATATGTTATAGAATACACTAAAATATACTTAATATTGCTTTCTTTAAATTTAATTAAAAAAAAATGTCCCCCTTAATACCAAGCACAATTCTCTGGCCAAAACTCTGGAAAGGAGACCTGATATTTGCTCTGTCTCCAGATCTCTTTGCATTTTCTTTTTCAGCAAAGTCTTGGTCAAAAGAGAAGCTTTCGTCAAGGAAACAAGTGGTCTTTCACAGCAGAATTCAGAATTCAGGTTGTTATTACAACAGTATATCCATTCAAGGGTAAGTGAGTCACGGTGTACATTACAGAAATGTTCATTTATGATGTTATGATCGAACATTAATGTCTAATTAGTGGTGAATTCAAATAATAGGCAGAATTAACCTTAATTCACATCCTGCTGGATAGAATTCTGGCAGGCTCAACTACTTTGCATACCTTGCACACCCTATACTCATTTGCCCCCATCTCTCCCGCCTCCCTTTACCCCACCATCACCAAGATGAAGCCCACCATCTGCTGCCTTGACTCCCTCCCAATCCAGCTTCACCCAACTCCCCCTCTTCTGGGCAATGCTGGCTGACACAATCAACCAGTCCCACTCGTTGGGTTTTGTCCCACTCCCTCTCAAAACCGCCATCATCACTCCTCTCCTTAAATCACCCACCCACGATCCCTCCAACCTCACAAATTTTAGACCAATCTCAAATCTGTTCTTCCTGACCAAAGTTTTGGAACGCGTCGTTGCAAATCAACTTCGCTCCCACATCTCTCTCCACTCTATACTTGAACCCCGCCAGTCTGGTTTTCACCCTGTCCACAGTACAGAGACAGTGCTCGTGAAAGTAACAAATGACATCCTCTCTCTGTGACCAGGTCACCCTCTGCATCCTCGTTCTGCTCGACCTCTCTGCTGCGTTCGACACAGTCAATCAAGCCATCTTCCTCCACTGCTTCTCCTCCCTCATCCACCTTAGTGGGACAGGACTCGCATGGCTTGAGTCCTATTTGATAAATTGCCAACGATACATCACTGCAAATGATTTTCTCCTCCTGCCGCCGGCCCGGTCACTTGCGTGTTACCGCCTGGTAATCTTCATGCTCGCTCTCGGTGATGTCATCCACAGACATGGGATCAACTTCCACATGTATCTGGATGACACCCAAATCAACTCTCAGTCCGCAGATGTCCTGGCAGCTTGTTTGACGGACATTAAGGCCTGGATGAGCGCAAATTACTGAACGGATCGATTTCAAGATCCTCTCACTTGTTTTCAAATCCCTTCATGCCCTCGCACCTCCCTACTTTTCGGTTTGCTTACACCCCACTCCCCTACTCGTTACCTCTGCTCTGCTGGCTCCAGCATCCTGACCATTGCTCATCATCTCCACACCACCATCGGTGGCCGTGTCTTCAACCATTATGCCCCAAGACTCTGGAACTCAATCCCTCGCCTCAATCCCTCCCTCTCCACTTTCTCATTTCTCACTCCCGCACTGTCTCATGTGGTGTCCCTCAGGGCTCTGCCCTCGGTCCCCTCCTCTTCACCCTCTATATGCTCCCCCTTGGTGACATCATCCGCAGACATGGAGTTAACTTCCACATGTATGCGGATGACACCCAACTCTACCTTTCCTCCTCTACTCTCAACTCCACGACCACCGATGTCCTGACAGCCTGCCTGTCCGACATCGAGTCCTGGACGAGAGACAACTTTCTTCAGCTCAACGTGCGAAAAACCGAGGCCCTCCTGATTGGCTCACATCAGCGCCTCCGCACCTCAGGCGCTGACACCATCAGCATCCAAGGCTGCACTCTCCACCTCTCAAAGCCAGTCAGGAACCTCGGCGTTTTGTTCGACCCTGAGCTGTCCTTTCTCCCTCACATCCGCACCACAACTGGCACCGCCTTCCATCACCTCCAGAACATCGCCAGACTACGGCACTACCTCACCCCTCACGCTGCTGAAACCCTGGTTCACGCCTTTGTCACCTCAAGGCTGGACTATGGGAACTCTCTCCTCGCCGGCCTTCCCGCCACCTCCCTCCACAAGCTGCAGGTCGTTCAGAACTCTGCAGCTCGTGTACTGTCCCGCACCAGGCTTCGCGACCACATCACTCCCACCCTCGCTCGCCTCCACTGGCTCCCCATCCCCCAGAGGATTGATTTCAAGATCCTCATCCTCACCTACAAGGCCATTCACGGCCTTGCTCCCTCCTACCTCTCCAACCTACTATCCCCCTACCTACCTGCCCGTACCCTCCGTTCCTCTGGCTCCGGTCTGCTCCACGTCCCCCGCCCCAACCGCCCTACCATCGGTGGTCGGGCCTTCAGCCTCTCAGCCCCCAGGCTCTGGAACTCCATCCCCCAGTGCCTTCGCCGCCTCCTCCCTTTCCTTCTTCAAGGCCGGTCTCAAAATCTTTCTCTTTGACCGTGCCTTCAGCTCCCCTCTCGACTCTCTTCCCCCTCCTCGCTCCCTCCCTTCCCTCCCCTCACCCTGACCATTTCCCCCCTCCTCGCTCCCTCCCTTCCCTCCCCTCACCCTGACCATTTCCCCCCTGCTCGGGTCATGACCCAACTGTGCAGCGCCTTGGGACGTCCTCCTGACGTGAAAGGCGCTTTATAAATGGAATCTTGTTGTTGTTGTTTCAAATCCCGCCCAAAGACCGTTCTTTTTGATAGTGCTTACTGTCATCTCCCTTTTCCCTCTCCCCCAGGCTCGGGGTCAGACTCCACCACTCAAGTGCTCCAGGACGCTACCCTGCACTATATTAAATGCAACAACAACCCTGCGTGAAAGGTGCAAGTTGTTGTTGTTGTTGCATTTAACGTAGTGCCTTCTCATGTTGAAATATTTTAAAGTGCTTCACTTTTTTTTACTGTAAAGTGTTTATATTTGAAGGTGAATGTGGTAGCAATTTGCGCACAGCAACTTGTCCTAGAAATAGCAATTTGTGAATGATCAATCTATCTGGGGAATTGTTATAATAATAACAGCTCTTGCATTTGGTATTGCGTCTTATCATGTTGGAAGGACATTGGCCAGGATGCCAGGACAAACTTTCTTCTCTTTTCGAAATCATCCACATGATCTCCAACAGGCAGAGGGGATCTCAGTTTAAAGTCTCATCCATAGGGACAATACAGCACACTCCAGCCCTGCACTGGAGTGTCAAGTCCTGACATGGGGTTAGAACCCATAACCTCTGAGTTAGAAATCAGAATGCTACCAATTGAACCGTGCTGACACCTTCACTTCACGTATGACTGGAGTCTCATTGTTTGTGACCACAGAGAAGCTGACAGCTGTTGATCTGTCCCAATAATGCAAAAGAGCCACAATAGTGGAAAAAAGCTAATTTTCTGTAGCTTGCATTCTTTTTGACAAAATTATTTACATTTTTAATGACTTTCAGTAAATGCATCTAGTGCATGTATGACCAATTTGATTTAATCAGTGGAATTTGTAGCTTTTATTTTCTTTACAAATGCAAGGATCCATGTCTCCCGCCTGACCGCCCTACAATCGGCAGCCAAGCTTTCAGCCTCTCTGCCCCCGCTCTTTGGAACCATCCACAATCCCTTCGCCTTGCTCCCACCCTTGCCTCCTTCAAGGCACGACTTAAAACCCGCCTTTTCGACCGTACCTTCAGCCGCCCTCCTACCTCTCTGCCCTCCCTCATCCCAACCCTCCCCCCCACGCTCGGGTCGTGATCCCTGACTCTTCAGCGCCTTGGAACGTCCTCCCGACGTGAAAGGCATTTTACAAATGTAATTTTGTTGTATACCATAAAACTTTGGGGAAACAAACTATCAATTGCAAGGATTATTATTTACATTGCATATAATTATAACAAGGAAATTTTATAATAAAATGTATATACTTTGTCATTATTTCCATCTGAATCCTTTAGGTTGAAATACCAGGATACAAGTGTATCTGATCATTTAGATTGTGTTGAGAAATTTACACTGCCATTTTCAAGGCAATATTATATATCATCTTCCCTTGTACGTTAGTGATATTGTCTGGAGACTTCCTTCTGCCCTCTGGATCCTTGATAGTAGCTCAGCTTGTTGATTCAGTATTTTTATTTTATTATTACTGCATTATAACGAAGCTTTCTTCATAATATAATAACAGACAAAAGCTCGCCTGGGGCATTGAAGCTTGACCCCATTGGAGACTGAGATTAAATATGTTTCATCTCAAAGTGCTGCGTAGCAACAGATGTAATGTGTACAATGACAAAGCAGCTTGAATTATATCAGTGAGGAGGACCCTTTCAGTGGCTGCAGATATCCAGATCCCCTGATCAATCAAGATCATTTACTTTTTATATGTGACTGTTTTGGCGGGTCTTGCCGTAGTCTTATTTTCCAAACAGAATAAGCCAACTACCTTAATCTTCCTCATAAAGTAGATTTGTGGCTCAATTGGGTACCTTATTTAGGAAATAATGCTCTTTTTAAATTTGTTTGTCAAAACTGCTTGCATATTCTAATTGAGATCTGACCATCGCCTTATACAGCAACAATTTAGATTTGAATACACCCATGTTGTTCTTTGTATTCCTTTGGGTCATAATGGAAAAACTATGATAGACTTGTACCTGTTAAATTGAAAATATTAATCTTTATTTCTTAGGTAAACTCTGAACTGGAGATTCCACCAACACAACTGTTTCACCTTGATCTGAATCAAACATCTGCTTCCTAGAATTTTATATAATTGAACCGTATGAAGACACAATGTAATATGGTAGAGGATTGCGTTTGTCAGATCGTATTGTGGAGTACTTTTAACTTTGTCACAAATTAGATGCATTGTGGATCACTGTATTGTTGATGCTTGTGTATTTATTTGCATTTGGATCATTAATTTTATTGTCAACTTACAAGTAAATAAGTAAGTATAACAAGTGTATTCCTCCTTTTCTGTTGAAGTTTATTTCTTTTGCCTTGCTGCCAAATTTTCTAATGACTTCTGTTATGAGTATTAAAGGCCCAAAACATGGTCTTAGCTTTAAGCCTTAGTTTTATATTTAAAATGAATAATAATCAATAATTTGATATAGCGCCTTTTGTCGAGTCGTCACAAACCATTTCACAAGATCTAATGTAAAGTGTATTGACTGTATTTTCTGAGCAAAGTGAAATTGTTAAGGTTTGTAGAAAATTTCTTAAAATCAGACTTAAATATGAAGAAAACTACAAAACAAAACTTCCAAATGAAGACTGAATTCAAAAATGTTCCAAAATTCTGCACAATCTTAAAGTGTTCAGATAATAGCCTTAATGCTACCACCATGATGTATTCAGAAATGTAGGGATTTGCCTTTTTGGGACATAAGCATTTCACGTTATAAGCCATAACTATTTGCAGCGGCAGGAGCTGGAGGTTGCTAAGGACGCGGTTGGTAAGAGATGTGCTTGTCTTCCTGACAAACTGCAGTAACGGGTGGCGTTATTTCCACTTTCCCCACTGCGTCCTCCCAACCGCCGGCTCCTGCCATTGCCATGGGAGCACATTCACTCGGGAGCGGAAGTTGGAATGGTGGAAATGGTCTCGGGTCGGATAAAATCACCTGCTGGGCCGAGTGTGGCCCGCGGGCTACCTGTTGGCACCGCAGAGCGTTCTCAAAAAAGGAACCATCCCTCGGCAGCAAAAGGTTGAATCCAGTTCTGCAGGTCTACGTTTACCATTAAATCATTTTCTAAAGGCTCTCCTATCACTGTTGATGAAATCTGGAATGGCATTGTTAAAGCAGAAGAGCAATGAAAAGTTATTGATTTTTGCATGTCTGCCTGGTTTCCAGCACAAGACACACTAAACTCGCTGAGTATGTTCAGTTGACTGGTGAATGGACTGGTTTGTGATTTGTTTATATCATGCCATCTTGTTTTAACATTGAAACAAATTCACATAATCTGACTCAGAACATCTTTTTTCTATACTTCAAATTTTAATAGGTTGTTTCTTTGCACTGTTTTCACAGCAGGAACCAAATGTTAGTTACACAGAAAAATCCATACAAAGAATATCACAAAATAGAATGTGACAGGTCTTCATGAACATACAATTCAACTTCCATATTTTCACAGATATACAACAAACAGTGACAAGAATGTGTTTATCTTATTACAAAGAGAGGAAATTACCAATTGCAAAGCAGATAAAACATTCATCTTATCTAGAGCAAATATTCTTGTATTTAATGCCATTTCCCACAGTGCAATCATGCTTTGTACGCGAAAGTACTACTTTGTCTGTTATTAGTCGTGGAAATTGCAGTAACACTGGATCTGGTCTGATAGGAAAAATAGGTTTTTTTTTAAGCATGGCCTTAATAAAGTTATCAAGCTAGTGCTTAGGTTTACATTTGTAAGTGCAAGTTTATAACAATGTCACAAATCCTGTCTGTCTGGAAACGAATATCCTTACCAGCTTCTTCCCTTTTTAGTGTTCCCTAACTGCAATCTTTTAAACAATAGATGAGCCAAAGTTCCAATCACTTCTATGAGAGCACATTTTTTGCTGTGTTGGGATTTGATAATGTAATATTTGCTAACCGGAAGCTACTGCACTAATAGTTTCTGAAGTTGCAGATTAAAAAAAAGGAAAAACATTGTGTCCCAAAGTTTACCAAAAACCGTCAGAATTTTCAGGGCTTTTCTCTGCTGAGACAAAACTTAAAAGCCAAACACCAATAGCAAATCCTGTAATTTAATTTATGATGAGGTTTCGATTAAAGCAGTTAACTCTCGTTTGGAAACATTGTATTTTCAAACCCATTCACCGTCTTATACAATGTTGGAGACAGCACATCACTATATATAATCATTGGCTTCTCTTATTTTTTAAGTATTACATTGGTGTAGTTTAGTTGAAATTTTGTGTCACTGAAGGAATTTTTATGTGTTGACTCAGTACTGGATCGAGTCAGTTCTGGACTTTTGGACCAATAAAATTCCATTTAAGTGAAAAGGCAATACTTGTGAATTTCTTCACATGAGCTAAATACAACTAGGTGTCAGTCAGTAGTTTTTTCAAATTTGATCTTTGTGCTAATAAAAGATGTCATTTTAAAGTAAAATTTGATATAAATAATGCCAAATGATTTATCATTTAAGATTGCATCATGTTTATTTATAAGTGTAGAGGGACAAATTCACCAAAGTTACCTGAGTAAAATGATGTTCGTTCCATTTCAATGTGCGCTGAGCAGATTCTCATTTGCCTCCTCTCCCCATGCTAACTCGTGTCTAGACTGGGTTTGAATCTGGATCCCATCAAGTTCCCTTCACTTTGCAGCAGAATTTTTTTAGCTCTATCACTTTTTTGTGAACATTACTCTGATAAATGTAAGCTTATTTACCAAAATATTGTATATGTATTATATATATCCTGGTTCTGACATGGTTTTTAACCAATAGGAATGACTGAAATTCTGTACCTGAATAAGATACAGCTTTATCTGGACCTCACTTGTAGCCAGAGTGCCTTGTCAGCTGTAAGTACTACAAATATAGTCTTCAGCAACAAAGCATATTCCCTCCCCCAACAAATAACATATTGATATATATAGTATAACAACAAATTACTGTTGTTATTGCCATATTGTATAGTCTTCTTCAATAAAGTATACTCTCTCCCAACCCAAAAAAACAGTTTTGATTTGGGGAATCTGTTTAAACATATGGAATCATTTGCCAGCATTAATGATTTTCTCACTTATTACATGCTGAAGATTATTAGAGCCACAAAGAGTAAAACAAGTAGACCAGCCAGGAATCCTATGATGTGATACTTGTAGTTTCTCCAGATTAGTAAGCAGACAATACGTTTGGGTTCAACCACCAGGACAAACTGGTATTTGGACGGCTGGTAAAACAGGCCATTTTTATATTAATAAAAGGGAAACACAAAATACGCAGACACAAATTACAGAATACAAATACTTCTGTTATAAATTCTAATGCTCAAACCAGTACAAACAAAAGATACTTGGTGATCGAGCGCGAAAAACAAACATTTTTAACTACAGTTTTAATGGAATAAATTCTGGAGAACTGCACACTGCAAGCCCAAAAAATGGATTGCTAAATATTGTAAAGTGTAAATCAGAATGGTTTTGAAAAGGACATCCAGCTGTTGCTAGATCCCCTCCATTTCCCCTATTTTTAATTCAGACACACAAACAAGATGGTTTAGTAAACGAATGAGCTGTTCATTGCATTCCGCAAGCCAGAAAGAACAGGTGAGATTGATTCATGCCCCAAGCAGCTTCTTGACCATGTAGCCAGGCATGCTGTAAAGGAAGAGGCCAAGCATGGCCAGAAGCAACAATGCCACCACAATCTTCACGATAAGCCACTTGTATCTGTTGCAAATGAGGTATTTGATGGACTTGAGTGGATTGAGGAACCAGATAAAAGAGGTGTCTGGCCGACTGTCCATGGCAGCATTAGAGAGAGGGGAAGACAACATTCAGGTTAGTGATGATGGTTATTGTGTGTCAGGTACTTTAATGACAAATGCTACTTCCATATTGTTAAAATCCCCAAAGGTATGGAAGAAATTTGTTAAAGTTTTATTAATCTATGAACCCTGTTAAGTATTGCAATCATTTTAAATATGCAGATTTTCATCAAGGCTGGTGGATGTGAGATGAAGCCAGCACTTTAAATGAGAAAGCCATCCATTCCCCATTCCTCTCAGAAATAATGTTACTCTCTGCTCACTGTTAATGATACTAAATGCAACTTCTTATTCAACTCTTCACTACAGTCCTGTTTTGAATAAATTTGTGAGCAGTACTTTAAATAGTAATATTTGGATATTTATACCTTAGTTAACAAAAACAGGTGAAAGAGGTTAACATATAAAACCTATAGGAGGAAATCATATATGACATTATAGCATATGGTGTCATATTCTAAAACAAAATTCTTTCAGGCAACCTCCTCCTTCCAGTACTCCCCCCACGCAGTCAGCTTTGTGAAGCCCGTAGAAACGTCCTTTCAATGTGAAAGGCGTCCTGTAAATTGTAATTGTATCATAGGGAAGCAGTTGCTGCTATTGAAGTTGGCTTTAGAATTAAATCCAAGACATTTGGATGAGCAATGTTCCTTATAAAGGAAGCTGGTCATAGATATTAGAGAATATGTTTTCACTTTTAACTACTTTCATGATTCAGAAAGAGCTGTGACTCTCCTGAAATACTGTATTTGATGACAAGACTACAGGGTTCAAATTCAATGTAATTTAAATTCAATGTAATCATACAATTGGATTCCAAGAAACAGCTGCTGCTACTTGTGTTAGTTGTACAGGAATGAGCAAACACACAACAGACATAAAGAATTGCTGAATGCTGGGTGATGGAACAGCAAAAGCTCCGAGATGATGTCACATTAGTGCTGCTGGTGATGGAGAGCCTACACCTTTTAAATGTTAAAAAACAGCGAAACAGTTATTTCATTTACTATCAAAGTCGAAACATGCTGTAAATTTTTTCTAACTCGAAACAAGTTGGACAGATTTAAAAACAAAACTTGGTTACGGGATTCTTACTTTTAGAATGTTGTGTGCTCAATTTCTTATACTCTGTTGGGGGAATGGAGGGTGGAATCCACTCTGTTAAGGTTAATTTACACTTATGTCCAGTGTGATGACAGATGAGAAATAGTCAAATAACGAGGATTTCTTCACTCTTTCATAAAATGGGTTATATTCAAATAATGTATATTTGACTCCACTCTCGCCCGACTCCATTGGCTTTCTATCCTTCAGAGGATCCAGTTCAAAATCCTGGTCCTCACCTACAAAGCCCTCCATGGCCTCGCTCGACCCTACCTCTGCGATCTCCTAACCCCCTACCAACCCGCCCACTCCCTCCGCTCAGCCAGCTCTGGCCTGCTCCACGTACCCCGACCCACCCGCCACACCATTGGCGGAAGAGCCTTCAGCCACTCTGCCCCCAACCTCAGGAACTCCATCCCCCAGTCACTCTACCTCGCCCCCTCCTTAGTCTCCTCAAGTCCCACCTCAAAACCCTCCCCTTCGACCATGCCATTGGTCACCGCCCTTCCCCTCCCCTCCCTTCTACCCCCTGACCCCAGCTCGGGTCTGAAATGCTGTACACTGTCCAGCACCTTGGGACGTCCTCCCGACGTGAAAGGCGCTATACAAATGTAATCTTGTTGTTGTATAATAGCATTTCACATACAGCATCGTGATTCTTTTTAAATAATAATCCTTGTATGTGATATAGTGCCTTCAAGTTGGAAGGACATCCCAAAGTGCTTTACTCTGAAGTGGAATGACTGTATTTGTAAACGAATGTGGCAGTCCAAATGCACACAGTAACGTCCCACAAACAACCATCAAATGACTGACCAATTTCATTTGAGGGATCGAAACTCCCTTCTCTTTTCGAATAGTGCAACGAGACATTTAATATCCACCTGAACAGGCAGATAGGACTTTGGTTTAAAGTTTCATCTGAAGGACGTCACCTCTGACAATACAACATATCCCAGCACTGAATTGGAGTGTCAGCTTATCCTGTATGATTCCAAGTCCCGATGTGGGGCTTGAACCCACATTCTTCTGAGTGTTGTTGTTGTTAATTCAGAGGCAACAGTGCTACATCTGAGCCGGGCTGAAAGAAGATAGCTGACAAGCCAAGTTGACAACTTTTAATGATTAAACTCCTGGGATCCGTTACTGTGAAGCGCTCTGAGACGCCATCCGGAGGGCGTGGAGGGCGCTATATAACTCAAAGTTGTTCTTATTATTTCTCTTCACAAGAAGTAAATTTACACATGACATTGTCAACAACAACAACAACTTGCATTTATATAGCCCCCATTTACCCGGGGTAGAGTCTCGGAGAGCTTAACAGTGCTGGAGCCTGATAGGTGCTGGAGGAAGGAGGGAGGGGGAGGTGGTCTGACAATGGGGAAGATGGGACAAGGGGGGGGGGATTGAGAGAGAAGCATGGCCTCCGTTAGTGGAGTGGAGGGGACTAGGGATTAGCAGGAGGCTGGAGCCAGCCAAACAGATGTGGCAGATGGTGGAGTGGGGAGTAAGCCGGGTTGGAGAGTTAGGGAGGTGCCAGGGCATGCAGAGACTCTCACAAGTATAATACAATCTCAGCATTCTTAGGATCCAAACTGGCTCATCAGACATTTGTATTGTATGGCATCTCCAATGCTTCAATACAACTATCCTAAAGACCAAATCAGAGGGTATGGAAGAAGATGTTTGCCCTGAAAGCTGGTTAGTTGACTCTATCTTTTCAGAGATTTCATACTACAGAAAAAAAGCTGTGGCATGTAAGAGCAGGAACAAATATCTTTGATCTGTAACAGAAGCTGCGAAATAGGATCTGCTCATATATTCCCACCATATATACAAGTGTATATGCAGCAATATGATGTATTTTTGTCTTGATCTACAACAGTGTGGATTGCATACTGTGGATTTCTAATGGTAAATGTTTTTACCTGTTATAGGAGGCAAAAATGCTCAGTAAATAAAATCCTGGATGTTAATTATATTTCTTTGCTTAAACCGAGACTGCTGTGAAAAATCTAGTCTTACGTCTTGCATCCAGAGTTATCTTATTTGACTTACAGCAATGGGTCATCATGGATCTACATGTGATTAATGAGGTGGAGTATCAGAAAAGTAGGTGCCACTTTACTACCCTGGCAGAACATGATATGCATGCCCTTCGTGAACCTTGTTAAATACTTTACCAATCTTGCTGAGTGATTTTTCTAATTGCCTGGAATATACTCAAAGCATTTGTGGTTCTTGACTTTGCTCAAATCTTTTTCAGGATATAGGATATGGATGCTTTGCTTGGATCTTTGCTGGAGCACGAGGATATCGATTTCAAGCGGTATGTCTATTGAGCTGGTGAACCGAATATGTGGCTTTCTGGAGAATACGAAAGCATCAAAGCATGATAAATGGGTGGGTATTTCATCAGAAATAGCAGGATCCTTAGATAAATATACTTAGCACTTGATCAATGAAAATACCATGAAAATGAGAATCTTCTTGTCAATTACACCCACATTATACAGAATGTCAACCACATGAAAGACAAGTGGCAACTGATTCACTACAGACTCATAAAGACTCAATTGGACAGTGGGCAGATGAATGGGTTTATTTTCAAATGCTGTGAAGAGTGAATCAATAATTGTTGTGGATGACACTGTCCATCTGCCTTCATTCAATAAGGATTGGAAACTAGCATCAGTTACAGACATTTGAGGCCTGAAATTGTTTCATAAGACTATTATTTTGAAATTCACAATCGTGCAATATTTAGAAAATTCTTAAATTCAGTCTTAATTTTAAAGGTGTTTTTTCCTTGAAATTGCAAGATGGAACATCTTGTTGTGGGAAAGTGGCCATGTTAGATTATAAACATTTTCAGTGATATTCATCAAGTTGCAGAAACCAATATGTTATAGTAAATGAATAAGAGTAGTTAAGACTTGCACAGAGGAGCTTTGACTGCCATAACTATTGAACCATGGAAACAGGAAGTGGAGATAAAAGAAAAAAAATTATAACAGAGACCACCAATGTACCATCAAATCTGAATGGAGATGAAAATTAAAAGGCAATTGATTACATAAAGTGTAAATTGGAAAGCAATGATGTCATTTCAGAGTAGTCACTGGACTGATCTCATACTTCTACATGTAACAATTTGAAGTACAGTCTCTTCAAACAGTGTTTATGTACTCCATACGCGTCAATCTTATTTAAGCCAATGCCCTTATGGGTTGGTTGGGGAGGGGGGAGGGTAATGGTCCAAGTTGGACAGGCAGTAGGAATCCTACCCATGAGCTTTTAGCTGGGTCAATTCTCAATGCTCCCTTTGGGATGCTAATGCTTTCCGTTGTGCCAAATCTGTGCTGTGATCTCATTGTGTATATCCTCCCCTTCACACAAACACACAAGCAATTGGACTGCCCACTGATCCTTTCTGGTCAATTAGACAACTTAGGCTTTATAACTAAGCTTAGCAAATACTTCCACAGACACGAATCAACAGAATTTAAAGAAATGAAGAAAACAAAGACAGGAAAATATGAGGAAATGTGGCTACCATATTGAGGCCATTAGGCTCCAAGAATCTTCTTGACCAGGTAACCAGGCACTGAGTAAAGGAAGAGCCCGAGCATGAGGAGAAGAAGAACAATTGTGAGGATCTTCAAAATCAGCCACCGGTAGTTGTGCCAGATGAAATACCTGATGGACTTTAGAGGGTTCATAAACCAGATAAAGCTGGTGTCAGGGCGACTGTAGAATGAAGGACAACAAACAGTGAGGGACAAGGAGAAGGAAATGAAAGAGGGCAAGAAGGAAATAGAGCTGGAAGGAAAGAAAGAAATGGTAATTAAACAGGATTCATTTTAAATATAATTATTTTGTCTAATATTCTCTCCTTTTTTGAGTATTGTTCGACAGGCAACAACTTTCTTGTGGGTGTCTTGTCCTAGTGCACATTCTTCAATATATGAGCTGAGAATGTGAGTGTCAGCATTCAGAACGAAACCCAAGACTAAATCTCCTGTTTTGCCTATTTTGGTTGTTTTCCCTTTACACACTCCTCAATCCCCTTTAAAAGTTCTTACCCTTCAGTCACCTTCATGTTGTTGTCACATTGAACCATCACCCATATCCTTTGCACATTTTATTTTGTCATTCTTACCCTGAACCTCTTTTTCCTCTGCCTTATGCTCACTCTCCATCACAATCCTCTGTTCCCTTTCACTACCCCCACCCTTTATTAGGTTTGTTCCTCTCTCCCTCCTTCCTGGGGCTACACTGTCTCTGACCTTACCCCCATTACTCACTGGTTTATTTACAAGAGACAGTTTCTGACTGGCGAGGAGGCAGGCAGTCCCCAGCCACACTAAAGCATCTGAGAGAGCTATCCAATACGGATGGCACTGATAGCCAGTCCACCAATTGCATTGCATCTTGCCCAAGTTCCCCTTAATCCAGTACAACAGATTAAGTGCTTGCAAATCATCTTTCCCTTGACCTTGGTATAATGGTTGCTCCCAAATAGATTTCTGTTGCTACTTCTGCCTCATCATGGATAGCAGTATTTTAGTGGAGATAAACTCAGTCGGTAGCCTGTGAAATAGAACTCAAATGTTGCCGAGGATTGGGGAAAAAAAAATTTGAAATGAAAAACAGGGGCAAACTATTGTGCTGAAATCAGGGAATGGGGTGGGAGGGAAGGGTTGAAAAAGTACACATTTCATTTTAGATTCAACCATCATTCCACAATCTCACTACTCTCTGTGTGAAGTAGTTCCTCCTAAATTCTCTTTCTGATCCCTATCTTATACTTGTATCCCCTGGTTATGGACTGTCCAACCAGGGGAAACAGCCTATTTATGTTAAAGGCTGTTATGTTACATCAAACCCTTTTATAATTTGAAACACTTTTATGGGGTCCCCTCTTAAACATCTCTTCTCTAGACATTTGTTTCACAGTTAATGTATATTTTCCATTTGCATTTGTATCTTAGACACAATTAAGGAATGACAGACTACAGGACCGATTAAAATGAACATTAGTTTATTCTGCACTGGTGCATATATTCAGTGTGATTTTCTGCCTTTATGTGTCATGATGACTGTCTCCTTGCCGGTTGTATATCTATCCTAACAGCGGCATTCCAAGTTCAAGCATTGTTGAATGGGCTACCGAGCCAACTATAGGCAAGCAATTATATCAGAAGTTTGTTTCCTGCATTTGGGACGTGACTTGTTGAACCTGAATTTGTGCCATGCACAGAAAAGTGAGAGGATTTATGAGCAATGTTACTATACTGTGCCTATGGTCTGAGTAACAAAGCTCTCTAGTGCAGATGGTCCTGTTCTTGCCAAATAATAATAAGTTCAATGATGGAGTACAGTGCAACCATTACATTTGTCATGTCAGAGATGGCACCACATTTCCAAGGAATGGAGTTGTCCACACAACCCAGACCACAAATATCATCTGAATGGAGTCATGTGACTGTTCAATGATTACTATCGGTGCGGTGGAGGGGGGGGAAGATTAGGGGTTTCTGTTCAATGATTACTATCGGCGGGAGGCATGTGGGGCGGGAGGGGGGGATTAGGGGTTTCTTTGTGGCTGTGTTGGTTACATCTGCCACCAGAAGATTGCAATTGAGTTGTTCCCATACCTGAGACAGGCAGACTTGCAGTTCTCTAGGGCAGTGGAAAAGATAAACCAGCAGCTTGCCTTGTCTTCTTGGGGGAACTTGGAATGGCAGACACCCGGTTACTGTGGACTGGGATTCTTCCGACTTGGTTCCACATAACCTTGCCAAAGCTTTAATGGGTGGGATTGTCAGCTGGACTAGAAACAGGAATTTTACCAGTGCTTTACAATAGTAGGCTGCGCTTTACAATTGCAGTACCCCTAATGAACAGGTCTTGAATTTTGCCAACCTACACCCAAGTTCTCTGGGACTCTCTCTCTAGAGAGAGAGTGCACATTCCACGAGCCAAATGGAGATCCAAATATATGTGGAACTCTCAGTAGTTTGGTTTGGACTCTTAAAAGTGTGATAATGGTGCGAGAGGTCCTGGCTGACCAAAAAAGAATGATCTTCAATATGGTCCTCTGTTGGAAAATATGCCCGCTTAGGCTTGTATTCCCAATTTAATGGGGACATGCAATCTGCTGGTCATCCATTCTGTGCCAACCTGTCTCTCATCAACCCCTACCCAGTTCTGCTGCTATATCTTTCTCGGCTTTTATTGCCTCCCTTCCTCAGCAATATCTAAATCTCCTGCAGTGTATGTATCTTAGCTGGTGATTATTTCAAGTAGAGGTTTCATGCTCAACAGTGAACTGCTCTTCTGTTGCAGAGGATACTACACTGGTTTCTCCTTGTTCTGTGGAGAGAGCAGATGGCACATTATCAATATAAATGCACACATATTGATTGCATTGCTGTTACATCCTGACATAAGTACATTACATAATGTACTTGTCTATCTGATTGTCTACCATACCATATCAAATGCAAGGTTCATTTCTACCATATGTTTGTGATCTATTACACAATAGGTTTAATGGGATCGAAAGTGCATTTTTTAAAATAGAATCGCTCACCTACAACACTGAGTAATAAAGGGGGATTCATTCTGGTAACCATACGCACCTCATGCCATTTTAATTCATTTTCTGAAGCAGAATTCCCATGAAATAAAGGAATCCCATAATAAATTGCTGCCTTTAGACTCAGTTGTCTGAATAATATGGTGCTTACCACTAATGCTTTTCTTCTCTTCACTAATGTAAGTCTCTTACTAAAACAAATTCACCATTATCTCTTTGTATAATATGAGGTCTGGGTTATACCATATGTTGCCTTAGTTGACTTCTGTTTGGGGTAACTGTCTAAGCTTCTCCCTTGTTTGGTGTCCAACCTCACCCATGCACAGGCCTCCAAAACTGTGTGAAAGGTGATATAAAAATGCAAGTTGTTGCAATTGAACATAGGAGCAGGGGCAAGTGGGAAACAGTAACTTGTCCCATTCAAATTTCTTCCTATAATTAATCCATCATGAAAATTTCATAGGAATTTGCATGACTGTTATATTTTCAAACTTGTTATCTTACTTTGCTAACATTTCTCTATTAATACAGTTTATTCATCCACTTTATTAATATAAATGTAAAGTTTCCTGAATATGCATGTAATAGTAATAATGATAAATAATAATAATCCTTGCATTTAATATAGTGCCTTCCATGGTAGGATACTTCAAAGCACTTCTCAGGATGTAGTGTAGTGACTGGGTATTTTGTACATGAAAATTTGGGTCTTTAATATTATTTTAATGCACACCATTATTTATGCTTTACCTTGTGCTGCTTTTCTTCATTTTCAGTGTTCATTTTCTCCCGTGATTTCCTCCAAGTTGGGGAGACCAGACTGCTATGTGGTGCCATTGTTCCTACTTTAGCTGCACATTGGTGTGGGGTGTTCGCTCCACAATAAATGTGCTGTTGTCACTTTGCGTCAACAAGCATTTAGCAGGGCCTTGTCGAAAAATCGGCTTTTGTGTATCTTTTTCCGGACCCAGTTTCTCCACAAATTCCACAATCCTCACACTTATTCTGGGACTTTTAAGGTTTAAAATGACTCATTAACAGCTTGAGAAACATGAAACACACATCATTTTCTGGTTCTTTTCCATTGCATTTCTCAGAACCGGCACTTCGAAAGACCCAGCGATCTCGTTCCCATTTAATTACACGTGCTTTACTCCTTGTTATAATAATGTTGGGCCCTATGCAATTTGGAGTCAGTGCAGATATTATCCATCAGTACTGTTTCTCACTCTTTTTCAATACCAATAAACAAACACTTGATAACCTTTGCTTTGACCAACATGGTTTAAACAAACACTGATGGGATTGGGAATGCAACAAATGATTGTTTTATGAATGTACTGAGCAGTATCACAAGTGCAGTCGTCAATTCTTAGAGTACTATTTTCCCAAAACAACAACTGTTGTTGTGGAGTGAGGACATTAGAGTGATGTTTAGAGATGCACTGCAGCCGGTGGGAACCACTGTCAAATCTAAACAGATAACTGTTAATCTACCTTTTACAGCTTTCTGCCCTAAATAGCAGCTATTATACATTATGCAGCCCACCCCTGACCATACATCACATCATCAGTTAATCTGCACAGTTAATAATAACAAACGTATTCCTCTACTTAAGATTTTTCTTCAAAAGTGTACAGTTTTCTTTTGGAGGGTGGAGGGGTGGTATGTGAGACAAAAGCAGACATCCTCTACAATGCTGTTCCCTGATAATTATATTAGTATTTATACGGAATGTTGAATGGATTCATAAAATAAGAAAACAATAAAACGCTCATCTCCTCACTCACCAAATAACCTGAGGCTAATCTAACAATACTTAAGTATTGGCTGCAGTTTGAGGATCGACATTGACTGAATCTACAATTTAAATGGTGCACTGATGTTGCTGTGAACGAAACTACAGATAACCACTTACTTTGGCTTCTCCAGAGGATCAGGTTCTGCGCGTCCTAGACCTGCAGGACTCTTCTCAGCTTCCTCCGCTGTAGCAGGTGCAACTCAGCCTCAACTTTTCCCTGAAAGGAGAAGCCACATGGTGACATATATTTACTGAAGTAAAAACCACTTCACGTGCCTCCGCTTCATGTCCTCTTTTACACTGAGTTTGTCCTGCAGGACATGTCAGACCTGAAGAACTGAACCACACACATCCCACAGCAGGAAGAGCAGCGTGATGACATTTGGCTGCCACATTCGTTCCCCTTCCGTGATTAAAAACAGCAAGGTTTAACAAAGATGGACATAAAGAAAATTGTATTGGGAGTGATAAGTGAATGCGTAACTGCATTTAAAAGGAAATTAGAAAAATACCTGAGGGAAAGTAATATTAAAAATTATGGGTGGGTGGGGTGGGGGACAACAACAGGGGAATAGATAAAAACAGATTTAAAATCTTCTCATGTAATAATATTCTATTAGTCTTTTTTTCTCTCTCTTTTCAAAATCTACGAATTTCTTTTCTACCCATTTCTGAGCACATGTTGGCAGGTAGCTGACTATTGTTGCTTCATAATTAATCAATGTGGAGAACTTACCTGACTTCTTTCCCCCCAATTTCTCCCCATCTTTGCTCAGGGTGGTGACATTGCTCAGTAATTTTGGGTCCGACAAAAGATTGCGAGAATTGGGTGTCACACACTAAACAGCCTTTGTTGACATTCTGGGTCACTTTTCTTCTCAATTGTTTTGAAAAAAAAGGCAGTGAATTTCACAATTTGAGTCGCAACAACTTTTGCTTTGCAAATGCCTTGTGTTACACCTCACTATCACTGAAACATATCCAAACCAGTGAGGCGGGCAGAGCACCCACAAGAAGAGTAGGAGGAATACACTTACATGCTGAATTTACATTATTCATTTTGATCACTGAATCCAATGAGTGTGTTTTTCTTCCTAATGTGGTCTCACAGTCAGTTATATTAGATAAGCTCTGCTGCTGATCGAATTCCAGCACTTGCACTGCCACTGCTGGCAGTAGGACTGTGCTTCATGCTGTTTATCTCCCCTACAGGAGCTATCTGTTTTTATCCTATTCCCCTGTTGTTGTCCCCCTTCCCTCACCCACCCATAATTTTTTATATTACTTTCCTTCAGGTATTTATCTAATTTCCTTTTAAATGCAGTTACGCATTCACTACAGCAGCCGATTGTGGTAAAGCATTCTTATAAAAACAATCCTCTGTGTAACAATCATACTTCTAACCTCCCCATCTGTTACCCTGCCTGAATTCCGATAGTCCTATGATGGGATGAACCTTTCTCCCTTTAAAAGCAACACATAGAACATTAATGCCTGTAAACTTCAGATATTAAGTGAGTTTGAATCTGTAGGATTGATTAGTGTTGTAAAGACAGTTACACAGTTTGAAAAATCTCTGTAATTCTTACTGTCAGCTCCAATTCATCATTTTCGTTTCTGGCTACAAAAGGCCACCACCCTTTCACCCTCTTCTGTTTAAAGATGGAGACTGAAGGCAGAGAAGCTTCATTTATAATCATGTCTATCGAGCACAGCTTGGCTGTTTTTGCTCCACGCGGAAATCTGTTCAGATCCAGTTCAATTGCACCTGACAAAGAAAAAAAGAATGATAAGTAAAAGTAACAAATGCAATATGTTTTGAGAAACTGTATTTAATTTACATGCACAGCATGGAAGCAGGCCACTTGGCCTACCCAGTCTGGGCCGGTCACAGATATTTTGATATTGTTTTACTATTTTCATGAAATCAATCTTAGGTAAACTTGGTGCCTTTCTGTAAAGTGGAGACCTGTAGCTTAGTGGTCATAGCACTCGTCTCGAACGCGAAAGGACCTGGGTTCAATCCCTGGCAGGGTGAAACGTTGGGCAAGTTTCCTTACTCCACACGCCTCTGTTTACCCAGCAGCAAGGAAGAACTTGGCTGTTAGTAGATTGGCGAATCGCTTGTCCGGGGGTAATAATTCCTTCAAAATAAATAAAACTAATTTTGGTCACTGAATCCCTGACTGTTTGTGAGACACTGCTGTGTGCAATTGCCTGCCGCATTTAACCCACAAAATGTAGAGTCAATTCACTTTACAGTATATTCTGTGAAGCGCTTTGAGATGTCTCGAAGTCTCTACATCAAATGCAAGGATTATTATTATAAATTTCACAATTTGAGTCGCAACAACTTTTGCTTTGCAAATGCCTTGTGTTACACCTCACTATTCTTCAATGGAGACTTGGGGGTAATTTTCTGATCATTTGTAAATCTACTGATCTTGACAAATGAGTAACTGAATCTCTGCTAATCAGTAAATGACAATTCCCATTTCCTTTGTCTTCAACAAAGTTCCTTTAATTGGATTTTTTTTATTAGTGATTTTTTTTATGTGTGCATCTTTTTATATTTGTTTAAAACATCTTAGTTCTATGTGTTGTCCTAATATATCTATTAAGCACTCTAGATTAATGGGTAAAGAAACCACTTCTCAGACTTATTAAAGTAATAGAAATTTACAACCCACTTTGAGCCGGCAGAGATACAACATTTTGATGACCCAATGTTACTGAAAACTAACATGCCATCAGGCATGCATACTGTAAATCGCAGCTTTGATTCCTGAGCTATGCTAAGCTAGATGATCTCAGTTTGGGGCACTATGTTAGCCTGAGTACCACTGGCTGGAAAGAGGATAAAATGAATGATTCCCGTGCATGTATGTCAATACATGCACAGGAATGTATTTATTGGAGTTTGGCTGTGATACCTCTATGGTTGTCTACACTCAAAAATTAACAATAACTAATTGAGCAAGATAGCGGAAGGTTGTCAGGTTTATGGGCCTGTATTTTGGAAGTCTAGGTACACTACTTTTGTGGCTTCCCACTGTCAGACTGTAATATCAAGCCTATGAGGTTGGCCAAAAATCTAACCCTTCAAGAAGGTGCATTGTCTGTCATTTATTGTGTTATTTACTGTATTGCACTGACAGCATCACCACCCACGGATGTACACTCCATATTGCTAAGCCCGTCCGGAATCTTGGCGTCTTGTTTGACCCTCAACTATCCTTTCTACCCCACATCCGTGCCATGACCCGCTCTGCCTTTCCCCACCTCCGCAACAGGTTTGCGCTCTGTAACATTTACAAGACGTGAAAAGCGCTACATCAAATGCAAGGATTATTATCATTATTTATTATAACATCGTTCGACTCCGCCACTGGCTCACACCGCAAGCTGACGAAACCCTCATACACGCATTCATAACAGCCAGCCTTGACTGTGCAAACGCCTTGCTTGTTAGCTTCCAACTCCTCCCTCTGTAGGCTGCAGATTATCCAGACCTCTGCAGCCCATATCCTCTCCCGCACCAGGCTCTGTGACCCTATCACCCCCATCCTCGCCTGACTCCACTGGCTTCCCATCACACAAGAGGATACAGTTCAAGATCCTGGTCCTCACCTTCAAAGCCCTCCATGGCCTCCCTTCCTCTTACCTCTGTGACCTCCTAACCTCCTACCATCAGGCCTGCTCCCTCCCCTCAGCAGGCTCCAGCCTGCTTCACATCCCCTGCCTCGCCCATCCCACCATTGGTGGGCGGGTCTTCAGCCATTCTGCCACCACCATATGGAACTCCATTCCACAGTTCCTCTACCTCGCTCCCTCCCTTGCCTCCTTTAAGACCCATTTCAAGACTCTCCTCTTCGACTGTGCTTTCGATCACCCTGCTTCCATCCCTGCTCTCCACCCTCCCCAATCCTGACCCCCAGCTGAAACACTGACTGTCCAGGGCCTTGGGATGTCCTCCCGATGTGAAAGGCGCTATACAAATGTAATTTTTTTTGTTTGTTGCTATTTTGATTTGGGTGTTAAAAAGATGGCTACAGCACTTCAGTACAGAATTCTTTTAGAGTTTCCTCAGTGTGATTTTTCATTAATGCAGTTTACTTTTGGTTTGTAAGTAACATTATCAAGACGGGGACTCATGCTTTACACAATTGACCATTCTTTACATGTGAGTCTGGACAGAGTATTAGAAAGCTTCCTCACAATCAATACATCACAGTCAACCCTGATCTGTCCTTATCCAATATGCACACAAAACCACTTTCAGAAGGAAAATTATCTGGATAGGATAGTGATTAAGCAGGATCCCAAGCCACTTTGTCGTCCTACTATGTTGCTGATATTGTGTTCAATGACCTCCAAAGCCACCCCAGTTAGTCTTGTTTCAGTAGAAACCATACAAAGAGATTGGATCATAACTTACCAAGAAAGTCATCAGCTGAGAAATGATCAGCGTCCCACACTTGCAGAGTAAGACGAGCTGGGATCTTGTACTCCGTCTCGTCCCAGGAGAACATGGACTCCTTCTTGGAGATGACGATCTTCTCTTCAGCCATCAGGTAATCAAAGGGGAACATAAAGCGCCAGTTGAAGTTGCCTTCGCCAGTCAGAGAGTGATAGTGGACATCAGTGTCCTGTTTGTCCTCCTGCTGCCCTTTCAGCCAACTACAAAAAACCCAACACTGTTACATTGAATACATCCATAGCTATGAACAGTAACTAAAAAGGGGATATACATTATTAATTCCTTTCTGGAGCAAATAGGATTTTTAAAAACAAGAAAAAAGCGGAAATATGTTCTTGCCACTCATTATTATTATATTTTATACCCTCACCCATGCATTCATCTCATCAAGGCTCGATTATGGAAACTCCCTCCTCATCAGCCTTCCCAACTCTTCCCTTCACAAGCTGCACATCATCCAAAACTCTGCAGCTCGTATACTCTCACGCACCAGGCTCCGTGACCCCATCACGCCCCATCCCTCAGAGGATCGAATTCAAGATCCTCGTCCTCACTTTCAAGGCCATCCATGGCCTTGTCCCTCCTACCTCTCTGACCTGCTGACTCCCTACCAACCTGCCCGCTCCCTCCATTCAGCGGGTCTCCAGCCTACTCCATGTCTCCCACCCGACTGGCCCTACCATCGGTGGCTGGGCTTTCAGCCTCTCTACCCCCACACTCTGGAACTCCATCCCACAGTTCCATTGCCTTGCTTCCTCCCTTGCCTCCTTCACTATTGCTATTTATTGAAAGGTATTGTAAATCATGACTTGCTCCTGAAAAGAATAAACTTGTACACATTACACTAGGGTACAGATCCAGATGAAATACTTATCCATCAATGGTTCTGGATCAAGGAATGCTGCTGAATGTGCACTTGTAAGTGCATTCAGGAAGGACACTGTGAGGGTCAAATCCATATATGAAGGAAAAACATTCTAGAATATATTAGTCAATATTAGTGACATCTTTAGTCTGTCTTTATCAACCTAATCGGGATATTCAACTCAACCCTTAAGGTTCATATGTCATTAATCTAAACCTAAGTATTATGGGGAGTTATATTCTCCCTGTTCATGTTACCAGTCTTTGGGGTGAGTGCTTATTATTCTCGTCTTGCTAGTAATTTTACCAACTTTTGATACTATGCGCTTACTTGGAGAGATGTGCTCAGCCCTAAATATTAGGACATTTATCGACCAACAAAATAACCACTAAAAGTCAAAACAACGGTTCCTCTGAAAAATCTGCTTCTCTCTCAATGGAATGTTTTATGGTTGAGAGGGATGTTAACCTGAGAAAATAGAAGTTAATAGTAACTAACTCCTGAAGTCTGCTGATTCCTGAGTGGCATTGATAGTGGTTCTGAAATGGATACCTCACAAAAAAGATTGACAAGTTTTACTTCCATTAACTAACTAACTAACTAACTAACTAACTAACTAACTAACTAACTAACTAACTAACTAACTAACTAACTAACTAACTAACTAACTAACTAACTAACTAACTAACTAGATTTTCTGATCACTATTTGTAATTGGAAAACACAGTTTCCCACATTCCTTCAGTTTCCTTAGCACCTCCTTAGCCCTAATATCTACACTTTTCTCCTCAGTCGAGATCCAGTGAAGACCTTCACAGACTCAAGACATGCATTGGTCAAGTTGATTGGATTAGTACATGAGTACTCATCCTTTCATCTATCCAGTCTTCCCTCCTTCTGAGGATTTCACTAAAATACAAGTGAAATTCATCTCTAGGAGAACAACACATTGGTATCTAACTTATGCTGATCAAAAAGCATAAAACTATTTCTGTTTGTCTTTATTCTTGGGGTTTGGACTCACTTTGAGATGCACTGGTTTGAATCCTATTTTTTGCTGTCCTCACTAAGTCCTTTGTTAAGCTGTATAATTTCATACCAATGTGTTAAATTATTTCTGTGTGAATGTACATGTATTTGTCTGATGTATGAATTCAAATATATACTATAATATATTGCACATTCCCTTTTCTCTTTCATTGCTGAAGTCATGGATTATCCACCTTGGTTGACAAAGACTTGACTAGAAACATCACCTGGATTGTGAGGGATACACCAGTTTATTTCCAACTGAAGAAAACATGAAACACAGCAACACATTTACTGTCAGTAACAACAATCAGAACGATAGTTAGAACAGCATCATGTTGATATGAAAAGCTGAGAAAAGAAATGGCACGTTTCTCTGAAATATTTAATTACACTTTGGAAATGCTGTTGTGTTGCTGAGTTTCCAGGTAGAAATGAAAGCCTAAAGAGACAATATTCTCTTTTCCTTAGCCAAATAAGACTGAGTTTCAACTTTTTGAAAAAAAGTTTTTTCTTTAATCCAGAAGAAAAATGATCCATTGTAAATCATTCATTTAAAAATATAGGGGTGAGAAATTTGATGTTGTGTGATAATTTTTAGTCATTTTTCTTGGAATCACAAGATTACAAGAGAGGCTTGGATAAAGAAGGCCCTTCATTCCATTTGATTTCATCCTCCCAGATTATCTGCCCTGCCTTCCTCCCTCCCATTGTATGGTCAAACTATTTGTTAAATGAGTCCAAGTCCTGGTCTCAATGATCCTTTGTGGAAATCCTTTCCATCATGAATTAACCTCTGGGTGAAGTTTCTGAACATGAATATTTGTGACAGTGGAGGCTTTCTCCATAAATCTTCTTGTTTACAACTCAGACAACCATTTTTTTCCATTGTACTTTATCCAGCCTAGTATCCAGCTGAGAACTTCTTAGTTAAAATACGCTTTAAAACTTTAGTTCCCATAAATTGAAATATCTAGGTCAAAGCATTAAATCTGGAATAAAACTATTTACCTTTATAACTGATTATTTCTCTTTTGTTGCCCCGCGTTATGCAATGCCCAAAGTGGGAGAGGTGAACAGTAGCACACTGGCTCCTCACTGCAAGGCTCACTGGTTGCTTAGAGTCATGAACTATTGTAAAGATTCCACTGCAGAGTGTTGTCCTGCAATCAAATTTTTAGCTCAGGGCTATCACTGAGAACTTTTCATTACTGGTGAATTCTTCTATGTTTTGTCCAAATTGATATAATCACACCTCAAGAGGCAAAAGTTTGCATGATTATGTTCTGGATGTTCACAACTCAGTCTCCACATCTTTTTGACAGGGATTCTGTCTCTTTAGTACTCATTTTACAAACCACGTGTATCAGCATTGACATTCATTTCCCTTCAATCATGCATTCCCCCAAAATCATGCAGCAAGCAATTCACCTGCTATTAAAAATCTACAACTGCCAAAGTCTACACGTCTACCATAATACCTAACTCTATTCTAAATGCAACTTGACATATAACTGCACTGTTAGTAGAAATGTAAGTTAACTGTGTCATGCGGGAAACCATGGACTCTATGTGGCGATGTAGGATTAAAGTGTGCCATCAGATCCTAAAGGCCTGTTGTTAAATGTGATGCTCAGGTATTTAGTTTGGACTACAGACACAAACAGTTAACAGTTGTAACAGTTACAAATTTGAAGGTGTTTATTTTGACTATTTTGGCATGAGGCAATATCCATTAATTCATTTTACCATTAGATCTGGATCTCGGGTGCTTTAATTCAATAAAATCAGAAGGTTACAAAACTGAGATGTTGTACATTTATTGTGGATTATTCCACATGTCCCAGCCAGTCAGCATCTTCCCTTATGAGTACACAATGCATCTTTCTTCAAAAGCTTATGAAGTTTCATTGGCAAGAGACCATTCTACAGAACTATAGAAACTGAATTGAAAGCTAAGAATTTATCAAATTCTGAATGCTCTGAAATGCCACATACTTAGAGTAAATCTAGACCCAGGTTTAACCCCCCCCACCACCCACTCCATTCCTTAGTTATCACTGTGACAGAAAGGAATGCATTTGGGAATCCTGCAATTTTGACCCTGAAACATTTCTCCATAAAATAAAATAAATCCCTATGATTCAGGTTAAAATTACTCTTGCAATCTTCAAATGTCTTCATTATCATTTAGGAACATAAGACTAACTATAAACGGCACTGACTCATTTTCAATCAATATTTAGTTGCGATTCTGACTGTGGGTACCACTGAATATAGAGATGTTTGACCGGCCCATGATCCCACCATAAACTTGGGAGGGAATTTGCAAATGCCAGGGCTTCTCACATTATTTCAATGAAGTATTCTGCCATAAGCAACCACTTTGGCTGCTTCCCTAAAGTTGTTGCCTTCTGTCACCATAATTTTGTGAATGTTCCAGAAATAGCCCAAAATTGAGACCCTTGAAAATGGATGTTATTGAAAACGTGACACATTTACTATGAGAAATGCATCCCACCAGAGGCTTCCTGTGAAGCTCCTATCTAATCACAGCTTGAAATCCACTGAATCTGAATAAAGGTTAAAAACCTGGTTAAGTGAAATATTGGCTTCTGAAATGATTATAGCTTCCACAAATACAGCTCTTCCTCTTTGCAGAAGGTATGACTGGGCATGATCACACTGTTGATAAGGCAAAATGTGTTGCACATGAACATGCACGACCAGAACTGGTTCTAGCATCTTATCAGATCATATTGTATAAACATGTTGATCAGTTTGGGCATTAAACATGTTTATATGGCAGCAGCATACAAAAACGTGACAATAGCAGTATTAACAAGAATCCTTTTTGCATTTAATTAGCTCTTCTGTCCACTTCCTGTGACATATGTTTGCATTTAATAATAGAATTGTAGTCTAGTAATAGGTATCATTTTTAAGAGGTTTTCCCTCCGGATCCGTGCTCGCCTTATTAAATTTCATCTCTGTGTCTCCACATTGGCTGCTAAAGTGATTGCGTGGGCTCTGAATGATTTAATTGCTTGGAGATCAAAGAGGCTTTGTGCCTAGTTGACAGGAGCAATGTTTGATGCAGATGAAAGGAGAAATATTGCTTCTCCTCCTGGAAGTCAGGTGCACCATTGGCTTGGGGCATCCAGCCCAGTTGTTGTGGAAATGTTTAGATGTCATCTGCTAACGATGAGCTGCCATCAATATCTTCTGTTGTCCTCCCAATGTGAAAGGCACTGCATAAATGTAATTTGTATTTTAACGGGACAGCTTGTACCCACTGATCTCAACCCACATTGCCCTGGTAGGTAGACAAGCTCCCGACCCTCAACTGAGCTGCCATTAGAACAATATTATAGCTGTAACCTTATGAGGAGAAATAGAAACTGTACATAAAATAGAGTCAGTTGTATTTGAGACCTTCGAGAAGCCACTTACAGAGATCACAGATCACAATTTATGGAACAGTGCGTGCTGTGGGAGAGAGGGCAGGTTTTAACAGATGTGAGCAAATATTTAAAAAAACAGGAACTATTTGTCAATTACTTCTTGCAATCCATTTTAAATTTGTTTTCAATCCTTTCAGTAAAACTTCACTCAGGACCTTGTTTTTTTCTAAAGAATGTTATTAGTTATCGGGTTAGAAATAAATATAGATTTCATTCATTGGATTTCATTCAATTATTTTAATTGTAATGACGATTGTGCTAAAATAGATGTTCATGATAACAATTCCTTTAGGATTATATGAAAAAAAAGTCCTATAATCAAGTGACATTTTATTTACTGATTATAGGGGGGGTGGGGGGGGGGGAATTCCACCTATGTCTAGATTTACTCTATTTTAGTATGTCCAGAAATGACACATTCTTAAATTCAGTCTTAATTTTGAAGCCAGTTCTTGTAGAAATCCAGAAATCGGACTTCAAAGTTAAGACTAAATCCAAGAATATGCTGAATTCTGGAATGCTCTGAAATGCTACACAAATAGAGCAAATCTAGACATAGGTGGAATTATCCCCCACAGGAATCATAAGCTGTATTACTTTGGGTGGACCAGAGTGTGTTATAATGAGTTTTGTTCATGTGGATTCCAATGTACTTCACTGACAAAATTGAAAGGTTATGAATTTGCTGTCTTTCATGCATTATGGATAAATGTTCTGTTTACTCTCTTGCATTCTCTTTAAGCATGTATAAATCTCCTGTATATTTCAACCCTGCGTGAATTTAAATACTCTTCATGCATGAGAATATTAGTGTTCATGCTGGAAAAAATAAATGAATCCAGGTACATCAAAGCTAAATTTTGAAATGATAAAGCACATTCGATGGTGTCACCATACCAATCATATTTGTAATTCTTTCAGGTTACATTTTTTCATGTTTTATATTTTCATTGGATATTTTATTGCTTTATCGTTTTACAATGTCATGGCATAAAGTAGTTGGGCCAAATGGTTCAATATGTTTTGAATAGATAGTATCAAACCAAATTTATATCATAAATCTCAGCCAGTTCATTCATTCTTTCTCAAAGAGCAACATCTCTATTAGTCCAATATGTGCTGTATTACTCTATGTAACTCTATGTAATGATGTATTGGTAGTCAATCTGCCCCTTGTCACTGATTTAGATCAGTGTACTTGATACTGAGCACTACAAATCTCTTGTTCTGAAAAATATTAAAAGTTTTACTTTTACAGTAAAAATCCAACAAATTGCCACGTTCAAATCAATTTCATGATTGTACCAGGATCGCCTCTTAAGGCAATTGACAAATTCTGACACGCACACACACCAATTGACAATCTCCACGTGGATACAGGAGGATGTTTGCTTTGACCACTGGGGAGAAAGGCACTTCGGACACTGTCACTTTAAATCATAATGCACATATTAGATGCATATCTAACATTTTTCTGGAGCATAATCTTACATTTGACTAACGTAGGTTATAATACACTGATATCCTTTTTTTTTAAAGAAGTCTTTAAGTCTTGGGGGAGAAATTTGAGTCTTGGGGGAGAAATTTTTATTTACTTTTATTGTCTTGAAATTTTATTGGTTAGTTGTTTCCCTCAGGAGATTATATTTTGGGAAGAATCCATGATAGTGCATATTGCACATGTGGGTTTGACCAATCCACTTTACAATATATTCTCTGAAGCGCTTTGAGACGTCTCAATGAAGTGATAAGGCGCTATATCAAATGCAGGATTATTATTATGGCTTTTGAAGGAGGACAGATGTTGACCAAATAAACCCCTTCTACCTCCACACTCTCTTAGGTTTGTGTTCAATGTGTTTTGAATTAACCAAATTCAAATCACAAACCTGAGTCGGTTCATTCCTCCTTTGTCAAAAAGCAACATCTCTATTAGTCCAGTTTGTTGCAGTGTGTTCTAAGGATATGATCTTCAAGGAAAAACAATTTGGCAGAATAAGTAATTCAGATAGAAATAAAAATTTTCAAAAATGTTCAAAAAACATGAGCAAAATATGTTTTCTGAATTTAAAAACCAATTTTGCTAATTGGTTTTTCACATGGAATCCAAATCCTGTGTTGTTCTGGGGGAAGAAGGGGGAGAGGAGAGGAGAAGGGGGATAAGGGAGGTGGGAGGAGGAGGGGAGGTAAAGTAATAAAATGAAGCTTGTAATGCACCCAGCCAATAATGGAGCCAAGAAGATCTAATGTCCCCGATGAACTATCATTCATGAAGACTTGGCCCTGCATGAACATATGATTAAAATACGCAGGAACATTAGACTAACTAAAGTGCTTCAGGTAGTATTTGTTTTGTTTGGACTAAGTATTCTTAAATGCTGTGCAATGGTTTAGTATGTTTCATGTACATTGTTAAATAAAATATGTTTGGTATGGCTTTAAAATGCAGTTAAATGCAGTTGCTAGTAGCTACATTACAACAATGTTTGGTGGGGTAGTGACTGATGACTAGCTGGAGGGGAAGGATAGTGCAACAGTATCATTACCCCCTGACATAGATGTCTGACATCTTCTCTCCTGTCATGAAACCATCATCTTCAAGAATAACTTCATCAGTGTTCCAAATAATAATACGCAGATCAAAACTGGTTAACAATAAAAGCAACAAAGAAAAGAGTTAGGAAAACAACACACTTCATGACCCAAGATAGGTCACACAGCTGTACATACCCCCTGACAAAAATGTCACTAGATTTCTCTCCAGTGAAGTAATCATCGTCTTCCAAGATAACCTCATCTGTATTCCAAATTATCACTCTAAGCTCATATCTGGCAGGGAGGAAGGAAGACAATGTGAGATGCTGAGGGATGAACAATACTGAACGCATAACACATCTTCCGTATTTTCTCCAGACTGTATGAACTTTGCGCACACATTGTTGCCATTGTTTTCAATGTGAGAACAGAGTACTGATGGATCTCTTGCAGAGAAGTACCCAAGGGTACAAATAAAGAATCCTGAAACTTAAACAGGATGTGTTACAATTACATTACCAATTTGCCTCCATTAAGTATTTTTCACTGATCTCTTTGCTAACAGTTTCTTATTGATTTAATTACTGCACTCTGTAGCATTACACAAATATCAAGAGACATCCTGATCTGTTGCCCTTAAACTTCATTCAATATTTCACACTTATAGTATAACACCAAGTAAGTCTGAAATTTTAAATTGTGACTTACTTCGAAAATGTTCACATACAGGGGGCAGGCCAGTGCTACAGTGTTAGTTGGAAGCCCCAAGTTTGAATTCCAACTTAAATTGATATTTCCACTTGATGTATCTTTATTATTTATGCAAATATTGTTTGGGAGAAGGATATTCTCTCCTGTATATCAATCATTTCACCCACAAAATTTACAGTTTTTTTTAAAAGTACTTTGAGACACTTCTACGATGTGATAAGGTGCTATATGAAATGCAATATTATTATAACTGTAAATTCTGTTGGATCAACTGAGGAATTGCATTGATAGTATCCTTTAACAATTATCCTCCCAATAAAGGACAAAGCCATAAATATAATTCAGTAACCTTTGTTGAAGGTATTAATAAATGGAAAATGCACAAAAATGAAGCACAATATTATATACATATGGAACATTTTACTTTCCCGTGTTGCTGGTTTAGATAATGGTAATCATATAACTTACAGTATTGATAAGTTAAAAGATTGATAAGTCCAGCTTGGTTTGCACAATTGAGGTTATCTCTGCACTTCTGAAGCTTATTAATAAAATGTATTGACTGGTTGACTACCAATTGTTCATTATTGTTTTTTCTAGTGTTGTATACTTGAAGTTAGTTCGACGCCAGATAGACCCCACTTACCTTTTACACAAGGAAGTCATATGTGTTTTATTGATCTTGAAATGATGAACATCTGAATGGATCTACTCAACTCTAATAGCTATTATTATTATTAGAGCTCAACTTTCTCTCATACGTCTTGTCACCTGCTTTCATTTCCCCTCATCTTTTCCACCAAAGTTTTCCCACATGTTCTTCCTTCTCACTGTGTTGAAATCAGAAACTCATCAAAAGTCTCCTACTCTAAAGAAGGACTTTGGAATAGTAGAACTTACCTTTGTCATTCATTCCTGTTTAAATCCACAGACCAATCTTATGTCATCAAATGACTGCTGCTTGATTTATCTTGCTCTTTCCTATTCTCAAAGCTGAAGTATTGTCATTATCATGGGGACACAAACATGCATCCTATCCGTCCCGCTCATTGTCTAAATATTGGTTAGAGCATGGAACTTGGATTTTACACCTGATTCCCTTTCTCCTACTCACCAGGCTCCACGACTCTATCACCCCCATTCTCGATTGGTTTCACTGGCTCCCCATCCCCCAGAGGATAGAGATAAAAACTATCTTCAAAGCCCTCCATAACCTTACTCCTCCCTCCCTCTGTGACCTGTTAACTCCATATCGATCTGTCCACTCCCTCCCCTCAACGAGCTCCAGCCTGCTCCTTTGGTCCCCGCCCGGTCCACCCCTCTATCGGCGGTCGGGCCTTCATCCTCGCTGCCTCCACTCTTTGAAACTCCATCCCACAGTCCCTTCGCCTCACTCCCTATCTTGCCTCCTTTAAGGCCCATCTCAAGACCCTCCTCTTCGATCGTGCCTTCAGTCACCCTCCTCCCCTAAACTCCCTGCTCTCCATCCTCCTGATACCAAACCCCAGCTCAGGTCTAAATTCCTAACTGTCCAATGCTTTGGAAAGTCCTCCTGACGTGAAAGGCGTTGTATCATTTTTCATGTAATTTCTTATTATTGTAATAAGGGATCACAAGTAAAAATAAAAGTTGTGCTTATTTAAGATGGACCTTGCTTGTTCAAATAATACTTACTCAACAGCTCACGGATAGAAAGTAAAATCAATTTGACTCTTCAAACCTTTCTACAACAAAATTACATTTGTATAGCGCCTGTCACTATTCAAAAGAAAATGTGGCCTTCTAGGTAGGAAGTGACTAATTATTTTAGAACACTTCCTACCTAGAAGGCCAAGCTATTGTCACAATGCATGTTAAATCTGCAAATTCTGCTAAACAATATTACAGTGCAAACTCCCAATAATATGAAAATACTTTACCTCTTTGGTTTCCTTGGTGATATATCAGTTGGTGCTCCAGGTGCAGGCATATCCATTGGAAACATGTCGACCCACATCTCAATACGACCCTGAAAAGTGGCAAAAAATAACAGCTTTGAATCAATTGGGCAGCTGGCAGTGAAACCATAAAATTAGTCTACCATCTTCTGTGAGATTTGCAACTGGGATAAATATAGTAATAGAGGAGCCTATTGTCACCATTGCTGGACTATTTAACACAACAAAAAATTGCATTATATAGTGCCATAGAATCATAAAGAGCACTGTTTGGTTAGGTTTTATACAATACACAATGTATACAAATTTACATAGTGAATACCAACATACAGCAACAATTAAAGATGTCCTATCTTTTGGGAGGGTTACAGATACAAGCAACATATGAATTATGTGTCTTGATAGTAACTGCACTCAAATATCTTGCAAAAAATAAATGTTTTCTATTTGTGTTTTAATAGGAAACGTGCTCCTTCAAATACAGTTTACCTTTTGACATTATGACAAGAAATGCCAAATTTTAATAACGCATAAAGGAAATTTGTTATAATAACAATATGATCTAATTTGCATTATTGACAACTGAATCTATTGCATTAATTATAACTTCTATCTGTGACTTTCAGTCCTTTACATTTTTGTTGTATTTGACAAATCCCAAGTACTAAAGTCTGGTGAGCAAATTGGTGCTAGAAAACAAGTCAAGTGTTCAGTGTTTAAATGGACTTTGTTGGGTTGAACAATGTTTCACAAATCTTCTTCTGTATTTCCAATTGAGTGTGTTAGATCTTGCTCAGATTTCCTCCTGGGAAAGGGCAGGGGTGGGGGTGGTGGGTGTTAGGCAGATACTCTCAATCATGGTGATGGGTTTCTGCATGTGTCAGACACCCACCTGACCCCAAAAAGCTCAGATATCCTGAAAACCTGAACTGACGTTAGTTAATAAATAAATACATATGTACACAGATGTACTCATACAATCAGGTGTACGCAGTAACTAATGTCTGCTTCCTGTGCATTGTTTTGTACCTGCTCAATGCCGGGTTTCTCAGGGTTCAGGAGAGGCCTAGTTTCCACATGTTCAGGGACCAGCTTGTAACCTGCCCGTGGGGTCTCCTCCCAGTGCTGTAGCACAGTCAGCGCCAAAAATTCATCAGTTGGTTTTTTCAAACCTAATTAGAGAAATGAACACCATCCAGTTTAAATTCTTGATAGTATCAAAGCAAATTCTGAATATTCAATGCGTATATTGTTAGAAAAGATTTTAATGTTTCAGAACAGCCTTCCAATGTGTAAATGGGGTGAAAACTATACAATTCCTAAACACACTATGCTCCTTATTTAAAGAATAAGGGGTATCAGCCTAGCTCAGTTGGTACCACTTTAGTCTCTGAAACCCATGTTCGGGCTCTGAACTCATGTTGTCCAGGCTGACATTCCAATGCAATGCTGGGGGTGCACTGCATTTGAATGAGATATTAAAACTAAGCCTATATCTACCTGTTCTGGTTGACTTTCAAGATCCCATGGCACTATCTGAAAAAAGAAAGTTTCTTCTGGTGCGCTGGCCAACAATCCCGCAAATAATCTAGGTCATTTACTTCAAGGCTGATTGTGGCACATTGCTGCACAAAATTGGCTCACTCACTACACTTTCCAGTAAATCCTGTGAAGTAGTTTGAGATATCCTCCCAATGTCAGAGGTGCCATATCAAATGAAAGGATTATTATAATACAGTGCCCAAAACCAGCTGAAAAACCCTGGGCGAAAATATACATCTTGAATTTCTGCCTTGTGGGAACCACGTTTCTGAGTTTATTCAGGTTGTAGTCACTTAACTCAATCTGGGAGAGCAATATCTTCTGAATCATTCATGGAGGCCATTTGACGCACTCATAAATTCTATCAGATGATTCCCCCAAATCTTCAGGCTGATTCCCTCCCCCCACCACCAGTTATGCTAGAAAATGATGGAACATCATTTTGGAAAGCACACAGTCTCAAATGGCTGAATTGAAACTTTGAATTGAACTACATAATACATACTACCATTTGGGTTTCATACCATTTTCATCCTCAATCTCTGATGGCCCTGTAAACACCCGATTGGCCACCTTCACTCTTCCAGGAGGTCCAAAATGAGGCCCATCTACTTTGCCTTCTTTGCAGAGTTTCGTCAGGATCTGCGTGGGTTTATTTGGATCTCTCCAGATATTATATCCATGGCTGTATTCAATAAGAACAGAGTATAATATCTCATGACAACAAGAATTACTGATCTGATGTCTAACAGTAGTAAAAATAACCATTGGAAGACTTGGTGCAATAACTACACATCATCTTAATTTATGACTGGTCATTAAATTTTTATAACTTGATATTGCTTCAATTCACTAGTTTTATAACGTGGCATTGAATTTGGTTGTGTTTCAAAATTTGCTAAAGAAAAGGTAACTAGTTTCATCAAATGGTTTTGCGATCAATCAAACCTGACTTTTCTATTGTGCAGCATACACTGAAGATATGTAGGACTGCAGTAACCTCTTGTTGATGACTGGTCCATCAATGATCCTTGGAGTTTTAAACAAGTCCTGATAAGCTAAAGCCATAATGAGAAGACTGATGTGAGCTGATAAATGCCATGCAACTGTGCAGTGTAAAGCATATCACTGCTGATGACAGACCAGCCAGTCTGGCTCATCAACAGAACTCGAAGGGGTAGAGTGGTCTATAGGGCAGTGATTTGTCGCACTTGGCTCCTGTTAGCCATACAAGCCTATCCAATAGGGTTTGTCTAGCTGGACAAGCTGCGGGAGACTTGCTAGTGGTCTTAATGGTTTTAGCTGATTAAATATCAGCAATATGAAACACATACTCTGGGGACCCAAACCTTGGCTTTTGCCAACCTGCACGCAATATTTTTTGGAATTAGATAAACAGGTTAGTTCCAGATGGTGTAATTTCCATGTATAGGTGGCAAACTTACGTAGAACTCTTGTTTGGATATTCTTAAGCATGGTGAGGGGTTTCTGCATGATTCCCCCCCAAAAAACAGTATTTACCAATAACTCAAATAGATATTATTTGAATTGAATATTAGGTGTAAATGGGCACTATTACTTACATTGAATATTGCTGTGCAATGCCACATGTTGCTCTGTGTTTGCTGTAGTATCGATTCTCCAGGTCTATTTTGGTTTCTCCAATGAGATCATCTGAACCTACTAAATCCCAGTCAAATATAGCCACTGTCAGCATTGATTCCATTGGGAATGTGGCTTCAATGTCAAAAGACCTAGTTAAGGAGTTGAAGACATGCAATGAAACAGTTTAAAATTATATGTAGTTATTTGAGTTAGAACTCCCACAAACCAGTTGCACATCAAATTTACATTTTAAGAGGAAAATAAGTCCAGTGTAGAAGAATTACGACAACAAGTTACATTTATCTAGTGCCCTTCACACCAGATGACGTCTCTGAGCTCGGACTCTATCACATATAACATTATGCCAGTTGAGTCCCCATCCCTTCTATTCCATTCCATTAAATCTCTATTCTCTTCTTCATCATCAATTTCCTTTCATATACATTGATGCCTTTTGTTTCAACCACAGCTTCTATCAGTAGGTTCCACATTCTCACTACCCTCTCTGTGAAGAGGTTCCTCCTAAACTACTAGCTATCTTATATTTATGCCCCTCATTTTGGACTCACCCATAATTATCAACAACCACCTTATCAAATTATTTTATAATTTTAAACATCTCTATTGGATCCCCTCTCAATTGGCTCAGCGCTAGAGAACACACTTGCCCATTCATTCTTGATGTCTGTATTCACTCATCCCTGGTGATATCCTTATAAATCAACAACGCACTCCTTCCGATGCTAGAAATATGTTTACTGGAATAAAGCAACCAGAACTCCAAATGTGGTCTAACCAAGGTTTTATATAGACTTTTTTTAGTCAATGTACCAATGTTATGTTAGAGGAGTAAAACGTATTGTTATAAAGAAGCACTTTCCCTACAGTGAAGGACACTTGCTTTAACACAGCACCTGGGCTCCACCTTCTCCTTCTTCATTGACCTATTGTAGGAAAAAAAGTTCTGCAGTATTGTTGTGCATCCTGTGCACAGTTACCTGTCACCCATCCTTGGGAAAACTCACTACAAGCTGTATTGTATGCTCGGCAGTACTGGAAATCTTCTGGGTACTAGATAACCTTCTTTGCTGACAGAAAGCATTTGCTCTTTTGAACTCCATGGCATTGCTCAGTGTGTGTGCTGCTGATCATCTCTTATATCACCAGAGAGGCCCAAAGCAAGAGGATACAGGGCTCAGAATCAGTTTTAAATGGAGGATTCTTCTCTATATTTAGTGGGAATATTTTGAACATAAAGCTTTCACATTTTCCTGTAGGAAACTCCTAAACATTGAAAATAATTGTTTTTGTAATTTTTGAGACATGTGCTTTTCCCCCACAAGTATTAATGACACATTTAAAAAAATAAATACAAATACCAATGTCCTACAGTACATCGTTTGATAGGAATCCACATGCAATGCACAACTGCTATATGTACCTATTAGTATAATGTGTTCTAACATGGTCTGGCTATTCTGGATCTTTGAGAGCTATGTATCCAGTTAGTGCAATTCCCCTGCCTTTTCTCATATCCTTTTATAATTTTTGCTTTACAGATGTTTGTCTAATTGCCTTTTTTAGAATCCATTATGGATCCTGCATTACTACCATTTTGAATTATCCTAACTTCTTTCCCTGTTCCTTCCTTTTGGTGTTCTCACTGAACAGTATCAATAGCGTCAATCTATGTACCCACAATATTTTTAATTATTATGGTTTAATTTTTAAAATTAACATCCAGTGACTGCTCTGCAATAGATCTGATTCCTGAATTCAACTCACAAATACTGCCAGCATTGCAAAAACAGGAAAGTCTGACAAGTTGTCAATGTGAGCATTTCCCTCCCACTCCATAAGTTAAACAGTCTTGGCTGGAAATAGATTATTGATTTGGATTGTGATACAATGCATCTGTGACTCAGTGTCTTTTGTGCTCCATCTCTGCTCATTTGGTAATATTCGTGCCTCTGGGTTAAACGATTATGGGTTCTAGCCTCAAGTTGGAACTTGCACTCATAGTTCGGTTTGACAGTGCAACGTACTGGGGATGGCCAACAATCCTGCAGATTTGTTGGTCATTCACCTGATGGCTGTTTCTAGGACAGTACAAATGTCTCTACACGTGACAGTAATTATTTGTGTAGTATTAAAAAATGCAAGCACCTTTTTTTCCTCTTATGACTTACTTGCCAAAAACAGGATTCAGTTGCTTGGAGATATAGTTCTCTTTGTCTTTGATTTCTGACTTGCCCAATTTTATGACAATATATGGATCTGCCTTACCATTGATATCTGCTGGGTGCAAATCTGTGGACTTTAACAAAAAGGCAGGTTTTGTTTTAAAAACAAACAAAAAACATATTTAATAAGATTCGACGCAAAGAACATCAAGCAGAAGTTTTAGTACTTTGTATGTTTTATTTTTAAAATAATAATAATAATGTTATGGTACTATTCGCATAATCAAAGCACTTAAAGAATCAGATTGATATTGATTTTACGGTATTTCTTACTGGATTTCTTAATTAAGAGACCTGCTAAAATTAATTGCAAAAATTGACCCCAATATCATGTGTTTAAATTGCAAAAATTTGGACACTCCATCCACAACTGTTTGTGGGACTATGTTACGCAAAATTGGCTGCTGTGTTTCACCCACAAAATACACAATCAATCCACTTTACAATATCAAAACACAAAATACTGCAGATGCTGGAAATCTGAAACAAAAACAAAGAGAGCTGGGAAAGCTCAGCAGGTCAGGCAGCATCTATGGAGAAAGGAAAATGAGTCAATATTTCGGGTCCACGACTCTTCGTCAGATGAAGGGTCGTGGACCCGAAACATTGACTCACTTTCCTTTCTCCATAGATGCTGCCTGATCTGCTGAATTTTCCCAGCACGCTCCACTTTACAATATACTGTGTGAGGTGCTTTGAGACGCTCAACAAATGATACGGTTCTATATTAAATGCAAGGATTATTAAAAACATATTTCTCTTCCGTTTAAAATATCTCTGTTCTTGGAGGTCGAACCAAAATTTCTAACCCTTAGTGAAAGAAATAATTCAATGATGTATGATTTTATCTAAATTTTCGGTATTGGCTTAAAACAGACCTGAGGGAGAGTGAATAATTATTTTCTTGATCACAAGTTGCACACCTTATTTCAGTCAGAGTTGATAAAATTATTAAATTGTGGCCAGCAAACTTGATTGATTGCCTAGCATTTAAACCATGACTAGGCAACAGATTAACCTAATTTAATTTAACTTTAGTTACAGCTTTCAAAGTAATATAGCTTCACATGTTTTGGAAGCACTAAATTTGTATGAACGAAACGATGAAACTCAACACATTTTCTTCAGCTTGATAACGGGAGACTTACCCTGACCACGTACACTCGGACTAAAACGTTGATGGGGTCATTGTTAGGGATGCCCTGGAACATTCCAAATGTAGGCTCGTAACCTGCTTCTCGGGCGATCTCATCAGGAAGAGGAATCTTGTACACGCATAGAGAGCCCTACATTGTAATGACAAAAGATTATACAGACTTGATAAGAGATCACGAGATTGAGTGAATATATTTAAGTCACAGCTGGTAAACTTTTATTGGCAAACTCTAGTCACAATGCTGATCTAAGTTTTTTTAAAAAAAAGTAATCAAACTGAACCGTCACATAATACAACACTTTACCATTTACATTTATATAGTGCCTTTTATGTCACGGGATGTCTCAAAGCGCTTAACATTGCATCCGAGCTTGGGATAGGAGCCGAGGGGAGGGTAAATATGAGCAAGCTCAAAGGTTTGAGATGATCATGAAAAAAGGGAACAAGTGATATTCTTAAATATCACAAAGGAAGATGTGTTTGTCTATTTACTATTCAGTCACCCATGAAGACAATTCATGCTGAAGAATCTTAGTTAGAGGAAGCCTGGGAGCCTTCAATTTAACCAGAGTTGCTCCAATTTGATGTACAGTTCACCATGGACATGTAGGCAGTGTTCATACTCATGTTGCCACCTCTGGAAAAACCAGAAAAAAAATCTTCCCAGTTTCTAATTAGCAGTTTTAAAATAGAAAATACATAATAAGGCACAAAGAAGTTACACACAGATACAGGGATACTGTTCATTTGTTTAAAAAAAGTACCGCCTTATATGTAAAGGGGAATATTGTAAGGTGTGATAATTATCACTAGATATTTATCAATTGTTATGACTGTGACTTTCAACAATGTGATAAATATTACTGGTAATATCCCATTAAATTCAGCTCTGGAGTTGGAGAGTCAGTCACCACCAGCGGGTATGGGCACATAGCAATCAGAAACTGGACTGGGAAAACTGACTGCACATGGGACCCTTAATGATGATAGAGAGATGACAATTTCATCCCTACTTATCTTGACTAAATCCAAACCCATGGTCCAGAGTTAAAGGATAATTTTCTTACTATTGCAGCATCCAGTCTTTTTGTCCTCTTTGTTAGGTTGACATTCTTCTCAACAGATGCGTATGTGTGTCTCTCTTATTCTTACTTATAGCTGTGACATTCCCTGTGCTGACCTTGTGGCTGGACCTGATTATTTGTAGGTCATTATTTATTTAATTCTATTGGCATTTCCTTTGGAATGATCAATTCATCCACTTATAGACAATGCATGCACTGAGCATACTAACATCTTTAAATCTCTGGTAATTAAATCACCAATGCATTAAAACACATCTCAAGGAAAAGCTGTTTCTTTACTGTCACAAAACTTTATTGTCAGGATTTCCTTTGTTTAACATAAGAGAAAATGTCTGATATCCATGTCCAATTTAAGAAGTTCCGAACTTTTACACTGTAAATCACAAATAAGCTTAAGGAAACATCTCTTGCAGCCAATTACACTTTCCAGGAGACATCAATAGGCAGTGTTGCAATCAGCTTGAAAAAAGTGAAGCAATGTGCATTGACTCACTTTAAATCTCCCAACGATCCTTTCTTCTTCGGTGATGGTATCATCGTCGTCTCCGATTTTGCCTCGATAAAGATTGTATGTGTGGAGCCAGTCTTCAAAATTTCCAAACTCACTTTCCAATTCCTTATTGTAAACCTGTGCATTGAAATGAAATGCCAAGTCACAAGCTCTTATACAAGTCTTCTTATTTTAATTTCTCTTGTACATGAGTTTTTTTGAGGGGTCACCTCCAAAGATCACCCTGACTAATCTCTGGTCAATTTATAACTGTGATCTCTGGGCACAGGTAAGCAGGTTTGTGATTTACCCCACTTCCCCCATTCTGAGCTTTTGTGTGTATCAGACAACTCGATTCAGCAAAAATAAAAATAATAATACAAATTGTAAGATTGGCAAAGATGCATTTCAGTTTTGAAGAATGAGGAATATATACGTTGGGATTCATGAAATACTGCACAATATATGACTAATGACATAAAAGCATTGGAAGGTATAAAATAAGAAAAGACAATTTGACATTATAATGGGATATATAGATTATAACTCTTATGGATGCTCTTATTTAATTACTCCCTAAAAGAGCTGAAATAACAAGAAATTGCATTTTCTAGAAGTTTTTCCAATAGCCATAAGCAAATAACTATTTTCACTCACCCGTAACTCATCAATTTTCTGCTTATCCTTCTTTTCAAGCACCTCCAGTTGCTTTTTCTTCTTCTCTTTATCCTGTGCTTTAACCTTGTCTTTACCCTTGCCCTTTGTGCCTTTAATAGGAGAGTCTTCAATTTTGAGATCTGAATACAGAGGAGGAGGGGGTGGGACACAAAACACTCAAGCATGATTAGCATGAAAGTTGACATTGACCTTCACTGGACTCGGAAGGAATTTTTGATCTCTTTGATCCTCTGCTCAATTTGTGGAGGAAAAACAAATCATAATCTGCTGAATTACTGACATTTGCTGGTGTGACCTTTTGATGGTGACTGCATAACTACAAGATTAAAGGTAAAATTTACTTTTAGGATACACTGAGACTGCAGAACAAGATAAACATGTTTAGGGTTGCAAAAGGCAATTTCAAAACAGACACCAAGAAGTATTTATTTGTCCAGAGATTAACAAATAGAACAGATTATCTGAAAGGATGGTTGGTACCAGGATGCTGAAGTTGTTTAAGAAAAGCTCAATGTTGTGATGAGAGGACAGTAAGATTGGTATTCTGGAAGGATGAGAACAAATTGGCTGAAGGGTTTTCTTCATGCAAATCTCTCTTCTGATCTTATGAGCTCTTTCCTCAATCAAACTATAGTACAACAAATAATATTGGCCTGTAATTTGTACCATTTCTTAATAAAATTATTTGACAAAAATTCTAAGTTGCACTGGTCAAAACCCGCAAACTCCCTCCCCAACCACAAGGACTGTAATCCTATCTTCTCAGAGGAACCAGGGATCAACATTAAATGCTGGCGTCACCCACATCATGAGGCAAAATAAAGAAATAAAGTGGGGTCTGTGTCTGTTTTTCAGAAGTATGCCATGCTGACTAGTAACAATAACCAAATGATGTAGCACTTTTCATCCCTTTGTCTCAAACATGGATTTGTGGAAAGTGTTTCAAGGCAACATTGTAAGGACACAATGTATTTCAGAAACATTACTTTAACTGTTGAGACTGGTTACGTATTCAATTTAAGAACTGGTGCACTGGACTTGAAACTTTTCAAAGATGGGAGAAAAGTTGTGGTGTGGTAGGCAACTTAGTATGCAACTTAGTAAAGCACACATCTGACAAACAGATGAAATACCAAGCCTAACATTCCAGAAGAACATTATGCCTCAAATCTATAAGTCTGCAGATCTAAAAAAATAAACTGGTTTCCTATAAATGAAGAAAATGCAGAAAAATACATTTTTTGTGGTCCTATAATAATTTTCTTCGGGGAAGAGAAGGAGTTATGCCAGTTATGTTAAAGCTGTTGACTTCTAGACCTTTCCACTAGCAAATGCCTTAATATCACCACTGTCTTTAACCTCAATCATGAATGCCAACTTCCATGAAGGCTTTTAATGTGAATGAGAGTGACCAATTCTGTCATGATAAAAAGAGGAAGGGTAAGGAACAGCAATGCAAGCCACTTACAGTAAGCACCAACTCAAAGCTACCATCAGCATAACATAACATGTAGGAGCAGGAGTAGGCCATTCGGCCCTTCGAGCCTGTCCTGCCATTCAATCATGGCTGATCTTCTAATCTAACTCCAGCTAATACCATAACCCTGCCAATACCATATCTATTTTGAAAAAATATATCTATCTAACTCAGCAGATGAATCACATGTGCAAAACACTGCCGAGAAATCAAAAAATCATGACTACAACAATTGCTTACCAAAACCTTCACAAGATAGACACATTTTTAAAAAAAATCACCACAGTGTCTGTCAAACATCATTCTCACAGTCAATAGAACAATCACAAACACACTCAGGGAGACATATAATAACTCCGATAGCATTTTTATTATGACTATGCAATTTGTTTGACTTTTATAAGGCAAATATAAAATTCCCAGGAGTTTGTAATAAACACCACCAAAGTAGAAGACATGAGTGGGACACAAGGCTCAAAAAATAGAAAATTGTCATAGATTACGAATAGTGAATTTTTAAAATAATTTTAATTTTTAAAAAAAAAATTGTTTTCAACTATTATTGTCAGCAGGGAATGTATGTTGTGTGTGCTGTGTATTATTTCCCTTGTGTAAATTATATAAAAGGGTTCCATAAGGTTAACATAGATTGGCTGTTTCCATTGTTTGGGGAGACTGTAACCAGGGGACAAAAAATATAAGATAGGAACAAGGAGATCTAAGAGAGAATTTAGGAGGGACTACTTCACGCAGAGGGTAATGAGATTGTGGAACCAAACTGAGAGTTTCATGCACCCACCCTACACATAGAAATTCCAGAGATGTTTATCTCGTACTCTGGGACCATCATGCAATGTCATTTGAATGAACACTTCCAACTGACATTCATTCTCTCTGCTTTAAGTCCATATACATATGTACGTTACACATACGTATATACATACACACCCCCACGCATACATTGCCCTAGTTGTATTGGCCCTGTCGAGCAGAGGGTGTGCTCATTTGAGTGGAACAAAAACTCTGACTCCAAATATTGGGAAGAAAATTAAAATACTAATCTGGGATGGATCTTTGGGTAAAATCAACACAATTGAAACGCTTTGAGATGTCTCAATGACGTGATAAGGCGCTATTTCAAATGCAAGGATTATTATTATATTCAAAGAACCTATTTCTATTTGACTGTCTCCCTAAGATGTAATGTAATTGATGTTTACCGTCCATGGCTATCTCCATGTCCTCTTTCTCCTCTGCCTCAGCTGCAGCTGCTTCCTGCTGACGGATTTGCTGAAAGGGTTAACAACAATTGCTCAGTTATTGCAGCTGAATTCACATAAACACCGACCAATTTGAGCACAGAATCTCTCTTTTCATTTAAGTGTTTGGGTCAGCTGGTAACACTCGGAAGCCTGTGGGTTCAAGTCGCAGGTTGATGCCCAAGCCTGTACTCATTGCACTAAAATTAGGGGTGGGGGTTCTTTGCCGTGGGCTGTTTCACAATTCTATTCATATCACAAAGATTGGGCCTGTAGCTTATCCAAAATTTTCAGCCATTGTTGTTGCCAATTATGGAACACAATGCGAGAATTGAACAACAACAACAAAATTACATTTATAGAGTGCCTTTCACGTCGGGAAGGCATCCCGAAGCGCTGAACAGTCAGATGTCGGGGCCCAAGCATGGAGAAGGGATGGTGTAGGGGTGAGGGAGGGCGGAGAGGTGGGAGGGAATCCAAAGGCATGGTCGAAGAGAAGGGTCTTGAGACCAGCCTTGAAGGAGGCAAGGGAGGAAGTGGGGCGAGGGGGCTGTGGGATGGAGTTCCAGATTGTGGGGGCAGAGAGGCTGAAAGCCCGGCCACCAATGGTAGGGCGGGCGGGAGACGTGGAGCAGACCGGAGCCCGATGAACGGAGGGAGTGGGCAGGTTGGTAGGGAGTCAGCAGGTCAGAGAGGTAGGAGGGGGCAAGGCCAGAGGACGAGAATCTGCATGCTCATGTTTGCACTGGGAACTTCCTTAAAGCCTTTTGGGATTCAGGCACTTTCCCTTGAATTACTTAAAATGTTGTAAATTCAAAAATCAAGCTCTTACTTCTTTAAGAGTTTCAATGGAGGCAAAATATTTGGACCACCAGTCCAGCATGCTTTCGTCCGGCTCTTCCTCCTCGATTTCTTCTCCCTTCTTTTTCTTCTTCTTTTTCTCTTTCTCTTTCTCTTCTTCATTCTAGAGGTCAAAAATTAAATACAGGGAAAATTGAATGCCATGCTGATAACCTGTTCTGATCATAGCTGTGGTGGTCCCACTGCAAAATCTCATTGCCCTTGTCGTACTAGCCCTGTTGAGCAGAGGACGTGCACATTGAGTGGAACAGAAACCTCTCACTTCAAATGTTGGGAAAAAATTGATACACTAATCTGGGATGGACCATGGGACAAAATCAACATAAATGATATTCGTGTACCACATTGAAACTGTTATGAAAAGTTCCCACTACTCCAATAAAACAATGGTAGATAGATTCATAATTCCAAAAGCCAGAAAATAAAGGGAGCTCTGGTTTTAATCTTTCAAACATGTTACACTTGATGGGGGGGTGGAGGGGAGGGGTGCAAAAATAAACAAGGCACAGAAGTTGAAATAAAAATTCACAATTCATGCTGTACAGGAACAGTGTGAATGGAATTAATGCAAGCAAAGGGGAATATCTGTTTCCTTTTTCTTGGAAAATGTAGGCCAATTGGTCCTTTTTTCAAAACAGTAGCTGGCCCTGGAATGTGAAGGATAGTACTGTTTTCTATTATCTCCTTCATTGAACTATACAAAGGATTATATATCTTCTAGTTTGATGTTCACTTAGCACTTGGTGACATTGTTTTGCTGGTTATCTCCAGGGTCATCCTTCCAATCTTTCATCAGTTTAGTCCTTTCATTTCACTTAAAGCATTCTATTGGTAAGGGATGAGTTACTCCAATTTGTGGCAATTAATACAAGAGTGTTGGTGTGGAATGGGCATTTGTCCTACCGTGGGTTCCTAATTTCTCTTTGAAGGAGGAATGTTTGAGAAAATCATCTCCACCAGTATCTTCTGGTCTTTGCTTCCATTTTTTGTACAAAGGAAAATAAGGAATTAAACACAAGGGGTTTAACCTGTGTACAAGAATACCAACCCTGCCCTCATGGCACCATATTCCTTGGTGCATTTCTATTGTCAGTGGGTAATGAAGTTATTAGTGGTGTTAAATTAAGATGTAGTGAAAATATAGCCTCTTGAGTTTTATAACATATCTAGCCCTACCTCCGTTCAATGGATACCTGCTGCATTCAGGATACAAGACTTTTAGAGAGACGTTTGTGTAAACATTCAATGCATAATATATTCTACAGATAGAGGTATATTTACATAATGAAATTTAAAAAAAATTCTGTGAACAATTTCATTTATTATTAGTTTTGTATATTGATCCTATTCATCAAGAGTTGGCTAGAGAGTTGGGAGTCAATGCAGGTTGTTTATTGAGACCTGTGGGTAAGTTGTATTATTATTAATCTATTACTATAAATTGATGCAGCACACCTAAACTGATAATGTTTATCTGCATCTGAGGACATCATTTGATTATAGCTGGATTGTGGCAGTGAGGGTGAAATATTTTGTGAGTGTAATGTACACGACCAAACATTTTCAGGAATTGTGTTTTTTTTCTGCCCAAAAGCCCCTAGTGAACAATAACAATGCTGGTACGCCATCTAGTGGAATCAATAGACGCTCTATCATTGCAATCATTTCACCAAGGTTCAATGGACTTTTGCAGAAATTTATTCTAAGCACTCAGGCTCCTGAAAAACAGACATTTTACTGCCTGGGCGGAAATTTCAAATCTATTTATGCTGCCATCAAACTCAATAGGCCGAATTGCATATTCTATGCCTATGCTGCTAAATAATAATAATCCTTGCATTTGATGTAGGGCCTTATTACGTCTTCGAGTGTCTCAAAGTGCTTCACAGAAATTGTGGATTATGTGACCAAATTGTTAATTTTTCCAGGGATTATTACGTGGGAAAAGCGATCCACCATTTGACTAATAATCGGGGTTCTACTTACTGATAGGTAAAAAGAGGCGTTAGGAGTATGGAAACTTGGGACGTCCTCCCGACGTGAAAGGCGTTATACAAATGTAACTTTGTTGTTGCCTAACGTTTCACCCTGCCCGGGAATCAAACCCCAGGTCCTCTCACTTGTGAGGCGAGTGCTTTGACCAATACACTACAGAACTCCAGCCTGATATTGTACCATATTGGACACCTATTATGATGCTCTTAAACCTATCTGTTCTCGGTACCACAGCATCTCTAAATGGCATAGAGTCTGGAATAGTTAATTGGGCAAACAGTGAGAGTGTGGAGGGACTCTGATTAAAAGCATATTTAAAAATGATATTTTCGAATTGATGTTGAAATAATTTCGAAAAAAAGTTTTTAATAACATTTACAAATGTCGACCAATATTTTACAACCTTTGTGAATGTGTAGCTTCTTGAAATGTTGATGCTATAAAACTGACTCCTCAGTGACCTATACAGTACAAGGTATTAATAGTAAGGCTTATGAAAAAACTGCCAGAATGGAAGATCCTCTGAACGATTTTGTAAACTGTTTCTAGCTACAGCTATTTGCTTTAGGCTACTGCGTTGGCTGCATTCCCTTGTTCTTCAGTCAGACCTCTAAAGGTGCATTGCTTTGCAACTCATGAATTCTTTGACAAGCTGAGTCATTGAACAGGTTATGAATGATTGACCTTGAAACTTTCTCCACTGCCACGTTATTGGAACTGGGGGAAAGTCTGTACTGAAGAATATGGGATCTTGACAACACAGAAACTATTATGAGGACACTAAATTTTCAGATTGTCAACCAGTTTATGAATGTTGATTTTAGACCGCAGGCTCTGTTACTGTTTTCTCCACGTTGAGGGGAATGGGAAGGTTGGCATTACGTTTCTACACTGTGCTCACATCCTTAAATTATACCATTTTGGGGTCCTATTATGACGCTCTGAAACCTATTCTCAGTGCCACAGTATCCGCACTTACCGCTTCAACTTTAACCACAGCGTCAGAGTTCTGCCATCACATGGAAACAAACAAAATGAGAGGATGTCAGCATCACAACATTGACACAGCACAAATGATGTGAGAATACTGTCTGGGAAACAACTAATCGTGTCCGTGCAGAGAAAGTGAAAAGCATTTAAAATGTAAAGATGAAAGAAAAATGATCAATCACAAAACGCATGATAAAATTGAAGTGATTTTGGAGCAAAGCATTGTGAAGAGGGTAGGGTGGCCATCACATTGTGGGAACACATCTGCAAATCCTTTCTTTTTCCAAACGATCTCCCCTCTTGTCCTGAAAAGCCGGCTCTTTCCGGGGAATGGTTCCACACTACTTAATTTACTTCCTAGACAAGATCTTGCCGGTTGGCATGAAGTACCTCTGATTACCACCAAGAACTCGGTCTCTGTTCTTAAATGTTTCTGATCATCATGTTTCAGACCCCATAGAGAAAAGCATCAATATTCACTTCAAACTTGGTTCGAGGCCTAACAATTTAATTGATTCACAGATAATAGTTTTTCATATCAAGAACACCAGATCCTGTCCTTTACCTTATGCTCATCAACCACAGTAGAAGCATGTATTTCAAACATCTGGGTTTATTTTCCATTTATCTGTATATATACTGACCTCAGTAACTCTTATTGGCAAATGTATCAGTTTTAACGGTGTGAGCTGTTAGCATGAAAATCTTATTATAAATGCAAACCACATCGGCTGGTAAATTTACCAACAATTTAAGAATATTCCCCTCATACAGTCTGTAACTCAAGTACGCTCAATTATTTACTTACAGCATCCAGCTTGACAACAGTCTCCATTTTCTTCACTGGAAGATCAGATTCCATGTTGATATTGATGTCACCTGCAAGGTGAGAGACCGGGGGTCTATTTGCCAATCCTAGGTATCCATTCATTAGTTTTGCTGAATAGAAAAGAATGAGAAACCGGGACACAGACAGGGACAGAACAAGGAGACAAAAAATATCAGACTATGGATGAAAAAGATTCCAGGTGAGTGAAGACAATGACTGTCACATCTTTATGTAACAAAATACATGCCAACTGGGAAGGGTCTATCTAGCATGGATCAGTAATGTGATCAGGTAAAGCTTCATGTCACTGTCATGACTGAGCACTGTGTCCATTCTTTGCGATGATCCTGAAAGAGAAAGATAGTTCCCATTTCGGATGTGACTCTTCAGCTGTTGAGATGGAGGTTCACACCCGAGATCCTAACTATCTCTTTCTTTTAGAAGCCAACTCATAACTCATTATATTATAAAACATTATAATTCTTCTTCTTCTTATAAATAGATATTCACAACCTGGATTCACACATGAATCATAAATATCCAGATGTGTGTCCTGTGTCGGAGCACTACTGCAAATTCAGCCATTAAGTCATTGGCATGTATGTGAAGGAGGACCAAAGCAAGTTAGCCCTTCTCAAAGATTTCTGGAAATAGTACAGAGGAAAACTAACGCAAGGGCCTGATTTCAGTTATTTGCAACAGCTTTTAAAACTGCACGGGGGACACTTTAATATATATTTTTGAAAAAGACTAGTTTTTCCTACAGAGTGTTCACTTTTTTGGATCCAGTTTTTGGATTCTACCATAGATAAGTATCTAACAGTGCAAGCACCACAATTTTTATATCCCTGCAATCTTCTGCAACCCTATCACCCTGGCTGCTCCCTCTGCTCAGATAGCACTCATTTGCTTCATGTCCGCTGCTCAATTCACTCTAATTCGAGATAACTCAGAGTGAGTCTGAATGCATTGCATGGGATTCTCTGCTAAAAACATGCGGTTAAGTCACAATGCATTTTTTCCAGCACCGAGATGCTATTAAAATTAACTTTGTCAGAAGGACTTTTTTTCCCCTCCATTATAAGAATTAAAAATTGAAGGATTAGATCTGAAATGTTCAGACTGCTGACTTTCTTTTAAGATGTTGATAGACCTGCTGTGCAACTCCAATATTTCTATTTATATTGCAGCTACTGTAAAATCAGGCCACAATGTCCCTGTACACACTGAATGGTATGACATTGTTAAGGAATAGAATTATAGGAAACAGGTCATTTTTGCACAATAAAGTATTATCATTATCAATACTGATGTGATTAAGAGAGTGACGCTGTACTGCCATAGGCAGCTTTGCTCAGCCAAAACAGTCTTCCATACCACAAGCCAGGTATGCACTATAACTTTTGCTTTAAGAGAAAAACAAAGGTGATAAGAAATGGATCGCTCTCCTGGCACAGTATATTTAAGTGAAGACCTAAAATTTAGAAGTTTAGAAATATCACAAATATTGCATAATCCACAAAATAAATTGATAATAGGGAGCAGATTGGATGGAAACCATTAAACAACTATATTTTGCTTTCATTTGGAATTTGTAATGCAAATTAGAAGACTGGGAGAACTGTGATAAGAATTGCTATGTAGATCAGAAAACACAGTAAGTTCTCAAAGGCATCCGTAAGCACTTACAATGGAATTGAAACAATACTGCCCTAACTCCAGTAAGATATGGTCTAGATTTGACCACAAACCTCAAGTCCTCATTTTACCTGGATTAGAAAACCATACACACTGAAGGGAACAAATTATAATAATAATAATCCTTGCATTTGACATAGCAGGTTTTGTGCCAAAACCTGTCCAAGCACTTCAAAAGAAGTTTCTGTAAAGTGTAATAACTGTGTATTTGTATGTGAAAGCAGGGAACAATTTATATACAGTAGTGCTGCACAGACAGCCATGAAGTGAATTGAATGATCAATATTTTATCTGGGGGGCAATTAGCACCAATCCCCCAAAAATGCAAGGATTATTAATGCAGCAATGCACTGAAGTGCCAACTTGGACCATGAGTTCAAAGTCCTGATGTGAATCTGAACCTTCTGGCTCGGAGATGAAAGTCCATCTGAGTCAGGCTAACACCTACCTTGCCTTGCACAAAAATGGGCTCTATTTTGTGGCATTTGCCAATGGGTTTCTTAATTAAGGAGTCTGGAAGTCCGTGTTTTGGGTTTTGCTATTCAAATTTGCTCTACATTCAGAACAGTTTCTCCTTGGCCCGAGTGAAGTGTGTGATGTACCTTTGGTTAATGAAAGATGTCTCAACTCTGAAAAACATTTCTTAATTAAAAAATCCATTAAGATAATGCTGCAGAATTTACCTCAATTATACGTTTTAACTTTGGCATGATGAGCACCTCCTACTGCAGTAGAGAGTGTTCTTTCAGTTTGTACACTAACAACTCTTTTTGGTTTACATAATCAGCATCACAAGGATAACAGACAAGGTCAGATGCTAGATGAATTTGACCCTGATGTATACTGAGGGGCGAAAAACCCTGGAAAAATCTTACTTAAAAGAAATCCTTGATTCCCGAATAGGGAGTGTAACTATGAAAATAAAACATGTAATACCAACTCATTCTCTGTCAGGTACCAAAGTGTGGTGGTACCTGCATTTGCCCAATTTTTCTTGTCAGGTGGTCTGTAGATGAACCTTCTGAGGGATCCGACAGCATGGGTGCCAACCAGAGTGTACCTGCCAAATGCTCGGCAGTCAACCACACGGATATTAAGGGGAGGGTGAAGGAGTTCATTCTCTGGCAGATCCTGTTAGTAACAGAACAAGAAGCCTTTAGAATCAATTGCTCATGCACACACCCAACACCAAGGAGGCAGAACATCCAAGGGATCCAGTGATAAAGTTCAATGCTCACTTCATGACTCCAGCCATACATTTGACATCAAGCACAAGGTGTGATATTCACAGAGTCTGATATGTATTAACAGGTCTATCTCTGAGTTTGGTTACGTCTAAATATGAGCTGAGCTGCTGGAATGGGCACCTTGAGAAGGAAAGAAACTCCTTGGGTAAAACCTGACAACCCTTCTGAAATGAACAGAATGCCATGTTGTGAGCATCATCATTAAGTAATTGGTGCTGTAGTTTGTCTGCTCTTTAGAAATTAAGAGGAAAAATCAGAGGGAGAAAGAAAATGAGCTGAGAACATTTACAAATAAGGGGGAACTTGACTCACGATTCTATCTCTGAACAGCGAAGGGAATATTGTATTATTCATTGGTATGCAAAGGATCCATGTCTCCATAAACTGTTTATCGAATAAGACACCCACAGATATTCTTTTTCAATTCCCTGCAGTACTGAGCTACAAATCTGTATTCAATGTTTATTCCAATGCAGAAATAAACATTGTTTAAATTCCATCAGAACAGAAAAAGCTAATAATTTCCTTTCATCTCAATCCAGTGACAATTTCCCATTAAACATGTTAAGAATGAGCCAAAAGGGACAAAACCACATTAAAATGATATTTGAAAGGCAGCAGAAACTGGTAGACTCACCTATTTCTCAAGAGTGTAATCTCCAATTTAGTGCCACAGCTGAGAACTGACAAAATGTGTTAAGTGTCATGGGTGGATATTTTGTGGCAGCCAAACCATAGAGCTGAAGCAGTGTCAATGGCAGATGGAATGATGCTCACAGCTTGATGCACCAAGTCTTCAAAACTATAACACACCCAGAATTTTCAATTCACACTTAGGAAAGTGGAAGTTTTAGAGCACAATCAATTTTAGTTATTGCTCTGTACGAGTCACCTAAAGTCTCTTATACGTAAATGCTCTCAGCTCAATTTCTTTTTCCTTCTAATCCCTGGTGTTCATTGCTTGAGAGCAGACACACTGCAACCACAATTACTGATCGGTACTGCTCGCAACGAGACTGCCAGTTCCCACGTCCAAAGTGTCCATGAAATAAAATACTTTTAAATAATTTTATTCCAGAAAACAAACCTAAGCCTGAGTTTAGTCACCAGTATTAATGATCATTTCAATTTGTGTTTTGTTTAAGACAAGTCGACATTGCCATCTGAAATTGCCATGTTTTTTGTCCTTTTATATAATGGCAGTAGTCAGTCCTCACCACTTCAAAATACTTGACCAGGGTGCTGAAGTTTGGATTTTTTTTGTAATTCTGAATGAGTGATGACTGCACCCCCTTTCCAGCACATTCTATGTCAACACGAGGCCTATCAACCTGAGCCAGGTTCACACGCTTCAGATCTCTCAGGCCCCAGAAGAGAACCTGTAGGGAAGAAAAACAGAATAATTACAACACATTCCATTAATGTGCACCCGTGTGCATACACACAGATATATCTGGATGTGTGCAAACACACATTTGAGTGTGTGTGGATGCATGCATGTTTATGTTTGTATACATGTTTGTGTGAATGTACAAATGTTTTTGTATGTGTTTGTGTTGATGCAATGTAATACTTGTATGTTATAGAACCATAGAGATTTACAAGACAGAAGGTCATTCGGCCCATTGTGTCTGTGCTGGCTAGTTTAAGAGCAATCCTTTCAGTTTTCTGCAATTACCCCATATCATTGTTGCTGACTCGATTAAAAGGTATTTATCAAATTCCCTGTTGAAAGACAATATGGATTCTGCCTCAACCACCACTTCTGTTGGGGAATTCCATATGCTAACCACTCTGAGTGTGAAAACAATTCTCCTAATCTCCCATTTGCTTGTTCACTAACTATCTGAATTTGATGAACCTGTAGGGAAGAATAACAGAAGAATTACAACCCACTTGTGTGTGTGTGCATACAGACAGACATATCTGGAAGGGTGCAAACACACTTTGAATGTGTATGTATGCATGCATGTTTATGTTTGTATACATGTATGCTGAATCCCTAGGCACTCGCTCACCGAGAAATAAAAAAATCTCTTCCCAATCAATTCTTCTATGACTCCCGGAAGTTGCTTACAATCTTCTTTCATTGTTAACTACACTCCTTATTTGTGTGACTTTTGGTTCTTTATCTTTTGGTGCAAATATATGTGTTTAGTGTAGCACAAGATCAGAGTTTTATACTGTCCCATTATAAATACATAATGCTGAAGGTTGCTAAATACAATGACAAGTGGATAATAATCTCTATAATTTTCTAACCAAAATAATTGTAATCTTTGAATCTGATAATGTGCTTTAATTCTCAAATGTCTCAAAGCAGTTCCCAGGTAATTGCTGTCAAGTGTAGTGACTATATTTGTAAGCAAATGCGGTTGCCCATTTGTGCCAAATTGTAGTCAGATCTGTTGTCAAATGTTTTACAATGGTGTTCTGTAACATTATTATAAAACAGCATATACAGGAGGGTGTCTTGACATGGTGAAGAGACAATTATTTTTAGCTGGATTTACTGATTTTGGAACAGAATAAATAAATTCTGTCTTCTGCTCTGGATTTGCCTCGTTCTGAAAAGTAACAAGCATTTCATAAAATCAACAACAATCATAAAATCTAGTAATTTGGCAAGTTGGCACATTTGTCTATTTTGTTTGAAAAATCAGTAAAAAACGAATCGCAGTAAGTACAAACCTGGACTTTATCAATGAAAATCCGTTTTTTACTGAAGATGTGCGAGACCCTCATGAGAATTTAATCTCAGTTAATAATATGTTGGGTTTAGATTTAATGAGATTCTAAGGGTTGCCTACCTCAATCCTGTACTTGCTCAATATAGGTCGGATTCCTCTAGGAACGGGGAGAATTGGACCACGATCGGAGTCCGTTGGCCCATCGATTGGAGGCAGATCATGCTTTCCAGTGGGAGGAATCTAGATTTAAATGAATTAGAGGAGGTGTAAGTAGTGTATTCACCCAATTAAAGGAAATATCTAAACATGACTCACAGTAAAGTAAAAAAAAGCTGCCATTTCAATATCAGTTTAAAGGAAGAGGTTAACAAAATCAAGTAACGGACATTAGGGCCCATTATATGAGCTGTGTAAACCAATTGTAAACACTATGCTGTACTTCTATTCCCTAATACATCCTCGATATCAACTTAATCAAAAAGGGGTTTGGTAAACCTTTTCTGAAATACATGATATAATGAACTAAACTACATTAAAATCATAGCTGAATCACTTGAAAGTAATGCTATTAGAACACATGGTTCCTCCAACTCTTTTCCCTTTCCAAACCAAAAAGATCATGAACTCATGATGCTTCCCCAGTGCAGTTCTCTTTGAAGAGGCAAAAATCACAATTAAGTTTTATTCACAGTTAAAATTGAATCACTGATACCCTATAATGTAGGTTGAACTCAGTATATGAAAAAGAAATCTGACCAGAGAGATCAATAGAAATAAACATGTACATGGGTCAATACCTACCTGAAATATCTGAAATTAAAATTGTTCGGTGGATATTTTGATATTGAGAATTGATGGTAACGTTTTGCAACAGTTAAAGAAATAATTATTTCTTTATCTCGGGAAAATGAATCAATAGCACAAGCACAAGATTACATTCTGATAGTTAAAGTTTCGAGATAAGGATGGCAATGGTTTTACTCTTTGGATGTCTTTCATTGACTCATTAACCACTGATTTGAAGTTCAAACTCTCCCTGCTAATGCTGCATATTAGGGTGAGATGTTTGGGTACATTTCAACTTTGGGTTTTGATTTGGAGTTTCTTAGATCTAACTTTAAGGCTTCACTGGTGAACAAGGTAAGGGCCTTATGGATAGATACTCAGTGATCATGTTTAAACGATGATAATTCCTTTGTTAACCCAAGTCTTTAGTTGAGGCAAATCTCCTCCAAATAGTTGATGTCAAAGAACGTGGGTTGCAATGAATTACAAGTGACATTCTCTACCCAACAACAGGCTACAGCTTCGGGAAAGAGATAGAAAGTGGGATTAATAAACAAAAGGATGATTTAGAAAATTAGTTAGCAGAAGCATAGATGTGAGAAGCCAAATGTCCCCTTTTTGTGCAAAACATTTCTGTTTATATGTTTATCCTGTTTTTGATCAGTCAAATTAGCATTCCCTTCCAGGCAGGATTCATCCTGCTTACCTAATTCCTGAGTGTTAGGCACAGGTTGGCAAGATTCAAGATTGGGCCCCCAGAATATGTTGGGGTACTTCTGGAGTATAACCAACTTAAACTGCATAGGTGACCATTAAGAACACTGTCTGTCACGCTTCCTACTGCTTGTCCAGGTATGATAACCCTACCCAATTGTTAGGGATTTGGCTTATAGGGTTAACAAGAGTTGAGGGAGAAGAATCCTTGCACCCAGTGACCAGTCTACCCTCCCGAGTCCTGCCAATGAACCCGGTTGCCTAATCTGTCATCGGAAGTGTCCTGGAGTACTATGGAACCCGTCTGGCTCAGGAAATGAATGTCTGAGACCACAACAGAGTTAACTTTGATTCTGACATTCTGTTGCCAAGCACATTAACTTAGAGCCAGTTCAGCTCCAAGTTTCCTTCCCTACCCCCAAGGCAAGTACTAATAGGATATCAACAAACTAGGAAGCTCTCAAAAGATGACAATACAACCATTAATTGGAAGCCCCTCCTTAGACTTTAAGAACTTCAGCATCCCCTCCTGAAGCTGTAGATGCTTACAAGTAGGATTTATTTCTCTATACTTTCAAGATTTTGTGAAAAATGTTTTGCAGCTCTTGTGTGATATTACTATTGTGATATTACCTCCAATGGCTGAGCAGGTAACATCCTTCCCTATTGTCGTGCTTAGGAATCTCTGTTGTTGCTGAACTCAATAAGGCTATCTGAGGGATGACACCTTGCTTGCTGATATCTGGAGAACACAAACACAGGTTGGCAAAAGCCAACACATTTGGGACTCCAAGTTCACATTGGAGAATTTGATTAACTAAACCAGAATTAAGCACTGGTAACGTTTTCACTGCTTGAGCCTATAACAATTCTTGCTTTACTTTGTTAGTCAATTTCCCTCTTTTCTATCAAGCTACCTATTAGAAGAACAGAATAACATTGCTATATGTGATAGTTTCCAAGCACCTTCAGTCTGGACAGGTCAGGCACAGTCAGTAAAGAACTTCTATTGTCATCGTCATCATTGGCTTCCTGCAGATCAATGAAAAGAGACAGAGAGGGAGGGAGGAAGCGAGGGAGGGCAGACAGAGGAGACACAAGACATGTAAGCAGAATCATTGACGGGGGCACCTGAGAACTGGTACCACTACAATTTACTAGGAAGGTAGACGTAGCAGTTCGAGCAGAATCAAGCAGAAGCAAGCAGTTCATCCTTATAATAGATCATTTGAAGAAACTTGAATGTGTTTGTTTCACAGTTGACAAGTTAACATCCTTCAGTTTGGAATTATGGGCAAAATGAGCAGGTATTCCTTAATACATTCATTGCTTTAAAAGAAGAAACACCGTAAGGAATATGGCAAATGTGTTACTGTTTCTTCTTAGCACAACCCTTGTTCGCTAAGTACTTACCTGTACTCAACATGCTGCTCCAGAGTTAAAGCTCTTAAAATGTTCCCCCACTTTGTTTTATTAAGAATATTAGTTCCAGATAGCCTCCAACAGCTGTGAGAATGGCTAAACTTATCAGTCATTTTAATCAGTCTGCTCAATCGACAAGATAAATATTTGATACAGAAAGATGTGCTAACACAACATCCCTATACTAAAGTGATACACTTTATTGCTACAACCTTGTCTACCAGTCTTCATCTATGTGCTGTCCAACCACTTTCTATTTATTTCTTTGCTGTACTAAATATGATTTGTGTTGCTGCTTTCTCTCTTTCACCCTCCCACCATTTTTATGCAAGAGATGTCAGTGTGAGCAATAGGATTTTTCCTCCACTTTATATAGAGTAGAATAAGATAAACAGTTTATCAAGGTAGAATACGTAGGAAACGTTAGATTTAATGGCTTATACATATTGCCGCTGCCAAGGGCTCAGTAAGTTGCTTTAATCAAACTGACACATGCGCACACTAAAGGTAAGTCATTTTAAAAGCAGAAACTTTGTGAGTGCCCATCAAGCAGTTTTTATGCTGAATAACAATTTCATATCCTGGATGCCATTGGGACCATGGGCAGAAATAGTACTAAATCCTCATCGCTATCATTTTGTCCAAATGATTAATTGTCCAAAATTGGAACTGACGAAGTTTCTTCTGCACCTGTGCATTGCATTACCTGCAGGAGCTCAAAAGCCGCCAGCAGGTCTCCAGCGGTTGAGTTCCCCCGGAAGATCTGGAAGTACTCCAGTTGTGGGGGGAAGCGAGGGGAACCGTACTTCTCCTCTGCCATCTTCACCACTGGCTTTGAAAACGTTCGACCTATAAACTCTGCCTTGCCCTGAAAGAACAGAAGTGAGATTGAGCTTTCTTACCCTAACCTGATTGGTAAAAATATAGCAATCATCAGCAATTCAATAAATAGAGATTGCTTACATAGCAAAGCGTATGAATCTAAATGAACTAACGACCCCATTAACTTGTTACGAACTCTGCAGCACATATGCTTAATTTATGGACTTTCATCCATGGGAAAACAATTTTAAACAAATTAAAAACCAAATGCCTGATGTAAGATAAAATTGCTCTTGCCTCAGCACTTAGGAACCCAAGAGGAATAAATAACTTACCTGTAGAAATGCATTTCTCCAGCAAATGACTTAGCTGGTGTTACTTAAAGGTTTTCATGACTAAATTAAACAACAAACCACACATTTTACCCCTACGTATCTGGTTGGATGCCTAACTGGTAATTAACTGGTATTTAGCTGCTCATATTGAATATTAATTCTGATTCATATTATAGTTAATATTTATTATGAAAACGGTCATGACAGACTGATATGAAGACCTGCACTGATGCAGGCATTGTTGGTGTTAGGTCCTAGTGCATATTATCTGTTTCAGTGATGCAAGATGTTTACTGAGAAACAAATCTGAATGATGCAGAATATTGGTTACATGATGTACCAGTAACCAATGATAATAAAAACATTGCACGTTGCTCCCCAAGTCTTTGAGCTTGCTGTTTTTGCTTAGTCCTAAAGTTTATACCAGTTCATACTGAAAAACCTTGTAGAGAGAATCATCGCCGTTATCATGGAAAATTATTTCTACTCACTACACCTTCTACTCTGCCACAGTCTGACTGTGGTTCTACTAAAAACCAACAGATTTTAGTTAAAACCATTCTCTTACCCGATTCTTGTCAAACTTTGAAGGCTGTTTTGTTTGATGTAACATTGTGTTCATAAATAAGACAGTTAGTGCCATGCTTAAACAAAGTCATAATATTAGAATAAGTCAGACTTTTCTGATTTCTTCTGTTTGTTTCATGTTATTAGAGATTACTCTTAAAAAATGTTAAAAGACTTTTATTTTGGCTTCCACAAAAATTTTCAAAGCAGGAACTCCAGCCTTGATATTCTATTCAGCAGTCCTACTGCAGTGCTAATGAGATAAGGGACAGATTCTCCATCGCTTTCTTTGATCAAACTCAAACAACTGGAACTCATGTAAATATCTTCAAAGAAATGCCAAGCATTTCCTTTAGTCAGTCTGGCATTTTCTATTCAAGATAAAATCTTAGGTTTATAAATGGGTCAAATTTTTTTTTGGGATGTCACACTGAATAAAAGATTCAGGATTATTGGCACATTTTCTGCAGATTCAATTGAAGAAGACAATAGCATTTATAGGATGGTACTTTTCCAATGGAATATTCTATCTCTGAGATATAAAATTGAAGGATGTGCAAAATGGGAAATAAAACAATAATACATTATTCACTAATGCCAATTATGGGTTGGAATGATACCACTATTTCACAGTGTTACTTCCATTTTAGTTGACTATTGACATATAATAAATACAAATGGTCTGACAAGTCTGACTTATATATACACAACAACAACACACGTCAGGATGGTGGTCAAAGGAATATTGGTATGATTCACTAGTCGTTGATAAATATACGGACTAGAGGAGAATACAACTTTCTTCCCACTAAGTTTTGTAAATTCACCAACAAATGGATAATCATTCCAATAAACACTTGCCTCTACTACTTCAGCATTGCTCAGGTTCTCATCCAAATTCAACATTTCATTGTTACCAACATTTAAAGGAAATCCTTAGTAATTTAATTTTGGTTGATTGTTGTTCATTAAAAAATATATTTTTGTTAATTTTAGAATACTATTGAAACAAAACTATCACAATTTCTATCTACACTTATGATTTAGGGATATCTTATAACAAAGTATATTCTAAAGACGGCATACTCATTAAAGGCTCTGGTGTAAAAAAGCATGAATGTTGATGTTTGTTCCATTGAGATATTTTACACTGCAGCTGTGATAAATGCCTTCAATGAAAGAACGATTGAGTAGTTACCCAGTACAATCATGAAATGAAAGTTATGAGTTTAGACCTTATTGGAATATAGGAGCATATAAGACTGGAAAGACCATTGAAGTTCACCCCACGGACCCAAAGTTAATAAAGAAATAATTTTACTCTGTCTCGTGCTCATACTCCTCAGCTGGATTTGTCACCAAATAGCTATTGCCTAGAAATATACATTCACTACTCTTTACAATACATTTTGTGAAATGATATGAGATGTTTAATGGTGTTATAAAGCACTATAAATAATGCAAGGATTCTTTTTGTAACTCTGTAACTACCACATGAATAAGCTCTGATCGGAAGAAGTATCAAAAGGTGAAACATTGAACTAAACCTTTATGAAATAAAAATGTCAAATTGGTACTGCAAACTAAATCTGCTGTCCTGAGAGGCAACACAGCTTTTTGAATTTCACCATCATCCCTTGTTTATGTGTACAAGGATTTATCTTACTTAAGTAAGAATGTGTTGATTCCTCTGTTTGACTCACCTTGTGGTAGATTTATGCGTAATTTGTACACAACTTGGATGAGAAGCTAAGCCTACTATGTGCTAGTGCTCAATGCTCCTCATGTAGTGGGATCCATTTTCCACACTGAGTTTATGTAAAACTGGAATTCTGACTAACATTTACATAAAGTGCTCACAACTCAACAAGAAGCTCTGTTATAGAGTCAATATGCAACATAACAGTGTGTGAAATGGAGCTCACAAATACTACTGGATCTACTGACTACAGCAACACTGCACTACAGCAACCGAACACTGGTAGACACAAAAGCCAACCATTACTCATCTAATTGACAGAACAATATGATGATGTGACTATTGACCCATGCATGCCTGGTGGCATGATAGTAGTGTGGCTGATGCCAAATGGCTACTCATCACTACTGGAATGTTCTGAGCTGCTGCTCCTATCATTATACAAAATTGTCAAAGAACCTTGGGACATTAAAGAGATAGTCTTCTCATATGTGTTGTTGTGATCGTTCTCTCATTATTTTCTAGTTTAGAAGAACGGTGAGGTTTCCATGATATATAGCACCATAATATCATAGCATTTTCATCAGAATATTTTGAATATTCACAGGCCCAGAAATTAACTACAACACAAAAATACCATGCACTATTGCTGCAGGTCAGAAAGCTTGAAATATCCACAATGAGTGTACGAAAAGACTGTCTCTTAAACGATCAAGGAAAAGGAGGTACGTATTCATTTCTAATATACAGACTTATCTATTCGGACACATATGGGTAAAAGTTCTGGTGAGCATTATACACAGTACCCTTAGCAATGGGAATACTATTATACTGGCAAATCGATTGGTACCCAACTGCCCCAAAGGTGGTCTGCGTAAGTAACACTCAACAGAAAGTTTACCCCAACAGTACACATTATTGGACTTTAAGCTGCAACAAAATCTTCATTTGAATGTTAATCAAAAACTACAAATTTGTTTTTGTAAAAAATCTAGTATCAAAATTATGCCCAGCATATTTGTTCAATAATTACTAAAGCTCTCACTTGTACCGAAATCAAACTACAAGTATCATTTGTAACAATTTAGTAATAAGCATTAAACATTGCACAATATTTGTTGCATCTTTTGTAGTACGTCTAAGATTGCCGAAATGTTCCTCTAAAGCTATTTCAACTACAACTAGCCTCAGCAAAGCAAACTCTACTTAGCCCATTGTACACGTGGCATCCAGAGCCAGAGCAAGTTAAAGGAAAAAATACCATAAATAAACAGTCAACATTGATTATTTATCATCCAAATATCTATTCTATTAATACTGTGTAGGATATTGCAACAGCAACAACAAGATTCCATTTATAGAGCGCCTTTCACGTCGGGAGGATGTCTCAAGGCGCTGGACAGTTGGGTCGGGACCCGAGCAGGGGGGAAATGGTGAGGGTGAGGGGAGGGAAGGGAGGGAGCGAGGAGGGGGTAGAGAGTCGAGAGGGGAGCTGAAGGCACGGTCAAAGAGAAAGGTCTTGAGACTGGCCTTGAAGGAGGAAAGGGAGGAGGCGGCGAAGGCACTGGGGGATGGAGTTCCAGAGCCTCGGGGCTGAGAGGCTGAAGGCCCGGCCACCGATGGTTATTATTTGCAAGAATAATTAATAAAAAAAGTAGCTGATTGTCTTGTACATGCATCATTAGTTTCCTTTAAAAGAGCCAGCACAAACATGATGGGCTGAATTTTTCTATGCTGTAAATCTCTATGATTCTAGCCAGAACAAATATACTTTTTTGAGGGGGTGGGGAAAATGAACTGGGGCCAGATTAAGTTTTATTGAACCATTGATGGCAATTTTAACTAAATGAATTCAATTCTTCATTGAGATTGGCAAAAAACAATCTACTCTGTAATTAAAACCTCATATTCTCGCTCTTGGCCTTTTGTTTGGGACAGACATTGGTCTCAAAGGTTAAGAACTGTTGCTATTTACACAGCGAGGATGAAATTTGTTTTCTCTCAGTTAAGCCTCTGGGGTCTACTACACACTGATTGCTGTTGGTAATCTTGTGTTTATGTTTATAATCTTCACGCAGTGAACTTCTGTTCCTAGCTGGACTGGCTGGGAGAAGCAAAATTGATCTGTTTTTCCTATAAGAGGAAGATGGAAAAAAGTGTGGGGAATGGGAATTATCCCACAGGGTTCTTGTGTTCCTCCTTGTAGTTGGTTCAAAATGGTACATTCAGAAGCAGAGGTTTAGATAGCCTCAGTTGTAGGACAGTACAGGGGTAGGATAAGGTTAAGACCAGTACAGTACAGATACACATATATTACAGTTTCAAGCTTCAGCAAATTTGGGGGGATAAGAGGAGATATTCACAAACTTTAATTAAAGGCGGATTAAGTGGCACATTAAGTCATTGAGTAGGTTCGACAGATGGACAAGCAGATGGACTGGCAGTAATACAAGTTCCTGCGAAAGTTGACAAATGCGAGTTCTACAATAATGGTTTCTACAAGTATTCAGCTATAATAATTTTAGAACTTGTCTTATTCTTTGTGTTTTATGTTAATAAAATCCACTGAAATGGAATTAAGGCATCCACCAAATTGCTGGAAAGCTACCATTAGTTAGACCTTACCACAGTGTCCTGGTCATAGAATTCAATGACAATAATGGGAGGGTCATCTCTCATTTCCTGCGCTTCACCGTACAGCTCAACGTTATCGAACACCAACATCTGGTCCCAGGTTGGGCACAGAGTCTCCTGCAAAACCTGTGAATGATAGAAGAGTAAAACTGTGATCACACATTTTCAAAGCCCAATTCATTTTTTGCCTCCTTTTGTCGAGGGCAAAACCCTTGTTCCCCATGAACAGTCTTCACTCAAACCACTCCACTTTCATATTTTTAGAAAGTGAGAAAGAACATCAAAAGTATGTAAGAACGTACTGAACGAGAGGAGGGTCCAAGGTCACCAGAATGGTACCTGCGCTGAAGGGGCTAAATTATAAGGAGAGGTTGGGCAAACATGGGGTACATTTCCTTGAACTAAGAAGGTTGAGGGTTGATCTGATGAAGGTGTTTAAAATGATCTGACAAGATCAATTGAAAGTAACTTTCCCTCTTATAGGAGAAACCCTGAATAAGTGGATATAATATTAAAATGAGAGCTAAATCAATTAAGAGTCAAGTCAGGAAGCATTCTTTCACACAAAGTATTGTGTAAATGTGGAAATCACTACCCTAAATTGTCGCTGGATCAATTGAAATATTTCAGAGGGAAACAGATTTAAATTTGGTAAATAAATGTTTCAAGAGATAGGTTGAAAGGGCAGGGAAATTATATTAAATTACAGAATAACCATAATCTAATAACATTTTGAAGCAGTTAGCTCAATGGGCTAAATAATATATTCCTGTTCTTATTTTCTTATGTACTGACTGAAATATTTACAATAATATCTTCTGGCATAACTCATGAAAATGACTGCTGGAGTTTTTTTCACCCAGGGTAGCATCCCGCAAGTGCTTTACAGTGGCGGAGTCTGACTCTTACCATGCTTTATATTCCTCCTCATTGCCCTCTGTTCAAAGAAAAACTTCTTGGTGTTTGTTCCAAAATAATCCATCCCGAATCTTATCCTGGGCTCGCTTGTTCTGCTGCCTTGACTTATTTATTGACTGTACTGCTCTGGGTTTACTTTCTCCTTTCCATTGTATCTTAATCAGTTCCTCTGAGACATTTATTTTTCAGGCTGCAGATCTCTATTAGCTCATCATAGCTAAGACTATACATTCTTCACTGAACTCATAAACAAAGAGAAACAAATCTGCCATAAAATAGATGAAGTTAAAACACAATCCACGTGAACTATGTTGTATAGGTATTACAATTTAGAATTAGCACGTGGAATGCAAGAATGTGTATGAAACATGTAATAGATAGAAATTACCACAAAATGTCAGGAGATTTTTTGGACAGTTATTTGACTGACACATACAGAAACCCATCACCGGAAATAAGAGTATCCAAACCAGACAAAGAGTCTCGTGCATGCCACCTACACATGAAAATTCCTGTATATTGGAATGGGATGTGCACTCTCTTCCTGGCAGGATGAGCCCTGCTTACCTAATTCTAGAGAGAGTATTGGGCAAAGGTTGGCAAGAGACAAGGTTTGGGAATTCCAGAGTGTTCATTGGGGTGCTGTTGAGAATTTAACCAACTAAAACCATACAGCTTGCCATTGAAAGCACTGTCTGGTAAGCTTCCCACTGTTTGTTTAGCTTGGACCACCCTACTACCTGTTAGAGTTTTGGCATATAGGGTTAACAGGAGCTTGGTGGGAAGAATCCCTGTTTCCCGTGACTAGTCTGCCCGTCCAAGTCCTATCAATGAGTCCAGCTGGCTGGTCTGTCATCAACAATGACCTGGAATATTATGGACCCGCCTGACACAGAAACCAGATTATCGAGACGACTACAGAGGACTAACTCGATTCTGACTGTCCATTGCCAATTCAGCTCCAAAGCAACCTCGCTTTCCTCCCCCTACATTGCTCCTTCAGGTATCCTCTTTCGCATTTCCAGCATTTTCTATTTCTATTTCAGAGTCCCAGCACTCAACATCTTTTTCAATTAGAAGAGGCCTCTAAAGATTTTCTTAAATTTTACTCATAATTTATTTCCCCATTTTCATCAAATATTTTCACCCACAAAATATACAGTCAATTCACTTTAGGTATATGCTGTGAAGGTCTTTGAGACATCGCGAAGACGTGATAAGGCTCTATATCAAATGCAAGGATTATTATAAGTAATCTGCCACTGCTAAATCAGTGCATAAGCTTGCTGCTAGGAAATGTATATTACAGCAATTCACTCTGTGGGAAATAGGCGCATAAATGAATGAAAGTTCTGGTAGGAAGAGGTTCTTAAGAAGTGGCTGTAGGTTTCCTGACCTAGATTCTAATCTCATTACCTCAGTGCATTGGCTTTGTGTGGAGAAGAAAACTCGACCGAATGGGTCAGAGAGACCACTGCTATCTGCGGCAAACAAGCTTCGGGCCTGGTACATATGAACTCTTAGCTGGAAAATCTGCTTCTCTGTTAAAAAAAATAATATGATTAATTGCAGCATGAAATAACTGGGGACATTGCAACACTTGAAGTGATAATTACCATATCACACTTCCTTAATTTTCCTTCCAAATTCTCCTTTTAGTAAGACTAAATATAATGCCACTACAATGTTTGAATACACTTTTAATTTGTTAAGCACTACATATTAAAATATGATTGAGGATAGTTTTAAAAGGAAGCAATTGATTTCGGTTAACATGTACTGAGTAGAGATTTAAGATCCTATGATGTGAAGTCACCATCTGTTACCGAAGCGCTGTTGATAAGATATTTAAACACATACGTGGATTGGCAAGCCATTTGCTTTCAAAAATACTCACTGATGTAAGTCAGACTTATGGGAGGGAATGACTGCAACCCCAAGCCCTTCATTGCTTTGTTCTCCTCATATCCACTTGGCAGGCCACTCAGGAAATCCTTACGTTGCTTATTGAGACCAAGCCAAAGGTAAATCTCCATTTTAGCCTGGACTGTCCAGCCTGCCGGACCAAAGCCCCGCTTTCCCGGTAGCTGAAAATAATGCAAGCACAAACTAATTAACACCGTCTGAGCCAGAAATAGATAAAAAGGAACAATTTCAGCCAAGCTCAGTTGGTAGCACTCTCGCCTCTGAATTAGAAAGTTGTAGGATTAAGCCCCAATGTCAGGGATTTTAATTCACAGTCTAAATAGATACTCTAATGCAATGCTTGGGTGTGCTACATTGTTAGAGGTGCCATCTTTCAGGTGTGATGTTAAGCCAAGTTCCATCTGCCTGTTTAGGTGGACATCAAAGATCCCGTGGCATTATTAAAAAAAGAGAAGGGACTTTCTGCCGGTGTCCTGGCCAAGATCCACCAAATAAAATTTCAAACTGGCTGCTGCATTTTGGCCTCAAAATACATAGTCAAAACACTTTCAGTATATTCTGTGAAGCGTCGATGACATGATAAGGCGCTATATCAAATGCAAGGATTATTATTATTATTAATGACCAGCACAGATTACAGCGGTTGTGGCAGGATACTGGACTCATTTAATAAGCAGCTTGATTCTGCGATTGTGTGTTATGAGAGGACGAGGTAAGATGGGCCAAAGGACTTTCTTCACGTCAAATGACCTTTCATTATGTCAAATCACATCATTCATTCCAGGAGTCCACAATCTGGAGGCTTTGAGCCTAGTCCATCTGAATGCTACAAAGCTCATTTTTGGCCCTTTTTTGGCATGGGGCCTTTCTGATGAAAGGTCATCGATCTGAAACGTTAACTCACTTTCCTCTCTCAATAGATGCTGCCTGACTTGCTGAGTGTTCCCAGCAACTTTTGTTTTTATTAAACAAAAACAACCACAGGCCTAATTATTTTAAAAACAAAAAAGCTGGACACAGGATCATAAAATAGGGCGATAGAATACAAAGACAAACAAATCGCACATCTGGAGACAAACACAACTTGCTGATATCATAAAAAAAACTAAACACGTTAAGGAACACGTTAAGGAATAATTACTGCACAATTTACCTAATATGAATTGTCATTTTTTTTGGTCAGCTGAGTGTCTGACACATGTGGAAACCCATCACCACACTCAGAGTATCCATACCAAATATGCATCCCAACTTTACATGGAAATTTTTGAGATATTTATTGGAATGCAATGTGCACGTAATGGAGAGACAAATCCTGCTGAGAGTATTACGTGCAAGGCTTGGGGATGCCAGAGTGTGCAGTAGGTACTGCTGGAGTTCAACCAGCTAAAACCACATAGATTGCCATTGAGAGCACTGTCTGGCAAGCTTTCACCTTGAATAGAATGGGAGATAATTGAACTGGATGTGTCATCTTGATGTACCCCCACTTGGCATGCATGCATTCAACTCCTGCAAGGATGCAATACCTTCAAGAAGACAGTTTTAACTTTGCCACAATCTTTGCCTGTTTCTTCGTCCACTATTGAATAGAGGATATCTTTGGATGGGATGCGGGCATATGCGATCCGCTTGTTGTTGCTCATCATCCAGATGAAAATTTCAGGAATACTGTGCTGAGGCTGAATTGCAAGAAGACAGTAAGATTTAGTATAAAGTGAGGAACATCAAAGTCCAGAGTTAACCTCCACAATAAGGAAATATGTCACGACAATCATCTGTTCCTTCAATTCTGTCCTACACAAGATCTTGTGAAAATAGGAAACAATAAAAGTTGCAAACAGCAAACGGTAAACAGTCTTCAAGTTTCCCTTGCTCTTTGGAACTCCATCCCAGAGTCTTTTGGCTTGCCCCCTCCCTCTACACTTTCAACACCCGCCTTAAGACACATCTCTTTGACTGCATTTTCAGCTACCATTCCCCTCCCTCTTCCCAGTTCCTCCTTCCTACCTCAGGCTCCCAGTCTACTCTGTGAAGCACTTTGAGACATCCTCCTGACATGACAGGGACTCATCAAATGCAATGATTATTTTATTACTTTATTAAATGCATGGCAATTTCCCATTTGTCTGGAATGGAGTGTACACTCGCTTCCTGAAGGAATACACCCTGCTTACCTAATCCTCGTATTAGGCGCAGATTGGCAAGAGTAAAGGCTTGGAGACCCCAAAGTGTGAATTGGAGTACTGCTGGAGTTTAACCACCTAAAAACGCATAGATTGCCATTACAAAAACTGTCTGACGTGCTTCCTTCTGATTCTCCAACTAGGACAACCCTCTCTGTTAGGGCTTTTCTTTGCAGGTTTAACAGTATCTGAGTGGACAAATCTCCTCCTCCAGTAACTGGTCCTTTTTTGGGGGGGTCATCCGGGTGTCTGACACATGCAGAAACCATCACCATGCTTACGTTCAAATCCAAAAAGTTCCATACATCCCACCTTTACAAGGAAATTCCCAAGACGTTTATTGGAATGGAATGCACTCTCTCCTTGGAGGGTACATCTTGGCTTATTTAATTCTGGGGAGTATTAGGCGCAGGTTAGCAAGTGCCAAGTGCTTTGGGATACTGCTAGAGTTTACCAGGTAAAACTACATAGCTTGTCATTGAAAGCACTGTCTGACAAGCTTTCTCACTTCTTGACCATCTTTTGGCTTGCAGAGTTAACGAGAACTGAGTGGGAAGAATGCCCCAATAACTAGTATGTCCTTCCAAGTCCTGTAAATGAGCTATCCTGGCTGGGCTGTTATCAGCAGTGCCCTAGTGTACTGCTGTTCCATCTGGCTCAGGAATTGGACTATTGAAATCGCTACAGAGAGTTGACTCAATTCTGACATTCCGTTGCCAAACATGTCACCTTAGAGCCAGTTCAACTCTGAGGAGAGCTCAGTTATGTCCTTCCTCCCATCTCACTCCCATAGAAGGTCACTAGCTGGCCATTCGACATTTGACATCTGACCTATTGAATGATGGTCCCAACAGTTGGAGGTGCAGTGCTTGAGCACCTGTTGCCTCCCAGTGATTGTTTTACCTTTTCAAACCCTGCTAGCCTGGCTGCTGTCATCAAAAGTGCCTTAGAGTACTGTGGTCCTCCCTGATTCAGAAACCCGACTACTGAGGCCACCACAGAAGATTGACTTGATTCTGATATTCCATTATCAGATCCATCACCCTGGAGCCAACTTAACTCCAAGGAGATGCTGCTTATTTCCCCTTAAGGAGGTTAGTAATTGTAGTTGTAATGTAGCAATTGAAATGTTGGGATTTATAAGTAGATCCCCACAGTGGCTGAAATGCTAAATTGACTGTGCAATGAGATACCAAACCACATGTCCAAAGTTTGGTCACTGGTATTGGCTAAGATCGTCACTTTCAAAAGAGATTCAAAAAATGGATGAAATGGCACCCATCAAGTTGATGTGTAAGTCCAAAGAAACAATTTTAACACTTGATGAAACTACATTTGGAGTATTGACTCCCAATTTCCACTATGTGGTGCTCTGTGCTTTATATTGCAGAATAGACAAATCATCTGTGTGAAGTCTTCTCACCTCATCAGCCAGGAAGCGAATTTTATGCAGAAAGTTGTGAACCTGTTTCAATTTGTCCTTTAAGGTATTTTTCTTCACCTGGGACCTTATTGCCTTAGATTGCTGTGCCATGTTCTCCTGCAGTTAAAATATATGGGAAAGATCGTCAGAAAAATGCCCTTTTTATTGATTGTTATTAAGTAAATGTACTTTTCTGATAGCCAGCCTTCATGAAATTGGGTATAATTTCTTGTATTAATATTATTATTATTATTGTACATTGCATCTCACTCAGCCAAATAAACTCAGAAACAAATGCAATCAGTTACACTTAGGTAAATAACCAATAAACAAATATTTTCACATATTGGAACATCCAACCAGGTAGGATAACACTATTGTCATTCATTTACAACAATCTGCATTTATATAGCAGTTTCCGTAGTCGAGCCTTGAGGTTACGAATCAATGTATGAGAGTTTCGGCGGCCTGAGGGGTAAGGCAGTGGCGGAGTCTGGCAATGTTGTAGAGGTGGGGTAAGGCAGAGCGGGTCATGGCACGGATATAGGGGAGAAAGGACAGTTGAAGGTTGAACAAGACGCCTAGGTTCCTGACTGGCTTGGTGAAGTGGAGTAAAGTGCCATAGGCAGAGAAAGGAGAGTAGTGTGCCATAGGCAGTCGATGAAATAGGTTTTAAGGCAGGGATTTACAGACAAATAAAGAGGATTTGAGACAGAGGGGTGGAGCACAGTAGTGGTTAGTGTGGTCAGGAAGCAAAGGGATGAGTTTCTGCAGGCAGGATGGTATTTTGTACATCTGCATTCCACTTACAGACATGATAATTATTATTATTATATGATTATTATTATCATGATTATTATTCTTGTTAACTGAGCAATTTTTAAATGCAAATTTGTATTAATTATGTGTTTGAGTTATAATTGCAGGATTACATGTTCACTTTATAGAGGATGCTCACATTCTATATTTTGTTTCACATAAGTTATTTTGTTATCTTGTGTGAAGGGCTCTATATGAATACAACTTGTTATTGTACTTTGTTATTAGAACAAATATGTTTTCACAGTTCAGAAAAAGGTGATTAATTAAATAACTGTGTTGTTAACAAATCTTTTGGTATATACCATTCTTAATTGTATTTCCTCAATTTTCTTCCTTTTTCTTTTCCTCCTGAAAGCACTGATACTCAGACAGTGCTAAACCAGCTAAATCAGCAAAACTGTTTTGCTTTCAATTCAGAGCACTGTCTGGCAGTATTCCTGCTGCTTTTCTAGCTAGGATCGCTCTGCCTGCTAGCACTACCTTATGCCCCCAGAGCTTTAGCTTACAGGGTTAACAGGAGCTGAATGGGAAGAATCTCTGTCCCACATTGGAATCAGCTCAGCTTGAAGGAGAACCCATTTACCTCTCCCCAAACGAGGATAGTCACTGAATTTTCAAGGTTCATGGTTCTGACTTTTATTCAAATATAATAGGCATTCTAGAGATTAATTGAATAAGACTTTGTGCTTTTACACAAATTCAGTATAATGATAGCATTTGTAAATCTTCCAACAACTTCCAGAGCTAAATTGCTTCTTGCTAAAACTGCTGGATCTGAATAGATTCGAAAAAAAACTTAAGTATGCTAACTTACCATTTCCCTCATGCAAGACTTAAGCCTTTCTCTGTCCAATTTGGTCTTCCCTGTCAGATTTTGGTCTTTATTCACCAATGACACAAACCGCCTGTGAGGGAAAAATATATAGAGATGTTCAGATTATACTATGTACCTCTGAAAAGCATTTTTTTTCCTTTGGATGAAATTACTTCCAATGAAGAACGAAAATTGAATTGTGCTTTGTTGAAGAATTCGCAAGATTCACCAACTTCACTACAGTGTAAGTCATCTCAGATGAATTTATAACCATTGTCAGACTGGAGGGGGGGTTGAATGGAAAGTATTTGTGAGGGATGTGAAGAGCCTATCTATCTATACTAACAAAACGACAATGTCTGTCTATGCTTCAAGAAGGATCTCAATAACAAGTTGAGGTAGAGACATGATTTATATGTCATTGGAAAGGTCTTGCATCTGGGAGTGACGTGGGTATATTTGTTTTCGGGTATCTCCTTCTGTTCGTGAGTTACTTTCCGTTTTGCGTTTTTTTACTGCAGTTACACCTGGTGGCCACCAAGTCAAAGCGGTGCTGTGGTATCCTGTGTCACAGTCACGTATGTAGCCAAGCAGTGGGAACAAAATAAAGAACACTGACGAAACTAGCCCGTGGCAACAACAACAAAATTACATTTTTGAAGCTCGGAGTCCTCCCACTGAGTCCTCCCAAAAGGAGTCCTCCCACAGGAGTCCTCCCAGATGAGTATAGATAAAGATGAAATCTCTGTCTGTGTGTCAATCTACATTCCATATTGGATCCTTTGGTTGCAAGCATAGCTGTAGTGGCGACAGCTAGCACTTTATATCGAGGATGAAAAGTGATGCCACAACTGAAAGACGCGTTGATTGTAGAGGAAGGTCCAGAGATTGTAGAAGCTGATTTGAAAGGGAGATGTGTGTGACCTAGTTTTAAAATTAGGGCCCTAAGCACCATAAAAGACAAAGAAAAAGCACAGCAAAGAGAAAAAAAATATCCTGCTTGTTGGCCGGTCAACATGCTAAGCAACCAAATAACAGTCACAAGCTGCGATCAGTGAACTAGAAGATAAATGTGGAACCAGGCCCTGTAGACATGAGGATTGAGTACACTGCATGGGTGGGGGGGTGGGGGTGGGTGGGGGGTTTGATGCTTCCAAGATACAGTATCACATTTATGGCTAATCTTCGCTTAATATTTAAGAAATTTATCAATTTAAAACCACGAGTTGGACCCCAGCAGCTGTATCTGTACCCACGTGCACCCGCTGCTCAATTCCTCCAGCACTCCTCGCAGCCGTCGCTCTGGATATGGCTTCTCAGTCTTCAGGATCTCCTGAACATCATTCAGTCCTTCCTCCTAGTAATTATAGAATATTACATAACCATGACTCCAGTGAAAAAAATACAGTCATTGACTAATGTGTATATATATCTATGATGGAGTTCTGTTTCCAATAGGAGCAGTATAAAACAAGTCATAAAACAATTCTTGGATCCATTACTAGGCGCTCTTAATAACATTGAGGCATTCAAGGAAAACTAAATTGAACTTTAAAGGCTATAAAATGATTTTGCATCCCCAAAGCAGAAACAAATGATCAAAGATCTGAAACTAGATAAATTTCCTCTGTGGGGAATAGTATACTAGTACAATCAATTCAGGTTGCTGATTTCTAGAGTCCTAGAAATAATGTATTTAAAATGCAAAGAGATGACCTTTGCAATTATTAAGATGTTGATCTTATAAGTCCACAGTCCTTGTCCAGGTAAATGGATTATAAATACCATCATGTTTTGAAACTCACTTTTGCTTTAATCATAACAGCTGCTTTGTGGCACAACTAGCAATTTTGACCCTCGGTCTTCAGTTTACAAATATCCTTTGTATAAATACTTGACAGGTTTAATGCTTGATGTAAGAATTTCACACTGTTTTTATACACTGTGGAGTCCTGTAGCTCAGTGGTTGAGCACTCGCTTTGCAAGCTAGAGACCTGAGTTCAATTCCAGGCAGGGCGAAACCTTGGGCAAGTTTGCTTACTCCACACGCCTAATAATAATCCCTCCAAAACCAAAAACAATAATAAATTGGTCATTTTCAATCCATGACTGTTTGTGGGACATTGCTGTGCGCAATTGGCTGCCGCGTTCGCCCACAAATATACAGTCAATTCACTTTACAGTGTGTTCTGTGAAGCGCTTTGGGACGTCCTCCTGACGTGAAAAGCGCTATATCAAATGCAAGGATTATTATTATTATTATTATAGTCACAATGGCACCAGTGTGTCATGAAAATCTCAGTTTTTAGAAGTGGAATTAAACCTGTTCCTCACTGCATTCCTTCCACTGAGCCCTAACCAAAATAGGAATCTGCAAGCTGACTAGTGTTGTATCAGCACACGGTGAAATGAGGAGTCAACACACCAGCCAATAAAATAATCACATCTTGATGTCCATTAGAATTGTCCTTTATACTCAAGTCTGGCACCTCAGACCAGCAAGCAGGGGGCCTGAAGTTAACTGTAATATATGCTATAACATAACATGCTATAACACATCACAGTGGTACAAGGTACTCCAGCATTACCTGAAACACATGCAAGGATATATTCCCTAACATGGAGTTGCTTGACAGTGGTCTTGGGTTCACCTCCCAACCAGCTCAGAAAGTGTATCTCCCTAATGTTCGAATTGAGTTCAGCAGCTAGTCATGTGTGAAATTCGCGAGCTACTCACTCCAACACACAATGCCTGGAGCCCTAGTATGCTTCTCTGCAGCAAATTTGTTTTGTCAGGTTTGAAGGAATTGTCCCTTTACGCAAGGTGGGTTTTCAGGCAGGATAGGTTCTTGCACAGCCTATAATATTGATATGTGAGTCAGACAGCACTGAAACTTGAAAGTGAAAACACGTTTACAAATGAAGTTTTAAAATGTTGCGCAATTGGGAAGGGTTGGGGAAATGATAGCACCATTTGTACTTTTCTTTTGGTTTTAATAGAATTTTTTTGTAGCAGTAGAACTAAACAATTATGCAACAATTTGGTCATGTTAACCCACACCCTTGTATGTACCAAACATTGTTTGAGATGCTTTGATATCATTACCTATCTCTTTTAGTTCTCATAAATATTTTGAGATATTATACACTGTATAAATGGATGACAGCTTTGAAGCATATGTAAGAATTTCCTTTGGTGCAATCTTCAGTCAGAAACCATGGAAAAGTCATTCGAGACGTACCCCTTATTTACTAACGAGAGAAGTTTTAATTAAATTACTAACCAGTTTATCTGCAATCTTGTCCATGATATTTGCATTGTAGAGTCGTCTTCGCTGGTCTTGCCACCAGCTCTTAATATATATACAAGGCTTCTTGTCAAAGTATGGTAGATGGAAATAGTTTCTAAAAAGAAATGACAAAGAAGTACCATTAGAAAAACTCTGATGCCTCAGAGATTAAATATAAAATTGAGAAGGAGACTGTTGTGTTACTTCATGACAGGCAAGTGGATAAATAACATGGATCAATTTTTCTATAATTGATAAAACATAATGCATGGAGCCTATGGTTCTGGTACCCATCCACAAATAAATGTTGCTGAATATAGCTTTCGTAGTGAAACATTATCCATTCCTCCGTTAGTAAACATTTATTATAAAATGGCTAGAATTTCTTTTTCTGGTTCTAATTCACAAAAAAAGGCATTAATTTGTTGTACTAGGCGCAAAAGTTACCAAAACCACATGACTATTTCACAGCTCAGCTTTATTCCATGCACTTGTCAAAGTGCTAACGTCACAACAACAATATATTGCACTTATATAGAGCCTTTCATGGAGGATGACTTTCGGAAGCATTTCACAAGGATGGTATTGAAACCTGAGCCAGGTGGAAAACAGGGAGGTAGAAGAGAGATGATCCAAGGTGCAGTCACAGAACTAGTTTTTCAGAAGGGCTTTGAAAGCAGAGAGGGAGGGTGCAAAGCAAAACGAGTGGGTCATGGTGGTTGAAAGCTTCACTGCTAAGGGTTGAGTGAAGGGGCTCTCAATCTCATGGGAATAAACCTTTCCCCATTACTTTTTTATCACCATATCTCTGAATTTCTTTATTGACTAACGACTAACCTATTTTCAGCAGCAGAAGCAAAGATCAGCTAATTCAGTAATATCGTAAATAAAAAAAAGTCCTTGCATTTAATATAGCACAATTTGTGTTGGGATGATGTCTCAAAGTGCTTCACACAATTGACTGCAAGTGCAATGACTATGCATTTTGTAGGCAATAATGAACTATGTATAGGGTTCAGACCTATCAGTTACAACAGGTTTCATTGGTGGAGTTGATGAGACGGAGACTAGATCACTGTCCTCAGTTTCATCGTCACTTGAGTTCTGGAGCAGTTCTGACTCCTCTTCATCACCATCCCCTCCATCCTTTTTTTTCCGAGTGCTTGGCCTATTTACTCCATCAATCTGGTTCCCATAGTTACCTAGGAAGAAGCACCAAGGATAAATGTCCATTGAGTCAGGAGATTAATGTCAGCTATTCACCATCTGGAATCCTAAAGACAGCATCATAGAATATTATATCACAGCAACATTCAGCCCATCAAGTCTGCACTATTATTTTTCTCCACATGAACCAACCTAATCATATGCTCATGTTTGCTCCCCACATCCACTAATATTCTCTTCCCACTTCAGATACCCATCAAAGGGCCCAGGACAAAGTTATTCCTAGATACGTGAAGACCTGAGAGCTGCTAGCTCCTCATATATAATCATCCCCAGCAAGTTCTCAAGCCCAACCTTTTTCATCAATAAGCAATATTGATGAATAAGCCAATATTCACAATGTGCTAAACATGTACTGTGCCTATGTAGTATCTATGTAAGGACTCCCAAGTGTGTAGTTGCTAGTGTCAACGCAACTGTATTGAACCATGATTCAAGAAAAAGCACCTTATGATATGGATTTGAGGAGGTTAAATTGTTACATAAACTGGACTTGCACCACAATACAATGAAGTTTCCCTTCAAAGTCCCAGTTACATTGCATGCACCAAATTCATGTGCCATTTGTAGCAGTGATTTGGGGTAGGAAACTATAACTGTATACAACTTATTTTGAATCTCCTTGCTTCGTATTGATTTGTGACAAAGCGGTGTGCCCTTTATGTGAATATTACCAAGAATATTCTAAGGATAATATACTGACCTATTGTGACTTCAAAACTGATTGGTTTATCTCCAATTTTTCTATCAACCATCGTTGCTTCCAGGAAGGCTCCAAAGAGGAAGAATTCTTCAATTTTCCCTGTAATGTTCTGCAATTTAAATTGAACAGACTAAATATGACAACAGACTTATTTTTGTCATGTAAAACATATGGACTGTCGATGTGGGCCAAATATGGAAAATATAGTTTTAGTTTTAGGTGGGTCCCCATAGGTTAGTGTGACAAACATTGAGTCACCGGCAAGATTCAGTATTTGGGCATCCTTTGAAAATTCTGCACTTTTGACCCTAATGCTAATTTTAGAGTACAAGTAAATGCATTGAATGAGTTAACTATTGAATGCCTTGCCCTCTCCTTGCCAATCATCACATCGCACATGAAGACCTTCCTCTTTGACTGTGCCTTCAGACACCTCCCCACTGTTCCTAGCTTGGTGTCAAGCTCTACCATTGTTAAACCCTCAGAGATGCTACCCCATGTGAAAGGCACTTTACAATATAATACAAAATTACATGTGTATAGCGCCTTTCACGTTGAGAGGATGTACCAAGGTGCTGGACAGTTAGGGATTTGGACCCGAGCTGGGGGTCAGGATCAGGGATGGTGGAGGGCAGGGAGGGTGGCCGAAGGCTCGGTCGAAGAGGAGGGTTTTGAGACGTGCCTTGAAGGAGGCAAGGTAGGGAGCAAGGCAAAGGGAATGTGGGATAAACTTAATGTATCCCTTAATAAGACAGATGACCTGAGATGCCAATGTTCATCAATGGGACATTTGCAAATGGGATTTGTTCCTTGCATGCAGGAAATTGAGCTGACACTTTTGAGTTCTAGAGATAACATCACTGACCTCTGACATTTGTTGTATGGTTTCTGTCTGCACCTCTGTAGAGCTCATTATCTCAGTTGAAGATGTGTCCAAGATTTCCATACCCACGCTGATAAGCAACCGAGCTCTGAAGGAAACACCCTCACCAAGGCCCTCGTTTAGGTCCTGATGTTCATCCATCAAACTATAGTTGCGAGTTGAGCCATAAGTATTCACCCAGGCAGGGCCAAATGTAGGCAAAAAGCCTGTAAGAAAGGATAAGTATAATCATTTATTTACAATTGTTCAACTAACGTAGAAAACCAACCTCAGCCAAATTCCATTATAGCTAAGTGAAAGGATCCTAAAACTTGTGTTATTAGATTCCATTGAAAAATCACAAGGAAATTTTATGCAGCTACTTACAGGTCATGCTGTAAATCCAGTTTTTTAAAATCAAAATAAGATTTAATTTGAGCCTATTTTTTAAAAAAATCCAATTTGACTGGAATTTGTTTTTAAATTTACTGCTATATCCTCCTATATCACCAATTCCTGACCTATTGTTTGAGCTATGAATTAGCTTCATGCTGTCTGCTGAAGAGTGGTTAAAACTCTTAAAGATAAAATTATATCCAATATTGTTTCCATTAGTGACATCAGATTAGGAACAAGAAGAGCATCCAATTTGCTATGTTGTATACTTAGCAGCTTACCTTTGTCTCCATCATTTGCGATCTTTCTTAGGTCGACAAAATGGGTTCCAATAGCAACGTCATTCACCTTGTCTGAATCACGGATCTGGATTTTCATTCGTCTGCAGAGAGGCGGGAACATTTCAGTGAAGATGATTTGTTCGTTCCAAGTTGGCTCATAACTGTTTTTTTGGACAGAAGTCTTCCCCTAGCAAAATAATACAAAACTGTCTATAATTGAGACATGGTTACTTGTAAAACTAATTGAGTTTAAGAAGCATCTAATTTAAATGTACAGTGTGTTCAGATCACAAGGACTGAGAATGGCTGAAAACTGCATTATAATTTGGAAAAGTTGCTTCACTGTAAAGCGAGTTTCACAATAATGGAGTTCATTATAACAAGATTATTATGTAAAGCAACAACAACTTGGATTGATATAGTGCCCTTCACATAGGGTAGTGGCTTGGAGCGCTTGAAAAAGAAAAAACTGCAAAAAGAACATTCATGAATGTTAGAGAACTGGTGCAAATTTCTTTTTAAGAACTTGGGGTGAAAAATGAGACCTGTGATATGAATTAGCATTGTCACAATTTTAGGAACATATGAACACTGAAATGTTCACAGATTGAGATTGCTAGTTTTGTGTTTGTGACTTTATATTTTAAAATCTAGTGGTAGAAATCCCACCTGGATCTAGATTTACTCTAATTTTCTTAACATTTCGGAGCATCAAGAAATTGTCAATTCGGAAATATAGTTTTAATTTTGATGATATTTATATTTTAACAATTCATACAATGACTTGCCCAAGACTCAGTTAGAGCTGAGTTGATTGGAGCATTTGATAGAAAATTAGACAAGCACACAAAGAGCACGGAAATTGAAAAATGATCAAAATGGCATCGGACAATATACAGTTAATTCACTTTACAGTATATTCTGTAACGCGCTTTGAGACATCTCGAAGACGTGATAAGATGCTATATCAAATGCAAGGATTATTAGGATTATTATGATGTAAAACCGAATTTATTTTAGGATCTTTCCTATCATTTTGGAAACTATTAGAGAATCTATTGCTGCATAGTGAAGCCATGTTACAGATGGATCTTAGCTTTCCAGGTAATTATTCTGAAAAAGAAAAACTGGATGTTCTAATAATAAGGTATATTTCAGTTCATACAGTTATTTCATAAATAATCTGCATATAAAGTTATCTCATAGATATTGTTCTTAAAGCAAAGATTAATGTCCCTTTATTAAAGAATTGCATGAGCTGTAAGCAAATGGCTGCACTGCCATGCACAGATGTGTTATAGCAGCAATAATACCACTTACAAAGCTATCCTCAGTGAAAATAGAGTATTGGAGATACTAAAAGTACTGCACTCGCTCTAGAGTGAATGGAAAACTGGAATCCGAGTTTGTTGGTTACAAACATTATAATAAAGCTCTTTGTGTGTCAGGGGAAATTAAGTAAAAGGTTACTGGAAACGTATTGGAAATTCAATTGAAAAAAATAAAAATACATATTCACAATATGATGATGTATATTTTAATTATTTGTCTTTCCTTGCTTCTCCAATTTTTCAAGGCATCATTTATCTATTTCTCAGTCTAGGAAGCGCTATATGTATTTATCCTTGTGTCAATAACAATAGCCCAGTGAACAATATATGGTGAGTTTGTGCCTGACCTGCAATGACTGCCTCCTCATCGCAGCTGAATGAGATTCAGAACACATTCATTGCATTGCTCATTTTTCATTATTGCTGCATTCCAATTTATATGAAATATTTATCCTTTGAGACACTTATCCTATGTGCGAGATGTTATATATGTGCAAGTTGCTGTTGTAGAACAATTTGGAGAGGAAATCTAGATTTATACGGTTTACCCTGAATCATTTTTGCCCATACTGAGAACTTTGTGTGCGTTTAGTTGTGCATGTAGAGAATATAGCTGAGTGGCTCTGTATATGGGTTAACATTTCAATTGGATTTACACTAAACAGTTAGCCTTCGTTCAATGAGGAGACCGCACACGTAGGACAAAAGAAGCAAGAGATTTCCTTGTATCAATGTTGATTTCACTCTTTTTTAAAATAAGCCAGATTAGTAACTAGCCTTATCAAAGAATAAATGAAGGAGAGCATAGATGTTCTATTCTTCATGCAATCAAAACATTGTTAATATTTGACTCTCCTATTGTAATACACTTCAAACTGACTCCAGCAAGTGGATTTGTTTTTAAGTCAGGGTACCTTTTGTCCAGCAAATAACACTTGTACATAAGGATCAACCAAGTCTTTGTTTTCTCCAATGAATGCTTTCTTCATATTAGCCATTAGGCTGGTGTTCATCTTTGGCAGCCCCTCAGCCTTGTAGATCTTGACATAAAACCGGGCCCACTGCCTCTCTGATGGAACGCCTTCAGGAAGCAATAGGTTCCTGTTGACAAGCCACAAAATTAAAAAAAATCCCCGGCAAAAATAATAATATTTGTTATTACTGTTAATAATTTGTTGATCACTTAATAATAATTAGTATCAATAATAATTGTCACAATTTCCTATAATTCTTCGTCAAATGCTTCTATTTATTTAACCAGAATTCTGTAACATGACTTCTCACCCTTCAACATCATCATCATCTGTCTCATTGGCTCTGTGTGGTGTCTTAATGTTGTCTCCTTTTCCAACCACAGCAATGTCACACTTCAAATAACCTTTAAGACCAGCAGTAATGTCATCAGGGTCAGAAAGGATTGCCCACCTGTGGCGGAACTGATGCTCTGTTCAAATGCAAGAAAGCAACACAATAGAGGATTTAAATCTGAATATTTACAGATGTACAGGTTTCCATCACTTTTCATGACTTGGGAGAAGTTTTTTGCAAATAAGCTGATAAGATTTTCTATACTTAACTGTAAAAGTAAAGTAGTTGCACAATGTAGACAATTACTAGTAGTACCAGTTAGATGATGTTTATGCCTCGGTAATCCCTATAATAAAATGTGCCTTATATAAATTATCATGAACATCATGTATTCTCTGTTGAAGTACTGAACATAACATCTTGTAAAAGACATGGGCATTTTAAAGCAATGCACAGTTTGACAACTTGTCAAGTACTCATCTTGCTTGCTGTTTGATTGACAGTAGCTTTTGCTAATGAGCTGAAAAAAGGTTTAAAAATAAACCTAATATGTAGGCAGCAATTACCTGGCTGTGAATAGATAGTGCCTATATCTATCTTGAAAGTGCCCACCAATGTCCCACTCCGTAGGAGGTTTTTGGAGTGAATCACCTGTAATTGAAAAGAAACTTTTAAAGAGTTTCATAAATTTTGCTTATTTGGATGAGCTTTGATATTTCCTAACAATTCAATCTTACAGGCCAAGGAAGCATGTTGAAATTGCTTTTAGTAACACTGAACAGCTTTTACTGTTTCAACACTAACTTTTATTGTATACATTGCACCATTTTGTTTATTTTTCCTTATATTTCCATTATGTTTTTTTCCTGTGTACTTTACCATATACACAAATTAATGAGAACACACAGGAATTGTTTAAGTATTGGTATTTGATTCAGCCATGTAATAAAAATCACACCTTATGCCAATTTTCGTTTTACTCTTTTCCACTATCATTGATAGTGATCTTTTCTCCCCTTTGCATTCTTTGGTTTCCTGTGCAATCCATTTACAGGGTCAAAATTGTGGTTTGTGATATTACCATTTGTGACATTATCACATGCTTCAAATTTGCCCCCTTAGAAGTGCACACTGTCAAAGGTCAGTACATTTACTGACAAGAATAGAACAGCCTCATAAAGTTCCTCTTAGCAACATTGTTTGAGTTGGCTTGATCCCACATGCACATAAATGTTGTCTTTCAAAATCAAATTTGATACTCACTGATCATAGAATCGAAGAAATTATAACACAGAAGGTTGATTCAACCTATCAACCTTGGGCGTCCTCTCGATGTGAAAGGCGCGATATGTGAATTGTCAATTATAGAATATGGGATCACAAAACTGTGCCCTGGTTGATTCTTTACAGTGGAAGAAATTTAAACTCTTCACCATGAAACACCATTCATTGACATTTCTAAGTAAATTTGTGCAGAACATTTACAAATAAAATAATCAATTTTCATTCTAACAACATTGTTTTGAATCTTTATTTCCAAACAACTTTTCAAAGCATTCAGTTATACAATAATATTTTAAAGTTCTCACCGACAGCTTGACTATTTTGTCGAACATAACGTCTGGAGGTACATGGAAATCAAAAACGAAGTACTAAGAATAAAAATGAAAAACAGTTTAGTAACTGACTAGTCACTGCAGGTTAGTTTCACCCTAATGTTGATGTATGTTTGCAATAGTAAATCTACTCTATACCCGAGGAACTGAATGTTCAGACTTTTGGCTCAAAGGCTGACTTTAAATAGATTGCAATGATGTAAGATCACAATAATCTAGCTGCTCTGCTATAAATGAAATCCTAACTCAGGTTCTATGTAAATGAATACTAAATAGTGATGTTTATTTATACGTAATGCAGAAAAATCTATCAAGACAGTCACTAAACAAGACATTTTAACAATAACTGACAGTGGTTCAGATAACAATCTCATTTATTAAAAAACAGCATGAAATGCAATTTAGAAGATTTAGAAAATAAAAAAAATGGATTAGCTGAAATAAATATATTTGGGAAAACTATTTGATTGTTTCAGGTTAGATTGCGTTACAAAGTAAAAAAAAGAGTGAAGATTGAAAGAGTAAAGCTGCCATGTTATCAATACTATTGTTTTAAATATAGAAAGAAATGGAAAAAAATACATAATACTTCATGAAGAGCGTTTTTAATGGGGAATATAAATTAGAATTAGATTAGACGGCATACATTAAGTGCATAATGAATCTGACCATTCTCCAGAAAGTGCAAGTTCAAATTAATGCATAAATAGCTTAGAGAGGATTGGCAGTAATCTAAGCAGATGGTGTTCTGACATTCAGATTTTCCAAATATCAAGCCACTGATTCATCTTTTACCATGTTACTGTTGCCATAAATTTGAAAGAAATGGGGAAAAGTTTTGCATAATTCCTTCATGGGAAAAATAATTCCTTTTAATGGGAAAAATGATTTGGAAATGAAAGCGTCATTAGCTAATGGTTTACTAAACACAGTTGTTTGTCAACCCTAGTGGAAAAGCCGTGATAGTTTACCTCATTGTAGTATGGACAGTTGGTAGATTCCTTCATGCTTGTATACTTCTTCTCCTCACCAATCTCAACACAGACAACTGGATCCATGTTCAGTCCCACCAGTTGCCTCCCTTCAATGATTGTAATGCTCACCTTAAATAGAAAGACATCTTAGAAAGAGAAAGATTCATCTCAAGCATGAATTATGTTTGCATGTAACAGGAAGGCAAATGGTTGCAGTACATATTGTGGCAGGAATGTCCTTTCAAAGGCACTGAAAAGTAGTAACACACAAATTCCCAAAGTGACGTCTGAAGGACCTTTTGCATATGTATTTGTTTGTGTTTTTATTCCATAATTTGCAAGAAATTTCTCCTCATTCTATTAGATGTATCCTGTAACACAAGCCATTCTCCACCCCAGACAGTAGCCAATACTGTTAGTTTATATTGAACTCAATCCTCTTATTTGATACCACTGATCTGAACTGCTCTTGGGAGCAGAAAATGTATTATTTACACACCAGAATTTGCATTTGGCAGATCTGAACGCCTTTACATTATTGCACTGGAGTCTCCATTGAGCACCCTAGAGTGGATTAACAGATGCTTCCTTTACTCTCCAATATGTGTTTACCTCAGTCTCAGAGGAGCACTCCCTCCTAAACCAATCACTTTCCATAGCGCATTGCCTATCCTTTTATCCTGAGTACCATGCCATTTTGTGCTGAATTATGGGCTGTTTTTGTGTTGTGAACCCGCATGTAACTAGGAATTGGGTTGAAGTTTCAATAAACGAACCCACATTAATTTTTCTTCTCCATCTCTTCTAATGGAGATCTATATACATGCTTACTACTCATTTCAGAATGTATTACCTTTCATTTATCAACATTCCTCTTCCAACACCTAGCATTTTATTATTAATGAGGGGCTTAGTATGGCCAATTTTATCCAAAATTTGCTTCATGACAGACAACAGTAAAGAACGAAAATGAAAGAAAGAAAAAAAGTGAGAGAACAGCACAGAAGCAGCCACTCAGCCCAATCCATCGATGGTGGTGTTCATCCTCCATATGAGTCCTCACTCATTCCTTACTTCCTCTCATACCCTTCCATTCCCCTCTCCCTCATGTGAAACTTTAGCTTCCTTTTGAATGCATCTACACTATCTGATTCAACCATTTTTTCAGCAGTAAATTCCATAATCTCACCACTTTATGAATGAAGTAGTTCCTCCTAAATTCTCTTTTAGATTCCCTAATCCTATCTTATATGTGTGTCTTCTGGTTAATGACTCCCCAACCAGTGGAAGCAGCATATTTATTTTAACCTTGTCAAATCCATTTATAATTTTATAATTAAGCACCCTCCCAAACAACTTCAAACATGCCTCTCAAATAAACCGGTTGGCTACCTTTTCACCACATGACAAGGTAAATTACAGTACTATAATTCAGAACCTTCAGTCTGGAAAAGTAATTTAAATCACAAAATAATGCTATGGAAGAGCATCAGTCAAGTTACATTAAATATATAACTTTTTGAAAACACCAACAAATATCCAAACTTTGACTTTTAAACTTTTTGGGCTGCCTTCACTTTCAGAAGTTTCTGCTCATTGGTGGGAGACTGTTCCCACTGCATCAGCCTGTGTAGGTTGCTTGTAAATGTCTCACTGATCTTTCTCATATTTTGGCATAACAATTCACCATCATGGCTATCTTCCGCAAATGGTTGGTTAAATTTGATCAGTTTAGCCTGCTGTAGCGTAAAGTAAAGTGTCTTCACATGTGTATATCTTTCAACCAGTCCTAGCCAGAGCAGTGTTTGAGCTCTAACAGATACCCTATCTGTAACTTACTTGGTAATCCTGAGGTCTGCCTGCGCTGGGCTCCATTTTGATATCAGGCTTTGATCTGCAAACAAATAGAGAAAATGTATGTGTTTCTTTGGTGGGACCAGGAGTAGGATAATTCTCTGTTACTTTAAAATTAAAATGTAAAATGATTTATTTATGGGATTCCAACTCAACTCTGTTATGAAAGGAAATCTGAGACACAAAGATGCTGGAAATTAATTGCAGGTTGATCGGGACCTGAGAGAGAAATATGAGATTAAGCCATTCTGGTGCAAACCTCACAGTAACTATTAGATCAGAAGCTGGGTCTGCGGCGGGTGATGATGTGGAGGTGATTAATCCACAACATTTCTGGATAATAAGTAAGTCCTTATTATAGGAACGGATCCTTTCATATGAGTATTTTTCAACCAATCATTGCAATATTGTTGGTCAATCAAACTCAGTGATGATACCAATGTGTACATGTTACTTCCCATGAGTAACTAACTACCTCTTGTTTGAGACATTAATGGTGACGGCTGTGACAGAGGCCAGTGAGATGCTGTCAGGATCCAGGCCTCCGCCCAGTCGCATGGTCTTCCTGTCCAGGTCTTCTGTTTCCAGAACAGCAGCATCATCTGCAAGAAATAAAACAAAGATTTAAAGCTCTATGCTTGATCCCGCTTTTTAAAATTCAATTAAAACATTCTCCAAACTAAAACTCTCTAAAAAAAAGTCCAAAAGACAGTTTTATTTTGAGAGGCCATATCATAATTTCAAAACAAAAATGTCCACATATTTCTTTCTTTTCTAATTTTTACTCCCCACTGGCATACTTCTCTGTTTCCTCCTGGTCTCCTCTTGCTAGGGTGCAGTTCCATGGATGCTGGTTGCTCCCCCCACTATTTTCAACTGCCTTCAATGTAGGATTTTGAGTTGCTATAATTTATCATGACAATCATTCATGTTGCTGCGTTCAGTGTTCACAACAACAACAACAACTTGTATTTATATAGTGTTCTTCATACAGGGTAGCATCTCAGAGTGCTGAACAACAGTATAGTTTGACACCATTGCTGGTGGGATTTCCTATCACTGAACTGTGGGCACATGTCAGAACCGATTCCTACCCTGTCTGGAGATAAATAATACGTATTTTTAAAATCTGATATAGTGCCTCTTCATGTCATCGAGACGTCTCAAAAGTGCTTCACAGGATTTTACTGTGAAGTGTAATGACTGTATATTTGTAAGCAAACGCAACAGCTAATTTGGCAATATCCATAAACAGCTATGAAGTGAATGACCTGATTTATTTGCCACGACATCAGGAGAAACTCCATTCTCTTTATAAATAGTGCTGTGAGGTCTTTACCATCCACCTGAACAGATATTGGACCTCAGTTTAATGTCTCATACAAAGGACAGCACCTCCAACAATGTAGCGCTCCACCTATGGAATGACCTAAACTGAGTTCAAAATTCCACCATGAGACTTGAACCCATAAACGTTTGACTCAGAGGGAAGTATGTTACCAATTGAGGAGCGCTGACACCTATAGTAGTTCCACAAGATCCAACCTTTCCCATCTTATTGTGCTTTTCACTGGGAGAAGATAAATATGTAGAAATTGTGACCAGAGAAATTATACCAACTGGTCAGGCCACAAGAAAGAAAAGGTGACAATAACAATAACTTAATGTAAGAGCCTTGGGATAAAGTCTCGAAGCACTTAACAGTGGCAGAGCTTGAGGCTGAACCAGGGAGAAAAGGGAAATGACCTTAGGCAAGGTGAAAGATCTCCATAACTACATCCTTATTCAAAGGTTGGCATATTCAAAAAGAGAAGAGCACTTCTCCGAGTGTCCAGGCCAACAATTAATAGTCATTCACTCTGAACGGCTGTTTACGGTTATGCGCAGAATTGGCTGCCATGTTCGTCCCCAAAACACAGTCACTCCACTTTACAATATATCTAGTGAAGCTCTTTGGGACATCCTCCTCACATAAAAGGCATTATATCAACTACAAAGATTATGAGATTGCATTTGGGTTCTTTTTTGGACGTGGGCCATGGGTAGCTGGGGGATTGGGGGAAGAAACCCCTGGAAAAGAATCATCTCAAAGTAAAGTGTGTCATGAGATTTCAGGAGTATCAAACATTTTCAAAGATATAATAATAATATATAATAATCCTTGCATTTGATATAGCGCTTTATCATTTATTGCAAACCTGGTTTACTTCAGAGCTGGGAGACTGAGTGACTATGTCAGTCACACTGTTTCAGACAGAAACATTTTTTTTTTTTGGTAGATATGTGCCATTTTGTGCCAACATCTCAAATCAGAATCATCAAAATTGGTAAATTATTGAACAGCAAATGTTTCAGTACATTCATTAAGAGCCCTGTTCTTAGGTTAAAGCAACAGAAAGTGGAATTGAATTTTCTGTTGACTTTTATTGATTCAACGTAAAGGATGGGGGAAGATATAGATAGGCCTTACCTCCACCATGACCATGACCCTTCTTAGAGTGCTCGTCCTTGTGAGGACGTGTCTTCCCCAGCTTCATTCCTGAGAAAACTCCTTTTCTGTGGAGAAAGTAAGCAACCAACATTTAATATAAAATCTTGCTGAGACTCAAAAGATCTTGAAGGTTGGATATTCTTGGCCTTATACAATTTGGAATTGACCAAAGAGAATAGGTGATTAATTGTGAGTTTACTTCTTCATGTTGTGTTCTCGACAAAGTGAAAAATACCAACCTGGGCGAAAGCAATTAATGCTATACTATATAGACCAAATATAATTTAATGAAAGATGTGAAAATACTCAAAAACATAAGTTGTGATAGTACTGTATATTTAAAAATAACCTGAAAAATTCATCAGTGTTTCCTATTTCCACTTCACTGTTACCATTAGAGAAAACAGTGTTTAGCAACACTTGGAAGGAAGTCTGGCCCAAATCATTTGATATAAAATGTCAGAGCATTTTGTACATTACAGGATGATTTACAATCTTTCTCAGAATTTTTTCCTTTACCCACAGTCTAAATGTTCTGTAACTGTGAGATACTGGAAGTTTGTAGCTAACTGACAGCTGAGCACCACTGAGTGTCACGCAGGGAAGTCATCAAATGAGAATAAGTTGTGCAGCTGGGCTTCTGGTGATTAATTATGTGTTTAATGATTAATTATATTCTCAACAAAGTGAAAATATCAACTGGGGCGAAAGCAGTAATGCTATAATTTACTATGAACCAAATATAATGTATAATGTATAAATATATAATGTAGGATGCTAAAGGGTTGCTAAATGATTATTATTGGTTCCATTTGTAAACTATTTTGTCTCCAAACTTATTTTGATATTGTTGAAGATGTTAAGCTAACATTTGAGTTACTGGTGGAACCATTGCACAATGGGAAGAGAGGTTTGTCTGAGCTGTGGGCAGGAAAATGTTAGCAATGTTCTCAGGCGTTTCATGCCGAGCTGTGATCCTGCCATCCTATTACGCCTGCATCCACCTAGTGAGGGCTTAAACCTGGTAACTATCCTCCTTGGAGGAGCAGGTAAGCAGGACCTCCTTGGAGATGAACTGAGAGAGGAAATGAAATTGAATGAAATGTCGTAATGACAGCCAGCCCGGCTCATCTGCAGGACATGGGAAGGGCAGACCAGTCACTGGGGGCAGGGACTCTTTCCACTCAACTCTGGTTAACCCTGCAAGCCAAAGCCCTAATGGGTAGGAATGTCTTTGCTGGACAAACTGCAGGAAAGCTTACCAGGCAGTGCTCTCAATCGCAAGCTATCCTGTTTCAGCTGGATAGACTCCAGCAGTACACCATTCATACTCTGGGGTCCCCAAGCCTTGGCTCTTGCCAACATGCCTAATACTCTTTGGAATTAGGTAAGGAGGGTGCATCTCTCTAGGGAGATAATATCTATTCCATTTCAATATTTCCATTTCAAAGTATTTCTGGAATCTCCATATAGGTGAGATAATAATAATAATAATAATCCTTGCATTTGATATGGCGCTTTTCACGTCGGGAGGACGTCCCAAAGCGCTTCACAGAACACACTGTAAAGTGAATTGACTGTATATTTGTGGGCGAACGCGGCAGCCAATTGCGCACAGCAATGTCCCACAAACAGTCGTAGATTGAAAATGACCAATTTTTATTATTGTTTTTGGTTTTGGAGGGATTATTATTAGACGTGTGGAGTAAGGAAACTTGCCCAAGGTTTCGCCCTGCCTGGAATTGAACTCAGGTCTCTCACTTGCAAAGCGAGTGCTCTAACCATTGAGCTACAGGAGATGCATGGAACTCTCAATTTAGTTTGGATACTCTTAAGGTGATGTGTTTCCGTATGTGTGGGACACCTGGCTGACCCCCAAAAAATGGAATAACAAGTAAACAATGAAATTAATAAAACATGAACAAAAATTTTACATTTGTATAGCACTTTTCATATTAGGAGGATTACTCAAAGCACTTCAGAAAACTGAGTGGGAGCTTGAGTTGGGGAAGGAAGGAGCTGAGCAGAGGGGTTAAAGTGGTTGAAAATATAGCTCATAAGGTGAACTTTCAATATATCACTTTCAAAGCCCTCCATAGTCCTGCTCCTCCCTAACTGTGTGACCTACTAGATCTCTAACAACCTATCCACTCCCTCTGCTTAGTGGACACTTGTCTGCTCCAAGTCCCCCACCCTACCCACTCCACCATCAGCAGTTGGGCCTTCACCCTCTGGAATCCCTCCGCCTTGCCCCCTCCCTTGCCTCCTTCAAGACCCATCTCAAGACCTTCCTCTTCAACTGGGCCTTTGGTCATCATCCCACCAATACGAGCCCTGTTCTTCACCCCTCTTGATTCCAGCCCCCAGCTCGGGTTCAAGCCCTTCACCATCCAGCGCCTTGGGATGTCCTCCTGACGTTAGAGGCGCTATATAATGCAATATGTTGTTTTTGTTGTAGGGAGTAAAGAGGGCAAAGCAGAGGGAGTCTGGGTTGGAATTCCAGAGAGTGAGGATGGCTGATGGTGAGGTGGAGTAGGCAGGGAACATGAAGTAGGCCAGTGTATAATGAATAGAGGGAGTGATCAAGCACTGGGGTGGCAGGAGGTGGCAGAGGTTGGGATGGGGCAGGGCAGTGATGGGATTTGAATATGAGATCTTGAATTTGCTCTCCTGAGTTACAGGGAGCCAGTGGAGATGTGTTATAGACTCAATTCAGAGACCTAGTTTTACAACTTATTTTCACTTGATGACTATCCTCTATGACAAACAATTGCAAAATGAACACAAGACAATATTGCTGAAGCAATTTTCAGACTCTCAATTCTGAATCAATGTCAATTTCAAGTTTGAATACAGTGTCTTTGAGGTTGCTCTATATAATACATTTTGTTATTAACACGAGTAAATAACTGGCTGGAAAATTAAATTGAAGACTTTCTGTAGTAACATAGAAGCTGCTTTGTTTACATTGAAAGAATTGGTACCGTTTTATATAACCTCATTTATTCCCACTGTGGATTCTCATATGACAAAGATCAAGGGCAAAAGACATTTTCTCTTTCTCAGATCACATTCTTATTTTACACTGTCACTGAACAACTGTAACATTAAATCTGTAAAACAAATATACCATTTTAAAATAAAATAGATGACTTTCTATGCAGGACTTCTGTCTAATGTTAACGTTTCCTGAACCTTAAACCTGGAGATCGATGAATTTCTCATGTCTGAATGATAAAATTAGCCACTTCTGTTCATCAATTTCATCATCAAACGTAATAATACTTCCATAATTTTCACATTCAAACACAATTTTTTTTTCACTTGGCTACAATTTTGCAAGAAACTAAATATTTGAAATCATTGTGTATTAATATATCAAATGAAAACATGCAGTTTTTCTATAGACAAATAAGTTATTCCAATTAAAAGTTACGCTACTTAAAGACAAATTTCCTCTGAATGGAAATATTTTTCGTAGTTCTCTTAAAAGCGATTTTCATTAAGTTCCCTTTTGTAAAAAAAACAATCTTGCTCATTTCTACTTTTGCAGTCCTTAGTTCATTGACGATGTCATGGCTTTCTTAGGTAAAATATAACATATAAACTATTGGTCTCAAATTCCAAACAAAGTTCTGGGTTGTAATTAAACACTATAGAATTTACAAGCTATCTGGTAATATAAAGTGCAATATCTTAATCGGAAGATCTTTCAGTTTTCAAAAGATCCACAGTTTTTCATTTCTGTGGCAACTAGTTGTCTTAAAACAGAATTGCAGATATAAAAACTACATTTGAATGTTTCTTATTTTTTGTCAAGTAAACTCAACACACTTGTTTTAGATTGTTGCGACTGCATTGCCAAAATATTGCTCAATTCCTATATAAAAGCAACATATCGACTATGTACAATGGAAAAAAAGGAGAAATATCTGCATTCACTTTCTGAACACACAATACATACCATGTAAAAAGCGGTGTTTCTTCAGCTTCTAGAGACCTCGCACCTCTCACAAATTCCCACAGTCGTAAAGAGGAAAACCCAAATTTTCTAAGAAAGTGTTTTGCCTTATTGTTTTTACAATCCTCCTGGGCGATCAAATGAATGGTACCAAAACCAAGAAAAAGAATGCAAATGAGGAAAGTTTGCAAAAAAAGTTCAGCTAGGGACAGGATCAAGAGCTTGTGCTGCTGTGAATGGATATGCGATGAATGTTGCATGAGATGAAGAGAACCTGAAACGCTGAACACGATGCTTAGGTCATTCAGTCATATCAGGACCATTCTCTGTTTCGTGGGGACAAGTGACACACAAAACGTTTCAGCCATGATCATTGGTGAAGTACAATTGCCTCCTTTGTTACTGTGGCACATGCTAAAATACAGTAAGCTGCTTATTATGTATCGAGGTCTCACATGTGGTGTAAACTTAGTTATTTGGAATGTATCAATTACGAATGTACAAGGATGTGCTCGGCATGTTCTCAATGCTGACGTCTGACAGGCTGGATTGTATATTCGGCCTCTGGCATATGAATCATCTACCGGTTGGTCATTAAATTGGTCATCCACTTCATGGCTGGTTGTGTGGACATCACTATGCACAAATGGGCTGCCGTGTTTGCTTACAAATATACCGTCACTCCACTTCACAGTAAAATCCTGTGAAGCAATTTGAGATGTCCTCCTGACGTGCAAGGTACTATATCCCCCCAAAAAGCAAGATTATAACTGGTTGTTTAACTAAACAGAGTATTGAGAATAAGCCCCAGGTCTGAAAGACCAGCAGTAAAACTTTGTATCCTGGAGCCAGAAGTTGATTGTGCAAAATAGGTTCATGGACATGGGGATGACATTGGTGCCTGGGGAGTGGGGTTTGGGAGAAACTGCCTCTGGTACATCTGGATATATTTGTAATTTGCAATTAACAATTAATTAGCAATTACAAATTCCTAAAAAAACTGCATATTTAGCGCCACTCGCAGAATCTTAAAAGACGTTTTCTGCTACCTTTTCTTTATTCCCCCGAAGATGCTGACTCCCGCTGAGATACGGATCCGTGGGT